CCCGGAGGTGGATTCAAAGGTTCAGAGGCTATTACATTGGGCTTTTATTGGGGCGGTCTCAATGAGTGGTGTGTCCGTACGCCTGAAACGCAACCATTAATAATATTATAGCGTGCGTCCCTAAACCCTAAACCCTAAACCCTAAACCCTAAACCCTAAACCCTAAACCCTAAACCCTAAACCCTAAACCCTAAACCCTAAACCCGACTCTTGGGCAGCTAAGGTGTCATGAAGTTTGCTGGTGTACGAAAGGAAAGGTAAAGGTGAACCGCTCACACGTCCCAGTCCTTTTCCTCGCTTCTCTGCTCACTGTTCTATTATTCATGCAAGCTCGCCCGCGATTTATAATCAAATATGGGCAAGAAAGGGAGAAAAGGGCAAAAGACCCACTAAAATGTACTAAATTCGTGCGTTGTTCACGCGGCCTTACAATTTAGTACTTTTTATGGGCCTTTTGGGGTTCGCAAGCTCACGGGATAACTTTAGGACAAATGATTCACCTCTTTCACCGCTCTTTTCCCCTTCACATGTGCACTACTTTAATATTATTACAAACTAGTGCGTGAATAGTCCCCAAACCCTAAACCCTAAACCTTAAACCCTAAACCCCAAACCCTAACCCTTCAAAACAAAAAAAAGGGCCGACCAGGGCTTGAGGCTTAGAATCGGCCGAGAGAAGGTCGACCAGTTGTATTTAATTAGTTTGGTTTAGGGTTTAGGGTGGTTTAGGGTGGTTTAGGGTTTAGGGTTTGGGGGTGGGGGGTTAACATGGGGTTTAGTGCTTAGGGGGGTGTTGTCGTGGGATTTTAGAGTTTGAGGGGATTGGGGTTGGGGTTCGGGCCTGTTGGGGTTGAGGGTTTAGAGTAAAGTTGCAGGTTCTCAATATAAAATTGGGAAATTAGGTTCCCAACCATAGAGGAGGCACCGAAACTTCTGAGACCTCTGCTAAGCACCAGCTTCTGGAATACATGGTGCATGATCTCCAGATCTCTAGGCACTGACGATGAGAACGGGCTCTGTCGACGTCTTGAAACTCTTGAACCCTAAACCCTCAACCCCAAATCAAACCCGCCGAGGCGGGCACCCAGTAAGTTGTCCCAATGGCTGGCCTGGGAAGGTTGAGGGTTTAGGGCTGCCTGAAACTCCACTCTCTCGCTGCGTCATGGCCTTGGCCACGATGTCCCAAGGTGAGGGAGTGAACGATTTTAGGCTTTAGGGTTTAGGATTTAGGGTTTAGGATTTAGGGTTTAGGCTTTAGGGTTTAGGCTTTAGGGTTTAGGCTTTAGGGTTTAGGCTTTAGGGTTTAGGATTTAGGGTTTAGGGGCAGCCGTCAGCAACGAAGCTAATTGCAGGCAAGAGGATTATTACATATGCTTCAAGCAGGTCTCGAAAGTGCTTCCTGCACTGCTGAGCCGCGCATCCTGAGATGGCCTCCAAACCCTGAGATGTTACCCCTTATCCTAGGGGTCCTTAATAGGAATTATCATAAGGGACCCTAAGCCCTAAGCCCTAAGCCCTAAGCCCTAAGCCCTAAACCCTAGACCCTAAACCCTAGTAAGGACTGTTAGTATAAGGGGGAACATCCCAACCCTAAACCCTACGTCCTGAACCGGCTGGGAGTCCGACAGAGGAGCATCCTGGGGTCGATATGAGGGCTCAGGGATTTGGGGGTTTAGGGTTTAGGGCTTAGGGTTTAGGATTTAGGGTTTAGGGTTGGGGGTTTAGGGTTTAGGGTTTAGGGTTTAGGGCTGGGGGTTTAGGGTTTAGGGTTCCGCGATTGGGGGTTTGGGTCTATGACCAAGGCGGTACGTCTAGGGACGCAGGCCTCAGGGGCTGAATGCCCTCCCCCAGAAAGGCTGACCTGCTATGTATAGTAGGATTCTATATAACCAAAAAGGGTGGAAGGTTACCTACCCGGCCCCTAAGAGGTTCAGAGGAACAGGCACCCAAACTTTCGAGTTGTTCAGGCAGGTTTAGGAGCTTTGGGTTTAGAGTTTAGGGTTTAGGGTTTAGGGTGAAGAGAAAGAGAGCCTGCAAGTGAACCAGCCACGCAACACCCAGACTCAAAAACCCACACCTTTCCATGGACACAGAACACAGAGGCCTGCCACAAATTTACCGACATGCAGAAGGGCCTAGGCCCGAATCACACAATGAAACCTTGAACACGAATCCTTAAACCCCGGTCTAGGAGACAGGGGATCTCCCCAAGCCTTTCAACCCTAAACCCTAAACCCTCAACCCTAGACCCCAAACCCTAAACCCCAAACCCCAAACCCCAAACCCTAAACCCTAAACCCTAAACCCTAAACCCTAAACCCTAAACCCTAAACCCTAAACCCTAAACCCTAAACCCTAAACCCTAAACCCTAAGCCGTCCTCCCACAGCACCGCGAGCATAGGTCGCCGATGCCCAAGCGCCGCACCCAAGGCAAGCCCCGGAGAGTCCGGGCGCCTCGGCTTCATAGGGTTTAGAGTTTAGGGTTTAGGGTTTAGGGCTTAGGGTTTAGGGTTTAGGGTTTAATCCTAAGGTTGAGATCATAGGGAGTGCAGGGTCTAGGTAGTGTTTAGGGTTTAGGGCTCCTACCAGGCCTTCTTGGGGGATGCCGAAAGAGAACCCTACGTTGATTAGAGAACACTCAGAAGACGCTAGATGTCTGGACGTTGTGGACCGCAATCCCTTCTTGGGTTACGGGCTGATAGCTTGGCAGCCCATTAGGGCTTAGGGCTTAGGGCTTAGGCTTTAGGGTTTAGGGTTTAGGGTTTAAGGTTTAGGGTTTAGGCTTTAGGGTTTAGGCTTTAGGGTTTCGGTTGGTCGCTTTATAAGGAAACCTTGAGACCCCAAAAAATATACCACTGGGCTAGCAAGATAGGGTTCAGGGCAGACGAGCCCCAACGACCGGTTTTAGGGTTCAGGGTTTCGGGGGCCATTTCTGTTAATTGGGGGGGGGTTTAGGGTTTAGGGTTTAGGGTTTTTAGGGTTTAGGGTTTAGGGTTTAGGGTTTAGGGTTTAGGGTTTAGGGTTTAGGGTTTAGGGTTTAGGGTTTAGGGTTTAGGGTTTAGGGTTTAGGGTTTAGGGTTTAGGGTTTAGGGTTCCGGGTTCAGGGTTCAGGGTTTAGGGTCCTTGTCGAAGTGACGTAAATGGCCTCAGAAGCTCGAAGCCCGGAAGCTTCAGGGTTTTTAGGGGTTGGGGGTTAGGGTTTAGGGTTTAGGGTTTGCTCGCCGGATGAGCGCTTCTTCGTGGGTGGTTTAGGCGGAGGCGAAGAACGTGCAGACATCCCTGGGCTGTTCCATATTCTGGTCCTTCGTATAAGGGTCCCACCCTACACCCTAAACCCTAAACCCTAAACCAACCTTACAAACCCTAAGCCCTAAACCCCAAACCCCAACCCTAAGCCCTAAACCCCAAGCCCCAAACCCTAAACCCTAAACCCCAAAGCCTACTTTTGGTCGAGCTAGGGCCGAGGCAGGATCTTACCGCAGGAGCCCGCTTCTGCCATGGCGGATGTTGTGGGACTTGCTATAGCAAGTCTAGGGTTTTTGGGGGTTTAGGTTTTGCGGAAGTGTAGGCTTCGGGTTTAGGGTGTAGGGTGTAGGGTTCAGAGTTTAGGGTTTCAGTTTTAGGGTTTAGTTTTAGGGTTGTTTAGGGTTTAGCATTTATTTGTTCAAGGGGTACTCTGATGCCTGCAAAGATTGTTATTCATGCCATGGCGTCTGTTGCTCTTTGGCAGTAACGCGCGGACAAAGCAACAACCCCTGTTCTTCATCTGGGCCGGGCAGCTCACCTCTACCTGGGTCTCTTTTTACCTACAGCTGTATCGGTCAGACCTACTAGTTCTGGTGGAATTGTTCTCAGACTGAAGCTACATGGTTTAGGTTTGGGGTTTAGGGCTTAGGCATGCCACCTCAACCTGCAACTACCCGATTTTGTTCCACCCGAGCTGTGCAGCTCGAAGCCGTCGGGAGGCTGTCGGGGCAGGCAGCCGTTCCAAACGGATGCCCAGAGCTTGCTGGGTTTAGGGTTTCGGGTTTCGGGTTCAGGGACGAAAACTTGGGATTGGTGGCAACTTCGGCCACGGAGGCCGGAGGCAAACCGGAATATTGCTTCAAGGCCTCGGACTCGGTAGCTTCGCCGAGTCTGACAAAGCACCCTCTGCCGTGTCGTGACGCGCTGTCACCGGAACTTAGTGGCCCAGTAACCATATTATAACAAGGGTACCCTTTTTGGGGTTAGTTACTGTATAAGGGAACCTTGAGCCAAAAAAAAGGAAAAGGGCACCACTGGGCTACCAAGGGAATGAAGATTGCGGCAATGGAATGCCACTTGGAAAACCAAACGAATTCGTAGGAAAACTCAGCCGCGCTCCGGATGGAACACGCCAAAACATCTTACCATTGCTTCATAGGGAATGAATTCCATGTATATGTTCATATGAGTGTTATGATTCTGACTATTAGTACTACTGCGACTACCCTGTCTTTCGTTCCCTACCACAAGCAACAGCAAGAAAGGAAATGAAAACAATTTTCGTCCGGCCCAAGCCACTAAAAGCCTCCGCGCAGCTGTGCTGAGAGGCCCTGAACGGAGTGATGTGACGGGAGGCGTGGGGGTTTAGGGCTTAGGGTTTAGGGTTTAGAGCTTAGGGTGTTCTAACTTGGGGTCTCTTGCTGCACCTCCCCTGACCAACAAAAACTAGCAACCTCAAACCGCCAAGCTCAGCACAAACCTTCAAGTCGCCGTTGTTGCAGATTTTGTGCCTGTGACCCTCAGAGGGCGCTGAGCCTTTCTGGTACGAGTCTGGGTTTTCCGGTGCACCTTAAAACCTCCAAGAAGAAGCCCCAGAACCCATGCGATATACCTTAGAACTCCCGAAAGCCCAACAACCCTGCAATACCTACCCGAACACTACCCTAAACCCTAAACCCTAAGGCCTAAACCCTAAACCCTAAACCCTAAACCCTAAACCCGAATCCCACATCCCAAACAAAAAAAAGCCGCCTCAGAAGCGAGCGAAGACGCTGGAGCCCTGGGCCGCACGCCTCAGGACCTCAACAGGGTTTAGATTACTTGGCTACACTCGGAAGGGTTTAGGGTTTAGGGTTTAGGGTTTAGGGTTTAGGGTTTAGGGTTTAGGGTTTAGGGTTTAGGGTTTAGGGTTTAGGGTTTAGGGTTTAGGGTTTAGGGTTTAGGGTTAAAATTTTAGCTGCCTTAGTAAGAAACCCAATAAACCCAAAAAGGCTAAGGATCTAAAGTTACAGCAAAGAGCCACAAAGATTATAAAGGCCGGTGATAGCCCATGGATACCCTAATAAGAACCCCGAATTCATGACCCTCGACAACACAGACCCTACTCAAAGAGACCACTAACCCATATACGGTTTAGAGTTTTTTTTTTACGGCCTCCTGTTTAAGAAGGCCGTGATGTGTTGTTTGCTGCTCTGCTAACTTTGAGGGTTTAGAGTTCAGCGTTGAAGTGGGTCAGGGGTCTGAAGGAAGCTTTTTAGGATTTCTAGGCTTAGCCTAAACCTTCACCCTGACCCTAAACCCCAAACCCCAAATCCTAAACCCTAAACGGGACCATAAAGGGAATATTACTAGTTATTAGTTACTAAACCCTAAACCCTAAACCCTAAACGCTAAATCCTAAATCCTAAACCCAAAACCCTAACTTTACGGCGGGCCTCCGGGTTCTTGCAAGCAATCATGGTGTCCACGCTGACCGCTCGCAGAACCTGCGCGACTGGGTATAGGGTTTAGGGTTTTGGTACAGTGTCGGGTCCCAGCCATGAGTGGTGGACAGGACCTTGGTTCGGAAATGTCCTGGAGCACAGCCAAACCCAGAAGACCCCTGCCACCGAAGCATATGTAACCTAAGCCATCACAACCGCGACTCAAGATTCTGAGATCGGAGAGTCCAAGCGGACTCCGATGCACTAATGACGTTGTAAATACGAGTAGTATTAAACATTGAATGCCAGAACGTAAAGATTGTGGTTATTGGGTTGGGGTTTACTCGGGTTTACCCTATATATATATATATATGTGTATGTATGTGTATGCAATCATTGAGGCGGCCGGAAGGAACGCAAAGCATCCGAGCCGAGCGACAACTTCTGGAAATATACAAACGCAACTTGGCTGTCTGAGGAAAAGGGGGGTGGGGGGAGGGGCCCCACTCCCAAACCCCAATCAGGTAGCTGCCTCCTCCACCGAGATAGTCCCCATTGCCTTCAGTGATTCAGCCACGAGCTGCATCACAGGAGGGTTTGGGAGGGTTTGGGGTTAGGAGCTTAGGGTTTGGGGTTTTGATTTGGGGTTTAGGGTTTAGGGTTTAGGGTTTAGGGTTTAGGGCCTAGGGCCTAGGGCCTAGGGTTTAGGGTTTAGGGTTTAGGGTTTAGGGTTTAGGGTTTAGGGTTTAGGGCCTAGTGTTTACGGCTAGGGTCTAGGGGTGTGACCCTTGCAAGGCAGCCCAACAGCCCCTGTGATTGGGGGAGTCTTCGTCGCATCGACTGCTAGTCCACGAAGCCCCTGCACCCCTATACTTTGGGATGTTCCCCCTTACAGAGTTTAGGTTAAGGGTTCACGCTTATACTAACAGTCCTTAATATTGATTACAGTACCCCCCCCCCCCCCTATTACAATGGTTGCTAAGGACTGTGAGTATAAGGGGGAGCATCCCAACCTGTACTTTATAGAGCGCTGAACTCTACGGCAACGTCGAATTGACATGTCAACCCTCTAATTCTAAACCCTAACCCTAAACCCTAAACCCTAAACCCTAAACCCTAAACCCTAAACCCTAATTAACCCCTAAACCCTAATTAAACCCTAAACCCCCCACCAAAAAAAATGAAAGAAACCTAGGGCTGCCACAGAAGATCGGCGGCCCGCAAAAGGATAGACATCGGGGCCGCGCCTCAACAAAAAACCCAAGGGCAGGTGGGCTTAGGGTTTAGGGTTTAGGGTTTAGGGTTTAGGGTTTAGGGTTTAGGGTTTAGGGTTTAGGGTTTAGGGTTTAGGGTTTAGGAAACCCTAGGGTTTAGGGTTTAGGGTTCCAGTGTTTCAGAAAACTCGTTCAGGGTTTCGGGTCAAGGTTCAGATTCCGGTTGCTACTTGCAACGGGTGTGTCACTGGTTGCACTGCTGCCTCCAATTCCCTACAGTTGATGCTCGCAGGATTGTGGCCTTGTTGCGCATCGCTTGACGCCATGAACTTCTGATGGGTTGACCTGCAGCCTGCTTCAAACCTGAGATGTCCCTCGTGCGCAAGGAACCATTCCTTGGGCTGGGAGGTTACAAGTCTGCAGAACGAAACCACATGATATCATTGCTACGTTTTTTTTGTGCGCACAGTGAGCCCGGCTTAACGATTCCCTACCTAAAGGCTCCTACGTAGTACCTTTTTAGGTTGCTATACTCGAATCCCCCCTATAAACTAACCCAGAAAGGAACTACATGAGAGCCTTCAGGTAGACAGCCCTCTAACCAGGTCATCAAGAGGGTCGGGCTGCCCTGCCATGTTTGTCTTCGGATGTTTCAGGATGGGAAACCTGGGATTCCTGTAGTGCATATAGGGGTTCAGGGTTTATGGGGTTCAGGGTTGAGGGTTTGGGGTATCAGACATTTCTGGCAGAGATTCTCGTAGGCAACTACGGGGTGGGTCTAGAGTCTGTGAATTTGTGTGGTCGCTCCATCAAACCTCAACCTGTCAACCCAAGACCCCCAAATCTGCAACCCCTCAACCTCAATCCACCCTAAACCCTAAACCCTGAACCCCACACCCTAAACCCTAAACCCTAAACCCCACACCCTAAACCCTAAACTGCAAACTTTGGCCAGCGGGCTGGCACTGCGCATTGATGTTCACGCGGCAGGTGCACAGCGCACACATCTCAGCAGGCAAGCTGCTAAGCTTCTGGGCTTGTGTGGGGGTTTAGGGTTCAGGGTTTAGGGTTCAGAGTTTAGGGTACCCGTGTTGGGGATCCGAATATATTGGTATAGTCATAGGATTTGGGGGGGAGGGGGGGGGGGTATTGGGGGCACCCCTCTTCCGGAAATGCCCATACGGGGGTTTCCGAAAACAGGGTTTTTTTTGGGGCGTCACTTTAAAGGGGGTACAAAAGCGGTACCCAGTTCTTTGGAAATACCCATATTGGAAGAAGCCCAAGCCCTCTGACTCATGTTCGACGCTCCCGTAGCTTTCCAAGATTTAGGGCTTGGGGTAAGCTCTCGGTTGCACGGCTTAAGGCTTCACGATTCATCTCGAACCCTAAACCCTACACCTAAGCCCCAAACCCTAAACCTTCAACCCTAAACCCTAAACCCTAAACTCCCAACACCCCATCCAAAAGACATCGTTGAACGCCCAAAGCCCCCTGGGGCCGGCAGCATCCAGAAGCTCTGGCAGCTCTGGAGACGGAGGGGCAGCCGGATCCTGCAACACGTGACTTGAGCATTAGCGCATTTTCCAAGGGTAGTTTCATGGTCCCTTAGTATGGGGTTCAGGGTTTAGGGTTTAGGGTTTAGGGTTTGAACGCTAGCCCATTTCTAAGGGTAGTTTCACGGTCCCTTAGTATGGGCCCTTAACAGGGTGTCCCTTATATACCCCTTCTATACCCTATACAAATTCAGGGCCCTTACATCAGAACCCTTTAAAGGAGGTAGGGGTCCATATTAAGGGCCCATGAAACTACCCTTAGATCATTCAGGCTTGTAAGGGGTTGGGTTTGGGGTTTATAGGGTTTGGGGATTAGGGTGGTTCATGGACTGCGGAGATTGCAGCTCAGGGAAATCACGCATATGGGTGCCCGAAAATTGGCCGAGCAGAAGCCAGGGCTGTGGAGTCGAACCAAGCCCTTGCTTCTGCTCATAGGGGACTACACCATGCGCAAGTCAGGGCTACGGAGAGGGTATGTGGGCAAAGGGCGCATTCGAAGGGTTCCTCCATCTGGGCAGCATGCTACAACCAGCACCATTCTCTTAAGGGGTAGACGACAGGTGTCCGGTAGCGGATCGTGCATCAGGACCACTCCCCCCCCCCCCACCCCAAACCCCCAGCGCCACCCGCCGACCCACCCCTCAACCCTGCCGTGCCATGACACCCTAAACCCTAAACCCTAAACCCCTAAGACCCTAAACCCCTAAGACCCGAAACCCCTAAGACCCTAAACCCTAAACCCCTAAGACCCTAAACCCTAGTTGGCATGAGTCAATGGTGCATGGTCTCGGGGTTTGCTTAGGCGCGCATCCTGGGAGGTGAAGATGGTGGTCTGCTGGCCGAAGTGCATCCTGAGATCACTGCACAAGGCAACCTGCGCACTTTTTCAACCTTCAAGACCAGCTCTCAAATGAAGCAATCAATAAAATTAAAAAGTACCATGGTACATGTAGCAAGATGTATAATTAAGCAATCAATAAAACCACCCTATCATAGTACATATAGCAAAGATGCCTTCCATAAGCAACCAGTAAAAAGTACCCCGAACTTCGGAAAAACCACCCTTTTAAAGTGTCGCCAGCTGTCTTTCGGAGCCACTCGATGGGCTCCTGGATGGTGTCGTAGGGTGCCTCGGTGACTTGCGCCCAGGCTGCATCACTGCTGCAGTCACGTCGGGACAGTGGGAGGGTGTGGGGTGGAACTTGGGATGCTCCCCCTGCTACGAACAGTCCCTAGTAGGGATTGCAGTAACCACCCAAAATTAATCCCTACTAAGGACAGTTTGTATAAGGGGGAACATCCCAAGTTCAAGGCAGAACTCTCAAGGTTCAAAGCTCAACTGTACACTTTAAAACCCACAAACCGGCCGAATGAAAGAACTGAGACGTCCCAATCCGACGTCACTTGCCCAGTGCAACTTTCTCCACAAGGGTTTAGATGTTAGACCATTTAACTCTAAATCCTGAAAGCCTAGATCTGCGGGCGGGCTTCGATTGGGATCACTGGGCCGAACTGTTCAGCCGTCCAGAGCTGCATCTCCGCATTCACAGGGTATAGAACCTCCAGGGCATTCTAGGGTTTAGGGTTTCTGTTTTCGGAGGGATGCAACTAAGGCTCCCTGTCCGGCCTTAATTTCGGTTGCATAAGCTTGGATGAGGGTTTTGATTAGTACTAAAGTGGGGTTCAGCTAGCTTAAGTTGAGGTCTAATGAAGGCTAACAAGTCCGGAGCTCTCAAGGATCTGGAGAGCCATCCGCTTAGGGTTCAGGGTGTTTAGGGACCCCCCTGAACCCTAGCGTTTCGGGTATGGCACCTCACGACACAACAAAGGAACTACAATCGGAGGCATCAATCCCCAATCCATCCTGCCAAGCTCAAAACCTCTGAGCACCCAACATCCTCCATCTTCCTAAGCCCTGCAGGCATGCGTACAGAACTCCTAGAATTCACACCCAATACCTTGAGCCCTAAACCCTCGAACCCCGAAAGCCCCCAAGCCTTTTCCTAGCTCTAATCGAACCTAAACCCCAGCACCATGATAATAACGCCAAACCCTTCCAAACTAGCCTTAAACCCATCGGTATATATATATATATATATATATCGACACATACACACACACACACATATATATATATATGTATATATACACATATATAGGTATATATATAGGTATATATATATATATTCCAACATATAGGATTCTATAGGGGGTTGTCGGGTACAAAATATTGTCCAGCCCGAACCCTCAAACCCGGCCGTTGGTGCGAAGAGCGTCCGATCGCAGTGCGCGCCGCCGGCTCCGGCGTTGATCACCCGGGCACCTTTGGCCAGGGCGTCCTGCGGGTCGAGAGGTTTAGGGTTTAGGGTTTAGGGTTTAGGGTTTTAGGGTTTAGGGTTTAGGGTTTAGGGTTTAGGGTTTAGGGTTTAGGGTTTAGGTTGGGGGGTGTGGGCGGGTGGCGGGGTTGGGGGATGGCCAAAACTAGAAAGAGCCAGCATTGTATGGACCGTAAGGAGCAACAACATCATCCCTAAACCCTAAACCCTAAACCCTAAACCCTAAACCCTAAACCCGAAATTTTAAACCAAAGTGACAATAACTGTTATTGCCTCTCTGACTTATGAGTTCGCTACGATTGGAAGTAGAGATCAGGCATGGCAGGCCCATGTCCACCGAGATGCCTGTCTTGAGGCACGAGGCACTGAAGCACTGTGCAACTCAACACCGAAGAATAATAGAGGGGCCTCTTCAATCAGAACGGGTAGTTTGGAGTAGGCTGATACTGAGAATTATGATGGAATACCGTTGGCAAATATGTGGGCTCCTTATACGCATGGTCAGGCTTGTACCCTAAAAACCCGAAAAGCCGAAACCCTAAAAGTTTTACAGGAGCAGGTCCTCTGTCAGTTGCTTCATGAAGTCCGTGCCAGTGCATGCCTCCAGTTTCCCAGGGTGTAGAGATATCGTCAAGCTCCAGAAGAGGGAAACCGGCATGCGAACGCTTGGCCGCGGAACCTCCCTGAACCTCAGGCACTGAACCCTAAACCGTAAACCCTGAACCCTGAACCCTGAACCCTAAACCTTGTTGTCTGAAGCCGAGGGGCCAAAGGAGTGACGTTGTTCTTCCCAAAAGGAAGGCCAACTGACAGACCTTGCACAATAAAAACTCGCGGGGGTAGATTAGGGTTTAGGGTTTAGGGTTTAGGGTTTAGGGTTTAGGGTTTAGGGTTTCTGGTTTAGGTTTTAGGGTTTAGGGTTTGGGGTTTAGTTTATCAAGGCCGGTGGCCTCTTTATCTGTTGCCCTTGCGCCTTGATATAGTCCTTAGATACCCCCATAAGAACCCCCTACAGAACAGAAATCCTACTTAAAGAGACCACCAAGCAAAATAAGGTTAAGTGTTTAGACTTTAGGGCTTAGGGTCGTACATGTAAGTACTATACGATTTGTACGGCTGGTGTTTTTGAACTTCGTACTAGTCCATGCAGAAGGAGGGAGGAATAAAAGGTTTCAGTATTCGTTCTGAGGGCGCCTAAGATTTCATTCTACCAAACGGCTTCTTGCACAAGGCCATGAGGGAACATGTTACATCCGGAACCTCTAAGCTGCAGCATAAACCAAGATCCTGCAGTCTCAGCACTTCAATGACCAAAACAAGCACTGAAAGGGTATGCTTTGGGCCTTACTCGGAAGCCCTTTTGACTTAGTAGCGTTAGAAAGTTGGGTCATGGGGACTCTAATCCAATTTCTTAGGGATACTACTTACTAAGTCAAAAGGGCTTCCAAGTCATATAAGGGCCTTCTCATAACTAGAGTAGGCTTCTTTTTTTTTTGGGGGGGGGGGGGGGGGGGGGGGGGGGGGGGCTGGCTATTCTAGTGCAAAAAAACTGTAGGGACCATAAGGGAATACCAGTAGCAATTATTCTGACCCACCCTATGTTGGGGGATCTTAGGGTGGGCTCGCGGGATGCCTCCAATGGCAGCGCAGAACTTCTGGTTGAACTGCTCTACGATGCTCCGATGTGCCATGATCAGCCTTGGTGGCCACGGTCTGGGGTTTAGGGTTTAGGGTTTAGGGTTTAGGGTTTAGGGTTTAGGGTTTAGGGTTTAGGGTTTAGGGTTTAGGGTTTAGGGTTTAGGGCTACCTTATGGGGGTCCTACTAATCAGGGGATCCTACTATTTGCGGGTCTATGTCGGGGGCCCTTTATTTCGTAATGAAACCCTACATGAGCTGCAAGGATTTGCTTCTGGGGGGGCCGCAGATGTAGGCCTGCAACCCCCACCCTAGAGCCCTAAGGCCATATACATCCATCAGCCGCAAGTCTCCACCATCCGAAACCCTGTCATCCTACTGCTTCGCACACGCACATCGCATGGAATCGGAGTTCGTTCCAGGCTCGGTCTCGGATTTTGTAGGAGATGTTGGGCCCATAGGTCTTAGACGGCTTAGGGTTGGTTGGATTGACTCTATACATGGGCGGGGGATTTGTTCCATCTTTCAGGGCCGTTTACGGGCATAATTGAGAAACCTTGTACACTCCTGAAGCGAGTCCAATAGCAACATGTGGCAGCGCGGGGGTGATGAGTATACGGCCATGAGCATCTCCGGACTATTTTGCAGCTACAGCTCGAGAATGGCGGCCTGAAGGGTTGCCATTATGACGGGCATCACTGGGGAGATCATTGCAAGCGGCTGCCTGCGAAGGATCAATCTTGCACTGATCCAGGCCCGCCGAGCCTCTAAATCCTGCATCGTCCTCGGGGCTGCCAAGGGCTTCATAGCGCTTCCGCATGGTGCGCAAACTTGCGATCGGCACTTCAGTGTTCCAGTAGGCCCCCGCGTGGACGCGGATGCTCCTATTGAGCAAAATTCGCGAGAACGCCAAAGATCTCTGGCGTGCCGAATGCCCCATCGGGGAAGGCACTCAGAAAGCCGGCCACCCGCACTGGATCATCGTACTCCGCCATTCCATTCACTACCGAGTGGCTTGTGGTACACTCATCGGATGTTCTGCCTCCAAGACTCTCGTTGGAGATGGACTCGTCAGGGAGGGCGAGAACCCGATTCTTGAGCTCTTGCCACTCAACCTTCGGCATCGCAAGTGCAACAGCAAAGCTGGCACCGTAGCCACCAGCAACCAACTCCAACATCACTGCGCCCTCGGGGCTGAGCTCAGGAAATGTAAGAGCTGTCACCCTAGCAGCCGCGTCATCACGGATGGGATGCCAAACGGCTTCATTCTCAGGAGCTGGACGCCAGCTGCGCAGATGACAAAGGAACTGTGCTCGTTGCTGCCAGCCCAAGATGAAACTTGCTGGGTTTCGGAGCATCTGCCGCAGTGTCCGCAGCCGCTCATCTGCTAGAGGCCCTGGCTGCACAACCAGATTTCGGATCGACGTCAGCTGGTACTCCAGGCTTTGCATGATACGCCTGGGTAGCCCAGTAACCATATTCTGATAAGGGTACCCTTTGGGGGTCGGCTACTTTTGTGGAAACCTTGCACAACAAAAAAGGGCCAAAATAGGCTACCAACTGGGCTGCCAAGACACCCGAGCCCCTGCAAACGAGCTGCCGCCCTGGGCCGCCCCCCTGGAGCGCCAGCCCCGGCTTTGGGAGCCGCTGCCATGACTTTGGCCTTGGCTTTGGCCTTGGCTTTGCCCTTGGCGTTGGCTTTGGCTTTGACTTTGGCTTTGGGCGGCATTTGGGCAAAATCGGCACTCGGATGGCGCGGCCTCCAGGAGCGAAGTCATGCCTTGAGAATTAGAATAGGGTTTTGGGGCTCGTTATAAGAAGTGGGAGTACTACTAGTAATTATTCCGACTCCTGGTATGTGTATATATATATATGTATATATGAGTGCTTGCCTCAATTATGTTGTCTAAGCCAGTACTACGGTGGACACGAGGCGCGAACACCAATAATGCGGAAAGCGATATGGGCGCCACCTAAAGTGATAACATGAGTTTGCACATTCAGATAGTTGTCCCCGACTCCCATAATATGCAAAGCGATATGGGCCCCACGTAAAGGGCTAACATGGCATTCTGCGACCTCGCACTCTGTAAAGTAATTTTGTCCGTCGCTCACACACACACATGTATATATATATATATATACATAAATAAAAAAACAAACAAATAAATATCTATACATATATATACATTATCTGAGCAGTCTTTGCAGGCTTGGAGCTTGATGGCGGTGCACCGCTGGCCATTGAAGGAGGTGCTGCCGGCCAGGCACTCCTGGTACGAGTAAAAGCCATGGCCCTCCACGACACGACCCTTTAGGGCTAGGGTTTAGGGATTAGGGTTTAGGGTTTGGGGCTTAGGGTTTAGGGTTTAGGGATTAGGGTTTAGGGTTCCTAAACCCTAAACCCTTAATATCCCCAGGCCCTGCACATGATTCTGTAGTCGTCTAGGCGGTCCTTAACGGCAAGATGAAGGTCCGCATCGGGCATCACCTGAGCACGAAGTAGTCAATTTTTGCGCATAGTCCCGCCACTCTATGGGTAAGTTGTTGGATGGTCCTGAACACCTGGATCTGAAGGTCAAAAGTCCAAACGGATTTAGAAAGAGTTGCCGGCTTGAGTGTGGACTTATGAGGAGCCTTCAATGAACTCTGTGACGGATTCATTAGACGGAAGTCTTGAAGCCCGATGGTTGGCAGCGGAGGCAGCCTTTCTAACGATGAGTCAGATGCCATGTCCGGGGTAAGGATTCCAAGGGAGCCAGAACAATCTGTATGACAGCGCCGCAAGAGCTACTCTAAAGACCATGCAGCCCAAGCACTATGGCCAGGTTCTTCGCATCCAGGGACAAGAGGTTTTTCAGCCGATGTGGCTGGGGGTGCGCCTGTCGAGACAGAGAGAGCGAGAGCGAGAGCGAGAGCGAGAGCGAGAGAGAGAGAGAGAGATTGCCCTAGGCAAACCGCATGCGTCCCGACCGTCTCGCCAAAAGAATTACCTCTGAAACGTACAACCTAAATGAGCTAAACGCTGCACCCTATAGTAATCCCTGGTGAGGACCGACCCCCAAAAGTTTGAGTGTTTAAGTGCAAGTAGGTATTTGGGGCTGCAAGTGAAGTCCCAAACCCTGAGCCTTATGAACCCGAAAGCCTACATATCCTAGAGGCGGTGTTCAACTGAAAGCCCATACTAGAGGCCCCCGACTCGAGACTTCTTGAGGGCTTCCCAAAATCTACAGGGGATCGCACGATATTTGGGGGATAGCAGAGGTACCCTGTGTTGGGAAATGTCCTTAAAGACCCCAATATGCAACCCCATCCGAGATCCCGAAGCTCCAATTCCCTTTTGAACACCTCCGATCCTACTCCAAACCTCCTGAGCCCCCCGCACCCCCCCACCTCCCGGTTTTTGCGCCAGCTTTCCCTGAACCCTAAACCCCTCCAAATCCCGCATCCCCCCCCCCCCAGCCTTGACCAGGGCGTCGGCCGCTTTCGAGGAGCCGATGAAAGCAAAGATGTCGACCAGCCCGGACTCCATGCAGGGCCTAAATATGGAGGGGGGGGGGGGGGGGGGGTGGTTGGAGAGGAGGTTTAGGGCTTAGGTTTTAGGGTTTAGTTTGAGAGGAGGTTTATATAGGGTTGAGGGTATTAGGGTTTATAGGCATCCTTAAGTAGATAGAATATTTGAAAATCAGAAAAAACAAAAACCCCCCCCTTTCCAAAAGGATAGATAAAGTATCAAAAGCCCCAAATGTTACTATATATTCTATCTATGGGTTCCCTCTCTATGACAGTGTTTGAGTCGTGGATTTGGGTTTTCGGGGTTTCGGGTTTAGGGTATATAATGTAAGGCTCCAAACAGCCCAAAGTAGGCATCACTTGCAGACGCCTCTCTTGAGGCTTACATAGCCTGAGAACCCTGGCCTAAAGTTTAGGGCGGAGAGGCGCCTTCGGGGTCGGGGTTAACTATATTCTATCTACTTACTTCTCCAATAACCAAGGGGAAAAAAAGGTTAAACTTTAATATTTCTACTAAATAAGGAAACCCAAAAAGTTTAAAGTTCACCTAAAGGCGAAGTAAGTCTATGGGTTCCCAGGGGAGTTGGAGGTGCTCTCGTCGGGAGAGGACGCAAGAGAAGTTATGGATTGGTGGTGTGGGTTTGGGGCGGGTGGGGGGTGGGATTTTGGGGGTCCCCCTCCGGCGCAAACCTGAAAATATGAACAATATTGTTTTGCATTTATGCGCCCCCCCTCCCCCCATGTTGCATTGATTAAGGGGTGGGGGGCTGTCGGGGTTAACTCTATTCTATCTGTTTTTTTTTTTTTCCCTCTTCCCGTCCTCTTCCTCTCCTGTTCTTACACAAGGATATTCTATCAAGGGGTTCAAACACAGAATTTCGCAAAAAAACAGCTAGCAATTCCAAAACGCCATCTATTCCAGGATGACTATACACGCGTATAATATAGACTGTTGTGTGTCTACAGAAAACAGTGTCACATTCTGTCAAGACCCCTGCGGATCTGAACGGTTGAGGGGGGTTTTGGGCTTTTTCCCACTTTTTTGAAGGAACCCATCGATCGAATCTTGAAACCCATAGATAGAATATGTGTGCAGGAGGCCGAAAATGGGCGTTTTTTCGGTGTCCCGAAAATATTCTACCTATGGGTTCCTTCAAAAACGTGGGAAAAGCCCAAAACCCCGAAAAAATCACCCCCCCCCCCCCCCCAAATTCACCTACTCAAGGATGACTATAGCTCGGGGTTTAGGGCTTGAAAAAGTTTAAGGGTTGGAGGGGTAGGGCGGGGGCGGGGGGCCTGAGGGTAGGGACCCAAGGTCTGGGGCTCAGGGGGTTAGTGCATCTCGAGCTTCGAGTCTTTAGGGCTTGGTTTCTTCTGCTTTTTGGCATTGGCCTTCTTTGGGGTTGAGGCCTTCAGTAGGGTGTGGGGTTCAGGCTTGAAGGGTTTCGAAAGGGGTCAACTGTCGGGGGAAGCAGGGCCTTTGAGGCCTCAAGTAAGGTCAATGGTTGTCGTGCTAAGCTCTACGGTGTCGTGCGGGCTCAGGGCTCAGGGTGAGCTTGTGTTGTTGTGTTTCTTGGGTCTGGGTTTTGGCCTTTGAGAGAGGCGGAGGGGCTAGGAGGGTCTTGTAGACCCTCCATATAAACTCTAGAAGCCCCAGACAAGCCCCCAGAGTTGAGCCCTCTTTAGCCCCTCATATGCCCGAGCCAGAAGAAGCCCTGCAAGCCCTGCGCCTTCTCCGTAAACCGAAACCCGAACTTACACCCTATAACCCCTAAACCCTAAACCCTAAACCCTAAACCCTAAACCCAGCCGGGTTCCCCGGCGGCATCGTGTCGCGGCCGCGACCCGAGACGAAGTTCACCACGCCGGCGGGAAAGCACTCGGCGTACGCCTGGCGGTGGAGCTCTGAGATGGGGGTTTAGGGGTTGGGGGGTTTAGAGGTTTAGGGTTTAGGGTTTAGGGTTAAAGGGTTTCGGGTTAAAGGGTTTCAGGTTTAGAGCTTTGGGAGGGCGGGGGGAGGGAGGAAGGAGGGACTCTGGCTCTTCTTCAGCTTAGGGTCGGCAGCAGTAGTGATGAGGCTGGCTCCGCCATGACAGCAGCTGTTGCAGGGGTTTCAGGGCTTTCTGGGGTCATAAGAAGGCGGACTAAGCCCTAAACCCTTCAAAAAACCTAAACCCTAAACCCTAAGGCTCCAAGGACTCTTATTCTAAGGTTTTTGGGCCCAAAAGGCCTTGTTAGACCAGGTTTTTGGGCCTTTTTGAGCCTAAGGGTAAGCCCTAAACCGGAACATCACCAGTTAAGATCGCTCTAAGCCCTCCGACTCTGAGATCCGCAGCCTCCATCGTCAGGAAGTGCGCCAGTCCGCCGGTGTTTGGCACCTTCATGACCACGGAGTCACCGATGAGCAAGGCCTGGGCAAGAGTAAGTGGTTTGGGCTGTTTTAGAAGTGTATTCAAACTCTGAGAAACAGACCTCTTCCGGTGCCACAAACCAATTGAGTCTACAGTCTTACCAAACAGCTTACTTATTAAAGCATCGTAGCCAATGTTAGTTGCCTCTCTGATGCGTGATCCCCTCTGTATCCCCCACCTTCATATCGGAAAATGCTGCATGCTTACTTGGTGACTGCTACACTGCTCACCATTCCAAGACGGTAAGAGTCAGCAACGCTTATTTCTTCCACTTCTTCAACCGCTCGCCACTGCAACGCTGGTGAATCTGCTCTCCTCACCATGACCAACGGAAAGCACAAGGACCCCACGGGGATCAGCGTGGCATACGTCTCGTTGAAAGGGTAGTTGGAAGGGCCCATGTTCATCATCACCTGAACAAACGGAATCTGCTGACCGGTGATGCAGGAGTCTTAAAAAACTCCTAGCGTGGGGGCGGGGCGGGGGAGGGGGGTTACCTGGAAAGTATGGGCTGTATAGTGGTTCCAAGGGAATTTGGCTGCAAACATTGGTTCATGTCTGAGCACACCGCGCCCACTGGCGAGCGCTTGAGCAGGGCGTGGACTCCTTCCTGAGGGCAGCTTTTGTTCCAGGACGTGCGCTGAAAAGCTGAGGGCCATTTTCGTTTAGGCTTCACGGTTTATTCTTTGGGTTTGGGATGGTTTAGGCTGAATGCACCCAGGAATTCCACATCTTCTCACTTCGCGACAAAGGCTCACCTGCAGCTACCCTGCTGTGATCAAAGCCCTGCACCCTGAACCTGCTCTCCAGATGATGAAAGACAGTGGATTTGGAGCTGGGCTCAACAAGGCTACAGTGCTACAGCACTTGCAAAAGCAGATAGCTTACAGGTCCGCATGGCTGCCCAAGATTCCTAGCTGTCCCTGGCACGCCGTTGCTTACGGTTGCTGGGCGCAAGAGCACACTAGGAATACAAAGGGTGCCCTTTTTGGTCCAAAGGGGCTTGGAAGGGAAGCTGAGCCCTAAACCGAGGGATAAGGGGCCCACTCTGGGTCCGAGGTTATGTGACGGCGACTATGGGATACTGGGCCGTCCCTACAACCTCACATGGAACGGCAGGTTTAGGGTTTAGGGTTTAGGGTTTAGGGTTTAGGGTTTAGGGTTTAGGGTTTAGGGTTTAGGGTTTAGGGTTTAGGGATGCTACAGTCAGCACCAACAACAACCCTAAACTCAAACCCCCTTAAACCCTAACCTAAACCCTCTAAAACGGTAAACCCCTACGCCATAGAATCCCAGAAATGAGATACCCTCACAAAATTCCTCAACCCTAAACCCTAAACCCTAAACCCTAAACCCGAAACCCTAAACCCTAAACCCTAAACCCTAAGAAGGAGGCGGCCTGGCACACTGGCCCGGTCGAGTCCATCCTCCGGGCTGTGGCAATCAGGGCCTGGCTGCCGGAGGGTTCAGGAATGTGGGGTTTAGGGTTTAGGGTTTAGGGTTTAGGGTTTAGGGTCTAGGGGTTGAGGGTTTAAGGTTTGGGGGTTTAGGAGTTTAGGGTTCAGGGGCTTGGGGGTTTAGGGTTTAGGGTTTAGGCGCTGAGGGGTTTAGGATTTAGGGCTCTAGGGGTTTTGGGGTTTGGGATTTGGCTGCTTTGGGGTTTAGGGTTTGAGGGTTGAGCTTCAGGGGCCTTACAAGGGGTTCCATCCGACAACGCAGCGGCATGGGGTGTTACAGGTAATGCAGACCGAAACAGTAACCCTGCGTCTCCAACATCGCGGAAGGAGGACCTGGATAAAGTCCATGGTACGGTCGAACTCCTTGCTCAAAGTCATGGAGGACCAGTCTGAAGGGCATTAAATAAGTAAACAAATAAATAAATAAATCAATAAATAAATCAATAAATAAATAAATATATACATATATATGTCATATATCATATATCACATATCATATATCATATATCATATATCATATACCATATACATGTATCAAGGGACGATATATAACACTGCAATGACCAACTATTGATATGTCCATGGCTAGCAACTTGCGATTGTAACTATTGTTGATGTCATTCCAATTCTTCCTCTCAATCCAAGTTTTGCTCTTCTGGCAGCAGTGCAGCTAAGTCTTGCCCGTCCTTCGCCGCATCGGCATCCTCAAAGGTCAGGGCCGGGCACGAAACTGCTAACCAGGATGTAGGACCAACGAACACGCTTTCAACAGCTAGCGATGCTCCAGAACTGCGAGGGAGGGGTGAGAGCCCATCACCCAAGTGAAGCATCCCCTACACCCTGACCCCTACATCATGCAAAGAGAAAGGGTGCAACTTGAAGGATATTGTGGTCCAAGGGCCTCTCCTTCCCCCATTTGGAAGCCAAGCGTCGTTCTTGCAGATCTCCCACTGCAGGACCGATACGATCTTGCCCCTGATCTCCTTTCAGGTGCACGGGAGCTAAGGGCCTTCGGGTCACGGCGCCTGCCCTTCACCCAACTTCTTGAGTTGCTCGGAGCGACGGATGCTCAAAAGGTCCTTCAGCCTGTCCATGAGCTTCTCGACCTGGCCGATGCTTTCGGCAAAAGAATGCAAAAAGGCTTTTGGCTGCTTTTGGGTTATAATTAAGTCCTAGTCACACACAACGGAGTCAAAGGATAGCCAACTGTTCTGAGAGGGTAGGGCTGCATGTTGCTCGGCAAGTGGTGATTCATGCCCAAGCGCACCCGTCCATTTGCGCACTGGAGGGTGTTGCATGCTACCAGCACTTTCTTTGCTTCCTTCATTCTTGGGGGGATGAGGGTGCGGGGTCCTCACGCAGTTCGCTCACTTTGAACATGTATAGGCAGACAGTGCTGCAAACAGGCATACGCACATGCTGTACACATAAGTTCATGTACTTGCTGTGCTTCTGCTGTAGATAGCTCTAGAATAAAACATCTTCTACTTTATCCAATTCTAGAGGTTGGCCTATTTGGAGCCGTCGGTCTAAACCCTAAACCCTAAAGCCCTAAAGCCCTAAAAGCCTGAAACCCTGCAACCCTGAAACCCTAAACCCCTACACCCTAAACCCTACAACCCTAAACCCCAAAACCCTAATCCCCACAACCCTAAAACCCTACAACCCCAAAACACTAAAACCCCACAACCCTGCACGCCTAAACCCTACACCCCTAAACCCTAAACCCCTAAACCCCACAACCCTAAAACCCTACAACCCCAACACACTAAAACCCTACAACACCGCACGCCTAAACCCTAAACCCCTAAACCCTAAACCCCTAAACCCAACAACCCTAAAACCCTACAACCCCAAAACCCTAAAACCCTACAACCCTGCACGCCTAAACCCCCAACCCCCAAACCCCAAACCCTAAACCCTAAACCCCCAAACCCCTGCTCCCTAAACACTCAAGACGCCACAGGCGTACCGCCGCTACTCGCTGCTCCAGGGTCTTCCTCGGCCACTCTCCGCGGCCCAAGTCCCAGGCCTGGCGACACGCCGACTGCCGTATAAGGTTTCGGGGAGGAAGGGTTTAGGGTTTAGGGTTTAGGGTTTAGGGTTTAGGGTTTAGGGTTTAGGGTTTAGGGTTCAGGGTTTAGGGTTTAGGGTCTAGGGTCTAGGGTCAAGGGTCAAGGGTCTAGGGTTTAGGGGTTTAGGGTTCAGAAATGAGGACGAAATAACGCATGTAGAAGGTTCGGGATTAGAGGTCTGTGACAGTGAACTGAAAGGATACCTTTACCCGATGGCGGGCAGGCCCCTGGAGGGGCCAGACTGAACAAAAGACACCCGAAACGCAGCGCACGTCTCTTTCTGGTTTAGGGTTTAGGGTTTAGGCTTTAGGGTTTAAGTAAGATGTCTTTGGCAATGCCAGTTACTATAACAATCTGGGCCTCTGAATGAACTCCTGAACCCTTACCCCTTTGAACCCTTAATTAAAGCCTTTCCTGAACTCTCTGCAGCCCTAAAACCCTGAAACCCCCAACCCTCAACTTTTTGAACACCTAAACCCTCCAATTGTGCCTTCGCGGCCGCCTGCACCGCCTGCACCGACTCTTTGGGGGACATGGTCGCCTGCCGGCCTGGCGCAGGGTTTATGGTTTAAAATAGGGTTGAGGGTTTTTAGGGTCTTGGGGTTTCGGGATTTGGGTTGTCTTGGGGTCTTGGGGTCTTGAGGTTTAGGCCATTGGTTGAGGCTCTTAGGGGCTAGCCGTAAGAACGCCCCAGGCATTGCTTTGTTTTGCAGACCTAGAACACAAAACGAAGTAGGTGTTCTTTAGCTCTTTAGGCAGTTTTGGAAAACCAGAAACCCGGACCCAGACCCTATAAACCTTAAAACCCCGCCAATTCTTCCGACCCATTCCTAGAGATCAGAAGTGCATTCGAAGACCCTGAACCCCTTTTAAGAGCACTCAAACCCCCAATGACCCCCCCAAACCTGAATTTTAAAACACTCAAACCCGGAAAGCCTCTGAAGCCCCCAAACCCTGAACCCAAAGTGAAACCCTAAACCCCTAAAACCCCTAAAAGCCCCTAAACCCTTAAACAAAACCCAGACTCCCCCAAAGCACAAAGAGCCCCTCAAAAACCTAAACCCCAAACCCTAAACCCCAAACCCTAAACCCTAAACCCCAAACCCTAAACCCCAAACCCTAAACCCCAGCTGCCTATGCAGATGCGCTCCCCGGTCTCGGAGCAGTAGACGGGTGAGAAAATCTCAGAGAAAATGCCAGGCCATGGCTTGACCTCTTCGGCTCCAATCTTCTTTGTTATTGTAGGCTGTTTTTGGGGGGGAGTTTAGGGTTTTAGGGTTGCTGGGGTTCGGGGTTTGGGGGGTTTACTGTTGTTGCTTTTGAGGGCTTTGGGGGGTGTAGGGGTTTGGATTTTTAGGATTCTATTTCTTCAGGGGCCTGGGGGGTCTCGGGTTCAGGGCTCTAGGGTTTAGTTGAGAAACTGTGCTAAGTACTAGACCCTTCTTGTATATATACCGATGTATACCGTTGAGAAAATTGTTCAGGGGTTTGGGCCACTTGTAAAGGGAGGGGGGGGGGGGGGGTTGAGGAGTCGTCAAGGATTTTTGCGGATTTACTGGCGGTCAGGTCTGGGGTTTGGGGATTTGAGGCCAAGGGCTTGTGGGTGTCGGAGGTCCTTGTGACTTTTGCCGTGACTTTTGCCGGGGACTTGCAGCTCTGACCAGTGCTTCTGGCATCGGATAGAACAGTTCTGTGGGAAGATTGGAGACAAAGTGGCATGCATGGCATCCTCTCGACTCACGATGTGTTGCAGGCTTCCCTGGTAGCCTGATCATTCCTCACTCTTACAATCCGGACAGGACTGAATCCTAAACCCTACACCCTAGACCCTAACCCTGAACCCTTCCACTAAAAAAATGTAAAACGTATACATACATATATATATATATACATACATATACATATACATATACATATACATATACATATACATATACATATACATATACATATACATATACATATATATATATATGTACATATTACTCACATATACTTACCTAGATGTGTGTGCATGTTGTGTTGGTGGACATGTCAAGTGAGACCAGCACGCCCGGGCTTGAGAGAGTGCCCTTTGCCCTGCCTGGCCCCCGATCAAGGTCTTGGCGCCATCAACATAGGGGCGGGTCTTGAACACCTGCACTTGAAGGTTTGAAGTAGGGTTATAAGTAAGGGCACCCATACTATGATAACCTTCAGGAAGGTACTTATAGGTGACCCTACTTATAGCTACCCATGTGCTTCTGAGGATGTCGATTCGAAGCCCGAAGCCTTACGAACCCCTAAACCCTAAACCCTAAACCCCTTGCGCCCTTCCCATAAAACCGGGGCCCGCAAGCCACAAGTCGCGCCTCGCTGAACTCCGACACCTCCGGCTTTCCGATCGCCATGGATGCCGAGTCGCAAGGGGAGCTGACGTGGCTGCGAGGCAACGCAGGAGGTTGAGCTGGCTAGCAAGGGCCTTGCAGCCACTCATCGGACCGACAGGAAACTTGAACGGAACACAAAGGGGGCTGGGGCGCGTAGTCTAGGGGAGGACCGTGAAGGATCTCATGAGAATACTTCATGCTTGAGTTTTCCGGTGGGTTTCACCAATCTTTTGGCATTCTTCTTGAAAGCTCTTCATCAGCTTCTTGCTGGGCAATGTTCTTTGCGATCTTTGTAAACTCGTAGCCCACCCTCACCAAGTCACCAAGCAATGCAAGTATCCGCCGTCCTCGATAAGCGCACGGCTGTGCCATAATGAGTTAACAGCATGTCTGGGCAAGTGCCGCGCAGCCTGCTTAAGCATCAGTGAGGACAGAGTTCTAGACTCTCCGGGGTTTAGATGTAGGATGATGTAGGCTTGTGGCTAGGGCTAGGGGCCTCGACATCCCAGGCGGTTGCTAATGTTCATGAGAACTCTGCAAATACACAGGATGAACGCGCTGTTCTGTGTTGCTCCCCTTTGTGCAGCACGCGGTCTTTTGCAGAATCCTACACCTACCCTAAGTTAAGGGTTCCCTCCGGACAACATCGCGCAGGACCCCTTATAACGCAACGTAGCTCGTGAGGTCTTACGTGTTGCCGGCTCTTGGGAACGCTACTATCAGCCGAGCCCTGCCTGTGGTGCAGAGCTGCAAGGTCTGATAGGCTCTAAGCGGCTGTGACTGCTTGCGAGGCCTGCAATGCAAAGGCCTGTGCACAGGAGGCGCAGACCAGCAGGATCAGGAGCCACTGAGGTCAATGGTCTGCCCTCCCATCCTCAGCTGACGCAGTTTCCACAGCCAGTTCAGGCTACTCCAATCCCCGAAGTGTGGGGCCCAGGCTTTGTGAAGGCTTCCATGCGGGCCTTTTGCTCCTCGTGTTCCCGGCTGATCCTGATCCATGGCTCTCATCGATAGGGTTTTGGGTTTTGGGTTTAGGGCTTAGGGGGTCACGATGCACTCACGCTGTACCGGAGTTGCACGTTTTATGGAGTTGGGGCTCAATCTGGATCTCGAAAGGATAACCGCAAACGGTATGATCTCAAGCGCACGAGCTGTCAACGGAATTATCTGCCCAAACCCTAACTGACCCTAAATCCTGAATCCTGAACCCTGCCTAACTAGACCCGAACCCTACAAAGCCAAACCCCCAAACCCTAAACCCAAACCCGGAACCCATTCTTGGGCCCCGCCAGCCTCTCAGCATCACCACCCTGCTGCCGCTTCAGGATGAGGTCTGCCACCTTCAAGACTTACTGAGTGTTTTCTTAGAGGCTTTAGGGTTTGGGGTACCCTAAACCCTAAACCCTAAACCCTACCGCAAACCCTAAACCCTAACCTAAACCGGGTCTTAAGGGGAACGTGGCCTACTCAGTACCAATATGACCTGACAATCGCCACTCAGGCTCCTGATAGGCTCAACAACTACAAACCCAAAATCCCCGAATACGCCCGTTGCAAATGTTTTAAATACACCACATATATACCTCTAAGTACCCCAAAACCCAAAACCCACAACCCACAACCCACAAGCCAAAACCCAAAACCCAAAACCCAAAACCCAAGGACCCTAGGACCCTAGGACCCTAGGACCCTAGGACCTTAAGAAAGAAGACCCTAAAAACAAATCAAGCTTGGAAAGTCCCGTTGCATGGGGCCTCCTTGCGGCTAATCGGGCGCTCCGATCCAGTGGTCCTGGTAGGCTTCTCTCTGAAGCTTAAGTTTAGGGTTTAGAGTTTAGGGTTTAGGGTTTAGGGTTTAGGGTATAGCGCTGACGTACCAGCACAGGCTAGTCGGATGCAGGGTTCAAGCTTTAAGGTTAAGATTAGACTACAACAAACACCAAGCTGACCCACGCCCAACGCCTGAGACTCTTGGAACGCAAGCCTCTTGTTACCAGCAGTGCACCAGGGAAGTTGGTACTCCATAGAATCCCGTAAGGGATTATCATGGTATACTGCATATATAAGGAGGCATAACTCAGTGACCATATTCCCTAAAGTTTTGCGCAAGCTCTCCCCAGCGCCTGTCAAGGCAAGAAATGACGAAGCTTCCCAACGACTGGTAGCCTCTGACAGGCAGTCACATGCCATCCATTGCTGGTATGGTTGGTTATACCCTAAGCCATGATAAAACCTGAACATCGGAAACACAACTAAAAGTTCAAGACGCAATCACATATTTCTTTAACGTGAGGATGCAGCGGCTGAGATTCGACATGCAAAGCTGCGTGGTTGTGGCACATGAAAGACTTCACCCTTGCTCAACAACAAGCAGAAGGCAACAAAACGCACACGGAGTGAAACCGGAAAACAGAGGAAACATTGACAAAACTCCCCTTGACCAAGACGTGCGCCAGTCACAAAAGCACGGGCACGCCTAGCAGGGCTCTTGCCGCTCGGTTAGGCTCTTTCTGCGTCGTCAGGAAGTTGTCGTCGAAGTAGATTCGCCTTCGTTTTTTTGCACGAAGCTGCTCCACTCTTTACCCGGGCACATGTTGAGACTCCAAGCTCTGTGTAAGATTCAAAAAAACATGGGGGTTTACGAAAATAGGGGACCCAGAAAATAGATCTTCAAATAGTAGGATTCCAAATAAGGTACCCCGATTGTCGAGAAAAGACCAAATAGATCATTTTTGCCACGCGATTTCTGAGGGCTTGGCCACAAGTGATCGCTGGACCCTCCAGGGCCATAACCTCAGCAGCTGGGCCCTCTAAACCCTGAACCCTGAACCCTGAACCCTGAACCCTAAACCCTAAACCCTAAACCCTAAACCCAGCACCGCAAGAGCTGCAAGCCAAGGGGCGGTTTTTATTAAGTTGGCAAGATCGGAGCATGGTGAAGCTGGGCTTCTGAGCGCGAGGCCTGGAATGAACTGAGAGGTCACCTGAGGCAAGCTGGGGCTTCGGGTTTAGGGTTTGTCGGGTTTAAGGTTTAGGGTTTAGGGTTGAGGGTTTAGGGTCCAAGGTCTAGGGTCTAGGGCTTCGCCAAACGACGTGCACAAATGTCACCTAAGGCAAGCTAGGGCTTAGGGCTTAGGGTTCTTGAGATGAGGCTTCTTGCGGTTTTGGTTTGCAGGTGTACTCCCCACCCTCCACCCCTGACTCACCAAAGATTTGCTTCGGAACTCGCATGACGAGCCGCTGCCTTTGCAGCTCTCGAAGGCTCAGGAGGTCGAATCGAGGGGCCAGTGTGGAAACTTAGGAGCCTTTCCCAAGTCGTGAGCCATGAGGTTTCTTTCTATGACAGGTCATTCGATAGTTCACGGTATCATGATGGCTGTTAAGCCTTGGCACCTGCAGGTTTGGGAGATGGGCTGTGCACCATGCATGAATCAAGAACGGACTCGTCCCAGTCGCACACAGTGGCCATACCAGGAAGAGTCGCCATTTACTAGGGTTTCAGGGAAGCCCTGCTCATCGTTACCCTCTACATAAGGGGCAGTTGCAACGACTGCTAAGCTGTGGGTGAACACCTAGAGTTACAAGCAAACTCTGCATGACCCAATCCTTTCAGTGCCGGAGGATACCATCTTACAGTAAGTCCTAGAACGTGAACCTCCCAAACCCAATGTTCCTGCCACGTCGCAGAAGACCACTTGTATTTGCTCAGCGCGCGTTCGACCTTTGGGGTTTACAGGTTGCGGCACTCAGGCTTAAGATCGGTTTAGGGTCCAGGGCTTAGGGCTTGAGGTTTAGGGGTTTAGGGATTTCAGGGTTTGAGTTCTTAAGCTAGGTCATACCGACTTAAAGGCCTGGGATGGAACCCAGTGTTTGGGGTTCAGGGCGTCCAGTTCAGAAGAAGCATGGTCCTACGTGGCAAATCGCCAAGCACAAAAAGCAGATTAAATGAAAACCCTAGCTTTGGGATGTTCCCCCCTAATACGAACAGTCCTTTACAGGGGGAACATAACATCCCAACCCTAGCTTCTAACCAAAAGAAGAGTGCAGGGCGTCCACTGCCCCAGGACCAACAAGTCTCGGTCCCAGACCCGTGCCCGAACAAAACCCACCGCCGTCGACCATGGTGCGGGGCTTAGGATGCAGGGTTTTAAGGTCTAGGGTTTTAAGGTCTAGGGTTTAGGGTTTAGGGTTTAGGGTTTAGGATTTAGGTCTGGGGCAGAAGATCCAAACTTGAAAAGCACCCCGAAAAGGAGTTGCATGGGGGTCATTGGGCCCCTGTAAGAACCCTGTAAACCCTTTTCAGCCCCTAAAGCCCGCTTTGAAACCAAGCCCCGAAGCCCCCGCACGCCGCTCGCGCCCGTAATCCTGCCTGAGTCCCTAACTTGCTGTGGCCGAGCTTTCTCCCACAAAAGAAAAACTGAGCCCTAAACTCCGAGCCCTTCCCCCTCGAACCCTAAAACTCTGAACCCTTTACACAAACCTTAGAAACTAAAACCCTACACCCTCAACCTTAGAACCCTGACACCCTGGAACCCTAGAACCCTTTGAAGCTTTAGAACCCTAGAACCCTTTGAAGCCTTAGAACCCCAGACCCTAAACCCCAAACCGAAGCCTTAGAACCTTTACCCTGTACCCTGGACCCTAACCCAAGAACCCTAAACTCCTAGAACCCTAGAACCCTAACTTAGAACCCTACTTATAACCCTGGAACCAAACAGCTGCCACTTTCCCGAGGGGCTGGCGCCAGGCTCAATCGCCCCTTCGGCAGGGAGCCCGGCCTTTTTCTGTAGTAGGGTGTTGGGTTTAGGGTTTAGGGTTTTGGGTTTTGGGCTTAGGGTTTAGGGTTTAGGGTTTGGATTGGGGTTTGGGGTTTAGGGGCTTCGGAGGCTTAGGGTGTTCATAATGGGGTTTGTAGTATGGGGTTTCGGGTTTGGGGTTTGGCTTGTGGGTTCAGGGGTTGGGAAAGTAGGGTGTGGGGCTGGGAATAGGGTCGGCATGGGAACTCATCTGGGTCTTGAATTCAGGGCGCCGTCGCAGCCGCGACGAGGCATTCTCACCCTGGGCCCCCCACCGCTGTCGAGGTTGGCGCCTGCTTGGCCAGTGGCTTGCGGGTCCGAAGCTCTAAACCCCATAAACCCCAGAAGCCGAAACCCTAAACTTGGGATGTTCCCCCTTATACTAACAGTCCTTAATGGGGATTTTAGAACCCCCTAGTATGAAAGACTGTTAGTATAAGGGGGAAGATCCCAACCCTAAACCCGCAACCATAAACACCCTTAACCCCATAAAACAAGCCCTAAACCCCAAACTGCAGGCCACACCTGAGTTTATGTGGCTGGACGTCCGTTTAGGGTTTATAGGGTTTAGGGGCCCTACTCCCTGAAGCCCAAGCCCTAAACCCTAAACCCCTGAACAATTCCCACTTTCGCCAACCCAGCCCAGCTTAGGTCCTTCTTTTGAATTCGCAACACCCTAAGCCCTGAACTGAAGATCTAAAATCTAAATCCCCAACTTCCCAACGACATTGACTAGGTCTGTAATACTGAAGACGAAAATTCTAAAGCCGTACAAGCGCTATAGCAGAATAAAGAAAAGCCCACGACACACACACACACACACACACACAGACAGACAGCCAGCCAGACAGAGGGGAATAATCCAAAGACCGGAAAGGCCCCAAGTCCCCAAGTACACGAGCTAACCTCCCCAGAAACAACCCCCACCCCGCAACCCTGGAGCCGAAACAAAAAAAAAAAAAAAACGACAGCCACAAGCCCAGAGCCCCTAGAACCCCTCCTCGAAGTCGGGGTCCTCCTGCAAGAGCTTACAGAGCTGCTCCTGCGGCGGTTTAGGGTTTAGGGTTTAGGGTGGGTTTACGGGGGCCGTGCCTTGCAGGTCTTTAGACAGAAGGACCTGAAGTGAAAGAGCTGTGACCCAGACGCCCCCACTGCACGTCCTTCTTGGTGAAGTCCCCGGGAGGCACGTGGATGTAGCAGGCTTAGATGACGCACCGGCATGGGGGTCGGAATAACTACTAAGAGCGTTCCCTTATGGGCCCTATATGATTCTACGATCACAAGCCCCAATGCCCAACTTTTATTAGTAAGGCCCCGATATTGTTTGCGGGGCGGGGAGTTTGACTTATAGAGGCCCTGAACCCCCCCCGAATTCGGAATAGGGTTTAAATGGCGGGGTCGGTTTCGGCAGGATTTTTTGGAAAGCGTTTTGATAATTGAGGGTGCGTCTAAGGTAAGTTGGAACGGATTAGGGTCATAGGGGCCTTTAGCAGATGCCTCGTCCAACCTGCGACGGGTCTGAGGCTCCGCACCTGTTTTAGACGTGTAGTCCCCCAGCTCTCTCTCTTCCTCCTCTTCTGTGTCGGAAGCCAAATCTGCGCATCACTTGGGTTTCGGAGGGTGGCCACAAGGGATAGCTACGGTTCTACGATTATTCTCGGCACCCTAACACTGAACGGCCGTTCACCGACTTGAACAGGCTTTGAGATCTGGAGACTTCTGTAGATCGCAAAAAACCACAGATAAAACAAAAACAAGTCCATGAGTCTGAACATACCATAACCGTTAACTTCACAGTGCGATCAGCTTTTCTATTAGGGCGCAAACGATCGGACCTGCAGCGAACTTATCCCATTTGGAGTAGTTCGTCATGGCGGTTGTAGCAGCTAAGAACAGTGGGCCAAATATGGGTTAGGATGGGGTACAGCCCCTCTCTCTGGCTAGCCGTCTAGCCTTTCTACTGCAACCTGCACACCTGCAGAGACCTTACAAAAAAAAAGGGGCGCTTCATTTCACGTGAAGTTCTAAAGGTAGCTGCGGCCTGGCAAGCGCTTGAGCAAACAGCACGGAGCAGCTCATGATTTGATTTGCTTTCATGGCGCAAAAAAAAGTGAAGCGCCTCAGTGCCTCGGCTCTTGCCCTTTAGGGAATGCTTGGGCCTGAAAGGTACCTCCCATTTAGGGACTTTGGGGCCCAGGTATACAATTAAGAATAAGGTATGTTACATGGACCCTTAGGGCATTTTCATCTGGCGAACATTCGGCCGCCGCACAGGTGCGGCACGCGACGTCCGTCCAATCTCGGCAACACAGCAAGGACTGATGAGCTCCTAACTTCTCATTCTCTAAGCATCCATGTACCTAAGTAGGGAATACTTGGGCCTTAAAGTAGTTCCTCTGTAGGGACTTCGGGGCCAAGTATACTATTTTCAGGTACATGGACCCTTCGGCATTGTATAACGCCACACACAAGCCGTCAGCGCCTCACACCCTCGCACAGCACAAAACCCATGTGATGAAGGCCCCAGTGAGCCAGAACCATACTCGTACTACACAGGGCTGGGGAGCTGGGGGAATAGTTGTGAAGTACTACGTGCGGGAAGAAGAGGGGGCCCCCAAAAACAGGCCCAGAAGAAATTCTAGAACCCATAGTAGAGGAACTCGAGTAGTTTCAAAATGTTGCCCGTATTTTCGGAAACCTCTATCTATATGGCGAGTGAACTAAATTAGGGCCCCTTTCTGGGTGCCCTAAATAAGAGGGGCCGCCTCATAATGTAGAACATAGACCCTCTGGGTTACGTACCCTTACGGAGTCGCCGCCATGATCTCCTTCTCCCGCATGGTGGCCAAGAAGCTGAGAGATGCGCCTTCTAGGAGGCAGGGGATCAGGGTACTTCTCCAAACCCCTTAACTGCCTTCCCTATGAACATCCAAAGCGGTCGTACTGTAGGGGTCCAAAAAGGGGATCATCTAGATTTGGGGAGCTGAACAGCGGCTTGAATCTCCGCCCGAAATTCCGGCGCTGAATCTCAGCAGTCTGAGCGTTCTAAACTCCAAGACTTTCCCAACCCTGAAGGGGAAGGCCGCACCCAAGGGATTCGAGATGCAAACGCTGCGAGGCTTCAAGGCGTCGGATGCTTCTTGCAACTCTGCAACCTGCTTGGGACTTGGAAACTATTGGGCTTGGAGTCTAAGGGTGCAGGGCAGAAAGGGCAACCAGAGCTTAAGACACTCAGCACGCCAGAGGCGCCAGGGGCTTCTAACGACCCACTGGGCTCAGCCTGAGCCTACATCTTCGCACCCGGAAGCCGCTGAACCCTTTTGAGGGAACCTGGTAGTTCGGGTTGAGGGTTTATACCCCTAAACCCTACACCCTAAACCCTAAACTCTAAGCCCTAAACCCTAAACCCCGGAGCCTTGAGAATCCCCTTATTTACATCCCCTAAACCCCTGGGTCCCCACCTGACACAGCCTCGCCGGCCACCCGACTCGATTCTCCTGGCGAGACTGAGGGGCTCGTCTTGGCGCCCGCAAGATCCCATAAGCAATTGGACAGAAAATGCATTTTCAGATATACTCACATTGATTACACATAAATATATATATATATATGTACATATTTCAGTATGCATACAGGGAGAGAGAGAGAGAGAGAGAGAGAAAAAAAAAAAAAAAAAAGAGAGAGAGAGAGAGAAAGAGAGAGAGCGAGACAGAGAGAGAGAGAGAGACAGAGGGAGAGCGAGAGAGAGACAGAGAGAGAGAGAGACAGAGAGAGAGCGAGACAGTGAGAGAGTGAGAGAGTGACCGAGAGAAAGAGAGAGGGAGAGAGAAAGCGAGATCCCTCGCCCAATCCTACCCAGAAAAGGTCTACATTATTTGCCAAATCTCGTGTTCTGGGGCTTGGGATTTCGGGGTTCTCAAGGTTTGAAGCTGACCATGCTGTTCGACAGACTTCGACAGAAGGAACTCGGAAGCTGCGTTTAGGGTTAGGGTTGGGGCGTGGGGTTTAGGGTTTAGGGCTAAGGAATCCATACGAAGTCACCTGTCCTCCTCAATCCTAAACCTCAAGCCTGAATTCAACCCTACAAGCCTACAAACCGAACCTCGCAACCGCCAAAGCTCGACCTAAACCCTAGCCACTCCTCCTGCGCCGTGCTCTTGCCAGAAGACCTTCCGGGCGCATCACGAACCTGGAGGCACGAAATTGTGGAGTTTCGGGCTTGGGATCTGGAATTTAGGGTTTAGGGTTTAGGGTTTAGGGTTTAGGGTTTAGGGTTTAGGGTTTGGGGCTTCGGGCTTAGACCTGTTGAACCGAAGCCCCCCCAACTCCTGCCAGGAAGCTGAATCTCTGCAGCATCTACGGCCATGAAATTTCTACAGAAAAAAACGTTCAACAAACTAACAACCAAAAGCACTAAAGCACCTTAAACCATATTATAGACCTTAGATCACCTCTGAGGTTGGCACCTTGCATCGCGGAAAGGACCCGGGCCTTCTCGGCCGGAGACAGGCTCAAGCTCTCCAACCTGTTTAGGGCTGCTTCGGGTTCTGGGGTGAGCTTGGAGTTTAGGCTTTTGGGGGTGTATGATTTTAGAGGTTTAGACGGTTTAGGGCTTAAGCTTCAAAGCTTCAGGGGCTGGAGTACTACGAAAAGGTTTTAGATCTAGGGTTGAGGCTTCAGACCAAAGCCGAGAATCTGCGTGGGGCATGTCACGAGGTGGAGGCCCCTAAACCCTAAACCCTCAACTCTAAAGCCCTCAACCCTAAAGCCCTAAGCCCTAAGCCCTAAACCCTAAAGTATGCAGGTCAGGAGGGGGGCAGCGAACTGGAAACCCGATCTTCCCCATGCCATAGTGCCCCTCAGAGGAGGTTTAGGGTTTAGGGTTTAGGCTGGGGGATGCACCGAGGCCCTGGCCCAAAGATTGCGCCGGAAAAGCTGTCCGTCACGGTCGTTGCATCCGAAGATACCTGAGATGCCTTAGGGTTTAGGGTTTAGGGTTTAGGGCGTCAGAATAAACACAGCATGACATTCCATCTCAACTGTGGCTGAAGCAAACCTTATAAAAAAAAAAGTTATGAACCCTATAAACCCTATAAACCCTATAAGCCCTATAAACCCTCTAGACCCTGCAAACCCTATACACCCTATGAACCCTAGGAACCGTATAAACCTATAAACCCTAAACCCCAAAAACCCTAAAAACCCTGAACCCTAAACTCTATAAACCCTAAACTCTTGAAAAGTTCGCAGAAGTCTGGCAACAGCTCTCGGTCCCCGGCTCGATCTTTGCTCACATTCGCCGTGTCAATGGCGTGCTTGAGGCCTTTGCGTTACAGGGTTTAGGGTTTAGGGTTTGGGGTTTCGGGTTTAGGGTTCAAGGCTTCAGGGGCAAAGCCGGAGTGGTTTTAAAGCCGCCATTGGCACAACAAGGCGTGCATCCGACGAAACTTGAATTCGTCCGTTTAACGGCCTTTTGTTGGTTGCTCCAGGGCATCCACCCCGAATAATACTTTTCATCCTTGGTAAAGCACATCCTGATACAAACCCTCTGTAAAGTGGAAACCAAATCGAGACAACAGATGATCTAGACAGCAACAAGCACATCTATGGCAAGCCGGGCGCTGATACATACCCGCTGTAATGTATGTCGCTCATGTGCGACACGAGCAAAGCCCAACTCCTTGTATCCCTGTAACCCAACATGGTAGCCCAGTAACCATGCTATGATAAGGGCACCCTTTTTTCGCGGATGGTTATTCGATAAGGGAAACCATACACAAAAAAAGGTCAAGGGTACCACTGGGCTACCAAGCCGAAAGCCCCAAAGCACTGAACCACGGCCACTGCGCCCCCGCACGATGCAACGCTGCTGCAACGTCGCTCCTGGTCCCGGCAGCAGTGAAGCCTGGCCATCTCGCTTGCTGGCCTTGACCATATTCGTGACTTTATGGTGCATTTATTTGCTTGTTCAGATACCCTGAATAAAACAACTAAAACTGAGATAGTCGCTCAAAATTTACAATATGGATCGTACACACACACACAGACACACACGCCAATCTGTATTATCCATCATACTGCTGTTGTGACCAGTCAACACATTGAACAAAAATCGAATGTTTCGCTGAGGGTATCCGTCTTCCTTTTGCAGTCGTGCCTTCTGAAAGGCATCCAGCGCCAAATTTGAGCGTAAAAGGTGTACCACGGCACCACTGGGCTTCGAAATACACTTCTTAAAAGGCCTGGAACAAGCCACTATGCTCTTTAGCGATGTATCAACATGCAACTTATACACATCCCCCCATTGAGCTCTAGATAAGCAAAAATGAAACAGAAATGCTAAGGCGATCACAGGCCACGAGGAGCCCATGTTCCCAGAGAAGCACCAAACCCCAAAAAACAACTAAAAACAAGAAAGGTATGTTGGGGGAAGGAAACCATAGGAAAAGAAACCATGCGTGGCGCGGATCTGCAGTCCAGGGGTTCGGGGTCTAGTGGTCAGGGTTTTTGATTTTGCGGCTTCCGCGTCTATCGCTTAACTGTCGGAACAACCCCAATTCCCTCTGCAAGGTAGCCTTGTCTTGTCTCGGAGGGAGGCTAGTACATGCCATTCTTAGGGTTGACCTGATCGGGCTTGTAGGATTTATGGGGCTTAGGGTGACAGGACTTGTGGTTGCAGGAAGGGCGCCTTTCGTGGCCGGTGAGGTTTTGGGCGGCGGCGGCGGGGCCTGGCAAGGTGGTGGGCATACATTGGTTCTCTATGTTCGGCCTCTAGACCTAGGATCCCTGATAGGGAATCCTCTGATAATAAGGACTTTTCAATTTCTGTCCACCCGTGTTCTACCCAAAAGGTCTCTTCATGGATGTGCACTTTCAGGCGCCTAAGTACGAACTGCTGATCCTAAAGCGCAAGCCCGAATCCTGTCTTGAGACCAAAGGGCAAGGAGGGCCAGGAGGGGGGGGGGGGGGGGGGGGGGGGGGGGGGGAGGGCTGCGGGCAAGGTGGCACTAGGCTAGAATCAGTAGAAGTGTCTTGCGTGAGCCGGGCGCCCCCCCAACACTTCTTCAAAAAAACAGCTCCAAACCCTCGCAACGCTGTGTATGAGCTCTGCAAAGTGTCTGCATGTTCAAAGTACTTGGAGGTTTCCATGAGTGGGGATACGGGAAGGGCAACCGTAGCACAAATTGGTTGTAGCCGTTTACTTCTTACAGCCACCCAATGAACTTGCAAGCAAGGATACCTTTCAACCATGCCACAAATATTCATGACCAGGGCTCCAAAGTTCGAGCACTGCTCCAAAATCTGTATGTGCAGGACGGCCAGGCCTGCCACACTCTAGCTTAACCCTAAACCCTAACGCTCATACCTCCCTCAAACCCCAAACAGCCCCAAAACCCTAACATCTGAAAGCCCTAAAAACCCTGAAGCCCCTAGCCTTAAACTCCTACACCCTAAACACCCCTAAACTGAGCCCGAATGCCCCCCCCCCCCCCCATACCCCGCCTGTTCCGCCTGCTCCGCCGGCCGAGTGGGCTCTGGCTTTTTGGGGAGCCGCCGCAGCATCTCCTGAAAGGCAGTATGTAGGGGTTGACGAGAGCCTTCATGTGGGGGTTTACGATACTAGGGGGTACCTTATTCGGATCCTTTATGAAAGGGAATCCTGCTATTTAGGGTCTAGGGGTTTAGGGCTTGGAACATTTAGTCCTGTCATGTTTTGGGTTGAGGTTTGGGCTAGGGGTAGCTACCTAACGAGGGTTTTGTTTTAACATGGTTTGTCTCTTGGAGCCCAGAGACTTTCTTTGGTAGAGCAACTGAGAATGTTGCAGGAAGGGCGGGGGGGTGAATGACAACCTGTCGAAGAGTACGTTTTGGAGTTCTCAAGGTCAGGCTGAGCATGTTGCTAAGGGACTTCGTACCCAAACCCATAAACCCAAAACCGAACCCTAAACCCTAAATCCTAAAACCCTAAACCCTAAAGCCCTAAAACCCTAAACCCTAAACCCCAAACCTCCGGAGAGAGAGTCTCCGACAGCATCGCCGCCTCTGCCTCCACGAGATCTGGATCTGTGGCGCAGGCCAGGGGCTTCAACCTCATGCGACATAGGGGATGTAGGGCTTTAGGCTTCAGGGTTTAGGGCTGCCCAAAGTTGGGCGGGTCTAGGGTTTAGGGCCTAGGGGATGGTCTACTGGCGGGATATTTCTGCAGCCACTTCGGCTCCACAAAGTTGTCTTGGTGGAGCCTAGCTGCCCAGGTTCTTCCTAGGGGGCGGCTACCGAACCCTAATCAGCACAGCCCATATCCCAAAACTGGAAGCCTATGTAAGCCCTCGGATAAATCCATAAAAATCCTCCTTCCACACCCAAAAGCCCATGGGGCTGCTAGTTGGGCCTTGGGGCCCGGCACTTCAGCTGCTGAGGACCACAAATCTCTGGCAGCGTCCTGGGTCTGGCAGCTTTGTGAGCTGGGCGCTCTTTAATCCCACCACCAGCCAAAAAAAACCTCAGCACCTCGAATCAACCCTGAAATCCTTGTGATCAAATCAACCCTGAGCAAGGCGGTTGAGGACTCAAACTCTCCAGCCTTCAACAGCCTTCACACGCCCCCTGGACACATGTCAAAGGCCCACGCGGGCTTGCCAGCACGGAGAGATATGCCCGCCAGCTTGCACCTCGACTTGACTTTCAGGCCTGGGGTCCTACCCGGATGGGCTAGTAGGCCCTATAATCCCCGTAACCAACCCCATAAAAGAGCCTTTCTAAGGGGTTTATTGGGTATAATAGCCCTGGGGTTCGGGCGTAGGGTTTCTAGGTTGCTTTCATCGTTCAAGGCGCGCTGAGGGTTGGCAAAAAAAAGGCTCTCAGGGGTATTCCCACTTCCCAATTCTCCCATTTTTACCCTGTCCCCAAGCCTTGCACCCCAAGCTTAAGCAAAATGAACCCTAAACACTGCCGTTACTAACCCTAAGCGCAACGGCGGCCTTCGAAACAAATTAAAGGACCGGATCACCCCACATGCAAAGTTTTCCATTCAGAAAGAGTGTTTTCAAGCGCCCAGATGTCCGTTACCATGCTATTTGCGGTGTTTTTCAAGCGCCCAGATGTCCGTTACCATGCTATTTGCGGTGTTTTCAAGCACCCAGATGTCCGTTACCATGCTACTTGCGGTGTTTTCGAGCGCCCAGACGTCCGTCAGAGTGTTTTCAGGCGCCCAGATGTCCGTTACCATGCTATTTGCGGTGTTTTTCAAGCGCCCAGATGTCCGTTACCATGCTATTTGCGGTGTTTTCAAGCGCCCAGATGTCCGTTACCATGCTACTTGCGGTGTTTTCGAGCGCCCAGACGTCCGTCACCGTGCTATTTGCGGTGTTTTCAAGCGCCCAGATGTCTGTTACCATGCTATTTGCGGTGTTTTCAAGCGCCCAGATGTCTGTTACCATGCTATTTGCGGTGTTTTCAAGCGCCCAGATGTCCGTTACCATGATATTTGCGGTGTTTTCAAGCGCCCAGATGTCCGTTACCATGATATTTGTTTGCGGTGTTTTCATGCGCCCAGATGTCCGTTACCATGCTATTTGCGGTGTTTTCATGCGCCCAGATGTCCGCTACCATGCTATTTGCGGTGTTTTTCAGGCGCCCAGATGTCCGTTACCATGCTATGTGCGGTGTCTTCAGACGCCCAGGGCGTCCGCGGCGTACTACGTCTGTACTACAAAAAGTCGACTTTCCAGCCACGGAAGCTCCGCGTGTCCGCGGCGTACTACGTTTGTACTAAAAAAGTCGACTTTCCAGCCACGGAAGCTCCGGATGTCCCCGGCGTACTACTTGGAGGGTCGGTGCAGAGCGCGCGCGCGGCAACGGCCCGGGGCCCCTAAGTACCGCGCCTGCCAGCCGAAACGACGCCTGTGTCGCGCCTGCCAGCGTTTCCCGCGCCCCGAGCGCGCGCGCGGCAAGGGTCCAGGGCCCCTAAGTGCCGCGCCTGCCAGCCGAAACGACGCCTGTGTCGCGCCTGCCAGCGTTTCCCGCGCCCCGAGCGCGCGCGCGGCAAGGGTCCAGGGCCCCTAAGTACCGCGCCTGCCAGCCGAAACGACGCCTGTGTCGCGCCTGCCAGCGTTTCCCGCGCCCCGAGCGCGCGCGCGGCAAGGGTCCAGGGCCCCTGAGTACCGCGCCTGCCAGCAGAAACGACGCCTGTGTCGCGCCTGCCAGCGTTTCCCGCGCCCCGAGCGCGCGCGCGGCAAGAGTCCAGGGCCCCTAAGTACCGCGCCTGTCAGCAGAAACGACGCCTGCGTCGCGCCTGCCAGCGTTTCCCGCGCCCCGAGCGCGCGCGCGGCAAAAGTCCAGGGCCCCTAAGTACCGCGCCTGCCAGCACAAACGACACCTGTGTCGCGCCTGCCAGCGTTTCCCGCGCCCCGAGCGCGCGCGCGGCAACGGTCCAGGGCCCCTGAGTACCGCGCCTGCCAGCAGAAACGACGCCTGTGTCGCGCCTGCCAGCGTTTCGCGCGCCCCGAGCGCGCGCTCGGCAAGGGTCCAGGGCCTCCAAGTGCCGCGCCTGCCAGCACAAACGACGCGTGTGTCGTGCCTCAGCGTTTCGCGCGCCCCGAGCGCGCGCTCGGCAAGGGTCCAGGGCCTCTAAGTACCGCGCCTGCCAGCACAAACGACACTTGCGTCGCGCCTGCCAACGTTTCGCACGCCCCGAGCGCGCGCGGGACAAGGGTACAAGGGTCCAGGGCCTCTAAGTGCCGCGCCTGCCAGCCGAAACGACACCTGTGTCGCGCCTGCCAGCGTTTCCGTGATGTGATGCGTGATGTGCGTGATCGCGATGTGGCGTCATGTGCGTGATGGTACGTCATGTGCGTATGCGTGATGTGCGCGATCGTGATGTGACGTCATGTGCGTGATGGTACGTCATGTGCGTGATGTGATTTGATGCGTGACACCGCGTCATGTGCGTGATGTGATGCGTGATGTGCGTGATCGTGATGTGATACATGCGACATGAGGAACAGGAAGAGGAGGACGGGGAGGAGGAGGAAGAGGAGGAGGAGGAGGAGAAGGAGAGGCGGGACAGCCCCAAAAGTAAGAACCCCACACAAAGATGTGGGGAATAAAACAAAAACAGTGCCGCCTTGTGAACCCTAAGCCCCGAAACCCACCTAAAGCAAGGCCTGGGGATCCCGGCTCCTCTCTGGCGACCTCCACATCTCCAGCAGCATAGCCTTGACCTCGACAGCGGAGGACTGGATGCAAACGTTAGGCTTGGAGGGGGTTTGAGGCTTGGAGGGATCGAGGGGTTGAGGGGGGTTTAATATGCTTGTTCGGGCTGTGGATGTACGGTTTGAGGGATGCCACAAGCTTGACAGGGTAGGTTGGGATTCTGGTGGGGATCCTGAAGGGTGATATCAGGTCCTTGATCCGACAATGCTTGGAGGCTCTCAGGAGCATGTTGCGATCCACCTCTTCTAGAGACAGCGCCTGTGTCCTGACCCGAAGAGTGAGAGAAAAAAAATGGCCTGCCCAGGTCAGGAGGAATCCTCACTTTGGAACGGGTTCTCTGTGAAGCCTCGTGAGTGGCCAGTAGAGACCGTCTGACTCATCCAATTATGCCCAGCACAGCCCCACACAGGACGTCGCTGAACAAGAAGTCCGGGGGACGCCCAAATGTGTAAACCCTAATCCCTAAACACTAAACCCTAAACCCTAAGTGGAATTTAACGGATTCCGCGCAAAGACTGATTTCGTCCGGCTCCATCATTGCTGGCTCCTTGAGCCCTTCTGCTTCCACAGGTTTAGGGTTTAGGGTTTAGGGTTTAGGGTTTAGGGTTTAGGGTTTAGGGTTTAGGGTTTAGGGTTTAGGGTTTAGGGTTTAGGGTTTAGGGTTAGGGTCTAGTCCTCTTCAGCAGCCTTGCCATTGCAGACTGCTGGAGAGTTCCCTAAACCCAAGACCTTCGACTTTAAATTCTGAACCCCAAGCCCCCAAGCCCCCTAAACCCTAAACCCTAAACCACTAAACCACTAAACCACTAAACCACTAAACCACTAAACCACTAAACCACTAAACCACTAAACCACTAAACCACTAAACCACTAAACCGCTAAACCACTAAACCAATAAACCACTAAACCACTAAGCCCCGAACCCCTACACCCCTCCAAGCCCCCCAGCGCAGCAAGGCCAAGGAGGCCGCGGACGCGGTGGCCTGGGCCAGCATTGAAGCTACTTTACTTTGGGATGCCCCCCCCCTCTATGCTAAGGTTTAGGGTTTAGGGTTTAGGGTTTAGGGTTTAGGGTTTAGGGTTTAGGGTTTAGGGTTTAGGGTTTAGGGTTTAGGGTTTAGGGTGTAGGGTTTAGGGTTTAGGGTTTAGGGATTGGGGTTTAGGGATTTGGGGTCACCGATGCAGGAAACAAAAAGGTCTAGCGCTAGCGGGTTCGTAGGGTTTAGAGTTTAGGGTTTATGGAGTGCGGGGATTCAAGGTTTCAGGGCATTCTGGGTAGGTTGTAGTGAGATGCTGGGCCATTTTTTCCGTGTAGGTTTTTTGGGGAGTTTCGGCCTTTAGGCTTCAGAGGCCTCATTGTTCTGAGCGGGCCGTAGTGATCATTCAGGGGTTTGAGAGGGATGACATTGGGCAAGTATATACTTTGGCGGGGCATAGCCGCTTTACGGTTTAGAGTGGGGCGTAGGGACTTCGGGTCTTCGGGACAGTATAGCGGGTTTTGAGTTCGGTGGCCTAGGGCTTGCAGCTTAGAGGTTTAGTGACGAGCTTGAAGGTCGGGGTGTGGGATTAGGACCGATCGGAGAAGCTGTGCCGGGTTTCTGGCAGCTTCCACCCACGCCCCCCTTCCGGCAGCCTCCTGGACAGGGGCAGGGCAAGCTGTGGGTTTAGGGTGTAGGGAGGGTTAAGGGTTTCGGGTTTACGGCGTGCACGCTCGGCAAACCAACGTCGAACATGAAAGTAGGTTGCCAATTCGCTCGGGCAATGCGGTTGCCGGGGGAAAGGTGCCCTATACGGCTTGACGAACGTGAAAGACAGCGGCGCCTGGGCACGAAGGTCGAGTTTCTTCGCCCTCTCTTTCCACTGGAAGTCCTCTTGTTCCTGGGTCCAAATACTGACCATGGAACTCCGATAGAATTGTACAGTCGACACACATCTTGCTTCAACAGGCTCGGAGCCAAACGGCCTTAGGAAGCTAGCACAAGGCTCATCCAACAAAACTCAGAACAGACCCTAACCGCCACGTCTGAGGGTGGCGCAAAACAAGCCTACCACAGCGCATGAGGGTGGCACAAACCTATAGATGTTAGCTGAACCCCACGTGGCGTCGCACGGGTCTCATCTTCGGCCCCGGCAGACGCTGTGCACACAGCGCAGAGACAGTCGAAGCCGTACCTGGCGGCGGCAGCTCCGAAACGCAGTACCCTGACGGCCTAGCAACCGTAACGTGAAATCCGACACCCCAAACCCTAAACATCCTGAAACATCCATGTGAACCCCTCCTGGGCACCACGTCCCAGCGCCAGCTCATGGGCCCTCATTCAAAGCGCGACGGCCCAATCGAACGGCAAACCGCCCCCTTTCCAGACCACTGGACTAAACTTAAACCCTCCAACCTGAATCCTGCAGTCAGAACCTAAACCCTGAACCTTACCACCTAAACCCTGAACCCTACACCCTACTTGGAGGGTCGGGGGACTTAGTAAGCAGATAGTAAGTCGACTTATAAGTACCCTAAAGGGGACCCTAATTGGAGTTATCCTACTTATAACTCGATAACTACTTACTAAGTCCTCCGACCCTCCAAGTACTGAACCCTAACACCTAAACCCCAAATCCTGAACCCGAAACCCTCCTGAACTCTAAACCCTGCTGAACCCTAAACCCTGCTGAACCCTAACACCTAAACTGTAAGAAGCCCCCTAAACCCCTTAAACCCTGAACCTGAAACCCTAAACCCTAAACCCTAAACCGATGCTCCCAAGGGCACTGGCTTTGCAGCTTCTGCTGCCGTTCCGAGCGCCGGTGCGAAGCGCCTGTGGGGCCTCAGGTGCTTCTCCAATATGCACAGGAGGAAGGGGTTTAGGGTTATGGTCTAGGAAGAGGAGGACTAAGAGCAAGAGCAAGAATAAAAATGAGATTAGACTGAACAAGGATGATCTTGAGACAGAAACATGACTTCATCAAGGTGGTGATCATATCGATAAAGATGAGACTAAGCGCGGAAGGCTCATAGGGTTTGCGGGGTCAAGGGTCTTGTGGAGTCCCGAGGATGCAAAACAGCTGCTGGGTATTGTGAAGCTTTGCGCTTGTAGAGCAGCTTGTTCTCGGCTCAATTGTCTGCGCAGAGACATAAACATAAACTGAAGAGAGCCCTAAACCCTAAACCCTAAACCCTAAACCCTAAACCCAAGAGACGGGAGTGAGGCCGAGGGAAAGACCGGCAGCGGGAGAGAGGAGCCGGGAGCGACGGGCCCCGCGCCGTAGGAGATGGTCACCTCCTCCCCAGCTCTTACCTGGGGGCGCGTAGGATTCGTTCAAGAACTGGGTTTAGGGTTTAGGGAGGTTGCCTCTGGACACAATTGAGAAGAAAAACGTCCCTACACAAGCTACTCAAACAACCAATGAGGAAAGTGCAAACACCCCAAGGTCCTATCTAGCTCAGCACGACAGCTTGCACTCTTCAAAGGATACTCTGAAAGCTGGCTGCTGCCTTGCATGGTTCTGAGTGCCCAGGCTCCGGTCGGCGAAGAGATGACAACTTCAACAGCACTTGTATCCTGCAGCAACGTGCCAAGCTGGTCAGCGCAACGGTGCAAACTTTGCAGCGGGATCCTGGAAATGAAGCCGAAGCCGAAGAAGCGCTTCTTACTGACTGAGTGTTCCAAGGAGAAGCAGGGTTATGATCTGGGTTGTCAAATCCAGCTCAGGAGGGTTGAGGGCTTACAGGGTTTTACCCTAAACCCTAACCCTAAACCCTCATACCCTTGATTTGGGTTACCTACTCAGCACCTAAGGGACTTTGGGCCTACGGGCTCCATCCTGGCCTTGTCAAAGCGCAGCATCGCGTTCGGCGCGCAGGAGTGGTTCCTGGGACTGAAGGAGGCTTCTCGGGTTTAGAGTGTTTACACCGTGGTGCGAAGATGGGACCCTAGGGTTTAGGGTTTAGGGTTTAGGGTTTAGGGTTTAGGGTGGACCCTAAACCCTAAACGACCCTGAACCCTAAACCGGAATGGGAAGCAAACACATCTGGCTGTAAGTCTCCGGCACGCTCCTCGCAAGGTTCGGGTACCTGAGGCCGCGGGCGCGTGAGCCGACTTTCTTGGATTTGTTGGGCGACTGCTGCTGGCTGAAGCTGCAAAAAAACACAAAACCCCCTAGATATGATCCTCCTAAACCCGATAAAGGGTAACTTCAAGAGCTGGCCCAAGGGCTAGCTAGAAAAACCTTTACCAAGACCCAACCCTAAACCCTAAGCCCTAAACTCTAAACCACAAACCCTAAACCCCAAACCCTAAACCCTAAACCCCAAACCCTAAACCCTAAACCCTAACCCTAAACCCTAAGCCCTTAAACCCTTAACCCTAAACCCTAGGCCAGGTTGCAGAGCGAGGGCAAGCTTGGTGCTCTTGAGCTCACCGGACTCGCTCTCCTGAGAGTTTAAGGCATCAGGGGTCGACAGAGGAGTTTAGGGTTTAGGGTTTAGGGTTTCGGGTTTAGGGTTTAGGGTTTAGGTTTGGGATGTTGCCCCTTAATCTAACAGCCCTGATCATAGGAATTATAGTACCCCTAGTATACAATCCCCATTAAGGACTGGTAGTTGTAGGGTTATAGGGTTTAGGTCTAGGGTTGTAGGGTTTCGGGTTTAAGGTTTTAGGGGCACCCTGAGCCAAACCCAGAACTCACAGCCAGAAATTCCTGAAACGCTGCCGCGTGGCCGCTAAGGTTGTCACGGCCACTGCATTGATGCGAACACGCCCGAGCCAAGCGAACGTCGCCTAGAGCAAAGTTGCGGTTTCGTAAACTAGTATGGAAGGAAAATGACCAAGAATAAAAACAAGAAAGAACTGATTACTTTTGAAAATGAATACATGAATGAATTGGTGTGTACATTTTCTAGGTATTCATGTATCTATGAGTGTCGGGTTTAGGGTCTCTGGAGCAAATCAGGGGTATGTCTCCTGACCGTGATACCGACAGGCTCGGATGGTACGAAGCAACAAATCATAGTTTAAAGATTCTTCATGCAGTACATGATCTACCCTAAACCCTAAACCCTAAACCCTAAACCCTAAACCCTAAACCCTAAACCCTAAACCTCTGAACCCTAAACCCTAAACCCTAAACCCTAAAAGCCCTGCCAAGCCTCCACTGCCTCCCCGAGCTCCGACGCGGGCAGACTCGGAATACCTGAAGCTTCCGGTGCTAAAGCCCTAACGGGGTTAGGGTTTAGGGTTTAGGGTTTAGGGTTTAGGGTTTAGGGTTTAGGGTTTAGGGGTTTAGGGTTGGGGGTTTAGGGCTTAGGGTTCAGGGTTTAGGTGGGGATGTTCCCCCTGTCCATCGGAAAGTTCGGCGTGTCGACACAACATGTATGCAAGGCATGCGTTCAGTGTCGGGCGAGCTTGAACCGTGCGGTTGCGACGATGCAAATCCTGAGTGTGTGAGGTCACAAAGTGATACTAACAGTCCGTAATAGGGATTATAGTACCCCCGAGTATAATCCGTATTCAGGACTGCTAGTAAAAGGGGGAACATCCCAACCTAAACCCTGAACCCTAAGCCCTAAACCCCCAACCCTAAACCCTAAACCCTAAACCCTAAACCCTAAACCCTAAACCCTAGACTAATGGCTGCCCCATGCCCGGCTGCCATCGCAGAGCTGCCTGCTTCGCGAACCCAAACAAGCCCCTGGGATCGCACCTGAAAGGGTCGAGGCCTCCTGAAAGCCAAGAATCTGTAAACCCCCAAGGTGCCTACTTTATTCAACTTTCTGATTCTTATTCGTGGTATTCTTTTTATTTCTATTTCTGTTTTTTTTTTTTCTTTTTGGGGGGGGGGGGGGGGGGGGGGGGGGGGGGTGGAGTGGGGGTGGGAGCATTGTCTAGGTTTGGGGTTTAGGGTTCAGGGACCCCCATTTTTTCGAAAAAAAAGGCGCCGCCAGGATGCAGAGCGCCGAGCAGGCGGCGATCACGGCCCGGCTTCTCAAGGCCTGCGGATCTCGGCCACCGTGGTCCAGGAGGTCCTGGGTTACAGGGTTTAGGGTTTAGGGTCTAGGGTTTAGGGTTTCCTCAAGAATTGGAATAGGGTGTTGGGGGTTATCAGAGTGGGCCCAGAGGGGAATATTACTAGTAATTCCTCCGACCCCTATATTAGCCCAGGATCCAGATTCATAGCAAAGGGGCCCTGATAAGGTTCAAGGCTCTCTCCTAAACTTTAGGGTGATGCTTTGAAGTCGCCACCCCCAAAGTTCAGGGATTCCCAGAACCCCCAAAGTTCAGGGATTCTTGGGGTGTTTGGGGGTTCGGGGGACAAAAACAAAAAGCTACCGCCAAGACCTCGGAGGCTCCCTGGCCAAGTCCGCCAGCCCGGCCCTGTCAGCAGCCCAGAGCTGCAAGGCCAGGCGCGTCTCCTATACCCCCCCCTTTTAGAACCTTAATAAAAAAAATATGTTTAGTACCCTCTTGGGTTTTATATAAACAGCAATTTAAAAACAAATAAAAATACTGTGTTTAATACCCTCTTGGGTTTTATATAAACAAAAATAAGTAGTAATTCCCAAGGGGGATATAGTCTCCTCGCCCAGGGCCTCCTCCCCGTGCATGGCCACGCGGGCGATGGGCCTCGAGGTCTCCCAGGCTCAGGGGGGCTCTTGGGTTTGGGAGGTTTGGGTCTCGGGTTCATCTCGTCCTTTTTGCTTTAGGAAAGTCCCCTCCCCCCCGCCCCAAGAAAAAATGAAACTAACACAAAAAGATCCAGCAGAGTTCGCTGATGTGTCCCAGGGGCTGCTCCTGGATGCAGATGGAGCCCCGAGCCAGGTCCCGGGTCGCCAGGAGAGACCGGCCTTGTCCCGGCAAGGGCGCTACCTGAAAAAGTTCCAAACTATGGAAGCGGGGGGGGGGGGGGCCCTCAAAAAGTCTTATAAGTGCATAAACAGGACACTACATCAATGAAAACCCCCAAAGGGGGTCCATTACTCGGTAACTTATGGGCCCTTCTTGGTACCGTTATAACTTCAGCTGTCTGGAATATACCCCCCCCCCCCCCCCAGCGCAGTCAATCCCCACCTCGACGCCCCGAAGCTGCGGAGGACCTCGTGGGGTGGTTGAGCCCAAGGACACGGCCTTCGCCACATGCGGGCCCAGGAAGCCGGCAATGTCCTGGTGCAGGGTTTAGGGTTTAGGGTTTAGGGTTTAGGGTTTAGGGTCTAGGGCTTAGGGCTTAGGGTTTAGGGTTTAGGGTTTAGGGCTTAGGGTTTAGGGTTGGAGTTCCGACTGTGGGTTTAGGCGTCAGTGGAAATATCAAATCAGTGGCGCTCGGAATCACTGTAGGAGGGTTAGTGGAGGGAGTTAGTGGACTGCTACCGGTTGCTACAGAGTTTGAAAGCGTTCGAGACGAGGGTGGCGTTTGTTCAGAGATCGCCCTATATATATATATATATACACATGTGCATGTGTATGTATGTGTGTACAAATCTATTGTTTTCGACAGATAGAGAGATCTTGCTCTTCTACATGCTCTTGAAAACTCGGGTCCCCGTGCAACGTGTAGGTGCCTTGTGTAACATTCCTGAAAAACGTCTCCCCAAAAAGTGACCCCAACTAAAACCAAAAAAAAGCGCCCGCCCCCCACCCAACCTCTCTAAAGAGTTGCATAGGGAGACGCAAGGAACCTCTTTAAGGAACCTATTTCCCGAATTCCCCACTACCAACTTGTAAGAAACGCTTCCGTGGCTCGACTTGGCTCGGTCTCAGAGTCTGCACGAGGCGGCCCAACACCTCTGGGCGGCGCCTGCGTGTGCGAGGCTTGCCCAATCGGATTGCTTTCTGTCAATGCTCTAGAGTCTACTAGTTGATGGTTGGGATAGGATTTATACTGCTAGTTGATGGTTGGGATAGGATTTATACAAAGAAATGGATTTCTATGCCTTATTGAGTTTAAATACCCTTAAACATGCAAAATGTTGTCCCACTATGACAAAGTCGAGGGCACAGGCTTTTCTCACATTTCAGACACTTGAAGGGCTCAGATAAAGAATAGAGAACGACATGAATCCCACGTTCGCGATGGCATGTGGCGTCCAGAACAGAACCCTAGGCCCCTAAACACACGAAAACCTGGCTTGGGTGCATAGGTGCCCTGAGGATACTATTATTAAATATTCGGGCGCCTACCCCTAAACCCTAAACCCTAAACCCTAAACCCACTGTATTACCCAGACGGCATTTAGTGTCTTGCAGCTTGGGCCCCCAAGAAGCAGCTGCGACATCTTAGCGAGGTCGTCGAAGTCAGCATTTCAGCTTCCGCGCTTTCTCCCGAAGGGGTTCAGGTCTATGCACCCATTCTGTGGATCCTAAGACAACAAACTAGACTTGCCTGCACTTAGGAGGGTAGGATCTATAGTTACAGTAAAGCACCACAAAGTAGATAGCAAACCACTTTTGAGACCCAAGAAATGGTTCGCAAACCCTGGAGCGCTATGGCCTTAAGCCCTTTGGGATTGTTGTCGCGGGGCCCAGGGGCTCGGTGTGGGCATTGCGAACCGTATTGGACAACCAAACCAACCTGTATGCCTTCGACATCGCTAGACGCAAAAGTCACCAGGGTTTGGCTTGAAGTCCATTGGATGAGGAGAGGGAGGGGGGGCGCTTATAGGAGAGAGGGTCGTGTCTTCGGATAAATCATTTGACGCCTGGCGTCCACCAACTCCCCCAGCTGGGAGGCGAGATCCTCTGGAAGTGCTGGGACCTTTGAAGAAGCATTTGGGGTGGTTTTGGTAGGGCATTGTTGGGTTGAGGGTTTAAGGTTTGCTAGAGCGATGTAGGTGATGGTTCAGACTTGTGAGCTTCCACAGGGTGGACGGAGCTACATCGGCAGATCATCGGCATGTGTCCGCCTTGCTAAGGACTGGTGTAGGTCTGTGACCGACTGGCCTTGTTTTAACTTCAAACCCGAAGACCAAGAATCCCCATGTGTACGCCTCTTGTCCTTTTCTTGGGTGAGGGCTTAATCCACTGAAGATATGACGGAAATTCCTTCCAAGCCACTTTCAGGCGATGCGGCTTCTCCTGCAGGAGGTGCTGAGCCAGCTTGTGGTCGAGACTTCGAGCCATGGCTTCGCAGTCCAAACTCAGCGGGGGGGGGGGGGGGGAAAGGTTTAGGGTTTAGGGGTTCTCTCCGAAGATGGAGGGTCAAAGTCATAAGGAAGTCGCGGGAGATTTTGGGGGCGGATGCCGTATGTCGCCTCTTACATGGCCTTAATTCCTTGCTATCAACAGCCAGTGAATCACACGAGGCTTCCTTCCATTCCAAGGCTGCTTGTTTCAGCATGGTCTAGGGGCCACTTTTCCGTTTTAGGGGTTTTGGGACTTCGGGTTCAGGGCTTGGAGGGGGTTCAGGTTTATAGAGCTCAGGGAGTTGGAGTGGTTATGGTTAGGGTTTAAGTCTTATAGGGTTTAGGTTTAAGGTTCAGGGCTTAGGGGTCAGCTGCCTTGCTCCATGAACATGCTGTGCATACAGGCCGCAACAGCTTCGCTCGATGCCACGTGGGGTTTCCCTACACTAAGCACCCGCTTTATCCTGCGAGGGAAGCCCCTAAAATCCCAAACCCTAAACCCCAAACCCTAAACCCTAAAACCCGAAACCCTAAACCCTCAAAGGGCCCCCAAGTCCAGACAACGGACCGCCTCTCCCTGTCGTGCACATTCCGATTGCGCCTTGCATCCCTGGCCTTGCCCTATTTGGTCTTACAGACTCTTCCTGGAAACTGGGCCTGGTCCAGCCCCTAGGATAAGCCCTATACCCTAAGCAGGTTTAGCGTATGGGGTTTAGAACCCATGAACCTCCAACCCAGGTTTAGGGCTGATTAGGGGAGTAAGCCCTTGAACCCTTGCCTCGATGGCAGGAGCGGGTCATTTTCCGTGCGATTTCTGCGTTGGGGGGGGGGGGGGGGGGGGGGGGGGGGGGGGGGGGGGGGGGGCGTCCACTATGTACAAACCCTGAGGACCCAAGTACCCTGATGTTCTTTGCCTTGGGTTGTTCAAGTACGTATACGTATACATACACATATGTATATATATATATATAAATATATATATATATATGTATATATGCACGCACACACACACACACCTATTTTTTATTAACAAATAGAAGTGTGTGTGTGTGTGTATATATATATGTATGTATGTATATCTCTATCCTAAATAGAAATGAGTAAATAAAATAGCCGCTGTGAGGGTCTAAGTTGATTGTGGAGGTACGGTATTGGTACATGGATCCTCTGGGTAAAATCTGCCTCGGACAGCCCGATGCAGCTGCCCAGGTTACTGGGAAGCTTTGACCGTGGTGGTTGCTGGGGTTTCCTCGCCGGAAGCTTGCAACGCCCTCTCAGATGACCTTCGGCCTGCCGCGCCCGACACGTTCAGGGCCTGCCGGGTTGCATTGCGGCAGAAGATGAGTTGACTCTGGCATGCGGCATCGGATTAGAGTTGGCTTTGAAAACATTTTCTGCCGTACGAGAACTCGCTTTGATGTGAAACTGATGAGAGTTATTGTGCCAGTGAGGCTGGTGAGACCAGGGACGCATGAAGTACGAGCAACAAGCGTCACGGCAAGCGGGCAGCCACACACAGACAACACTGATGCAACTCCACCATCGAATTCGTGCCGAATTCTGTTCTCGCCCTCCTTTCCTTACCGTCTCCGTTCCGTAATGGGGCTCACCCCGCATCCTCCATGCCAGAACAGACTTCTCCACGCCTGGGTTCAGCAATGTGAACTAGGGTTTTGGGTTGAGGGTTTGGGGTTGAGGGTTTCGGGGTCCTTCCGAAAAGAAGGCGACCTCGGCCCATGGCAGCGAAACCATTCGTGACCCTTCCACGGAGCTTCAGTTGTAGGATCGGATGCCACATCTCGTGCCTCAACCTGAAGCCCCCAACCAGGTTTTTAGGGCTTAGGAGCTGGGAAGTGCACTTAGACCGAATTTTGGAGACATGTGGGCATTTCCCATTAACAAATGTTCTAGAAGCACTCTACCCCTCACATACCCAGTTATTTAATATACCCATCTTCATTCTTGGAACCCCGCCAAAAAGCTACCCTAGGGGTTGGGTTGTTCTACATTCGACAATTCTGGGGGATGGTTTCTTGCCATGCACTGCCGATCAGGTTTCAGCAGCCTTGACTGAAGCTTACATTCGTCCAACTGGTCACTGGTCGTGTACATGGTTGACTCAGAGCCCTTCTCAAATCTACGAGTTTAGGGTTTAGGGGTTAGAAGCTGAGGCTGACCAACTTCGAGAACGTTTTCCTCCACATGCTATCGGTGGGTGCAGCTGAATTGGGTCCGCGGGCGCGAATTCCTGTTACAGAGCGCAGGCAGATGCACCGAATTTAGTTTTCAGGAGACAGCCGCTCCTTGATAACCTATGAACATGCCAACAAAACCTGCAAAACTGCTCTCTACAGCTGCGCGTGCAAATACAGTGGGCGGCGGTATCCATGGATCCTACCATCACTGGCCGAATTGCTAGGGCAAGCAAGCGCCCCTTGCAAACACTGGTACCCTAAACCCTACACCGCCATAGATATTTCATTTCTGAAGTGTCGGTGACCATGACCTGACATACATCTAGACCCAAGAGTAACCTAGGAATAAAAAGGCGTGCCCTTTCTGGTTTAAAGCGGCCTATAAGGGAACCTAAACCCTAAAAAAGGAGAATAAGGGCCTACTCTGAGTCCTAGACATTATACTCCTTGCCAGGCAGGGAGCAGGCGCCACTTGGCCCCGCAATGCCGACAGTCACCGGCAAGGCTGCCCTAATGCCTCAAGCTGGCCGAGGTCAACTGTCGCCAAAGTGCAAGGTTTGCTGGAAGAGCGACCTGCAATCTCACCGCAGCTAGATGTCAGGGCCGACGAGCCCCGTAAAGTGCACAGGGATTTGATGCCTCACACTTACCCTCGGCCCGAAGAGCGCCGTACTTCACGTTTCACGAGCCTGCGAAATCTAGCGCTTTTGAAAGAGCAGCATGCTCTTGCCAAGCCTTTTCCCGCCTTTGGTTCTGGGTTAGGGCTCCCCTTTGATAGAACGGAATTCCTCATAACATATCCGAAGCCCCCCAGTGATCCACCCCTCTCTTCCGTGCAACTGTCTGGCATGAGCCCAGCTCGAATATTAGCTTCTGTCTGAAACATAGAAAACAGTTGTACAGTGGCATCCATGCAAGCGTGGTGTCAGACATGTTGCGTGTGCAATCCCCGTAAACCCTGCAAGCCACACCCTAAACTGCCCTGAACCCTTACCCCCTAAACCCCAAACCTTAAACCCCAAATTCCTCAACCCTAAACTTTGCACCCCTAAGCCCCAAAACCCTAAACCCAACCCAAACCCCACAAATGCCTACAACAAGAACGATGCCTCCAAAGAAGCTGCGACCAGTTTGGTCGCGGAGGATCTCGCGTCTGGTTGGCGAGGAGGCCTGATTCCCGAAGCGAGAGAGACTTTGGGGCTTAGAGTTTGGGGCCTAGAAGGTTCAGGGTTTAGGGCTTAGGATGGAGGGCTTCGGGTTTGGCATCTAGCGCTTTAGGCTTAAGAAGGCTTAGTGTTTGGGATTTAGGATGCAGGTCTTAGGGCTTAGGATTTAGGTCAAGGACCTAGGGTTCAGGGCTTCGGACGTCGCATTTTTTTTGGGGAGGGGGGGGGGGGGGGGGGGGGGGGTATGTAACCCAAGCTTCCCCAATACTCCCGAAGGCTCCCCAAGCTTCCCTAAGGCTTCCTAGGTACCTACCCCCACGAACCCCTTAAGAACCCTATAGCTTTAGTCTCAGGGTAGCTATTTACATGATCCCTTCATATGGACGCTGAAATTGGGGAACGCTTATACCCCTTGAGCGCCCTAGGTACCTACCCCCCATAAAACCCCCTCCATCCAGAACCATGTAGCTGCTGTATGGTGGGTTGGACTCTCCGAAGTCGGACCCCCCAACAACATATATATATATATATATACACATGTATATGTATATGTATATGTATATATATATGTATATTACATATATATATATAATCATGGCGACCGTAAAAGGTTTGACGCCTTCACAGTTCTATTGCTTCTTTCTATTACGATGGTACGAAGTGAATGGGACTACAAGACTCTATTCTAGAAAAAAGCAGCCCTCCACAACCCTAAAGCCCTAAACTGTCAACACCCGAAAGCCCAACACCAAAAACACATCTAACCCGCAAAAGCCCTGTAGGCCCTCAAGCCCTATGACCTGTCAACCCCAACAAAAACCCGGTAAACCCTGTAAGCCCTGACTCTACAGTCCCTAAACCCCAACTTACCCTCTAAACCCCATGATCCCGCCAGTAGGAACTCTCTCTCTCTCTATATATATATATATATATATATATAGAGAGAGAGAGAGGGCCAGAGAGACATATAAGAATCGCAAGAACAACAATAGCAAAATGCGGGTAGGCAATAATGACAATAAACCCTAATCCCCCCCAAACAAACAAGAAACGAGTCGCCTGCGACATGAACCCAAAACCCAAAACCCTAAACCCTAAACCTTAAACCCCAAAAAACATGCAAAAAAAAACACACACACACACACACACACACACACACAAGTCGCCTGCGACATGAGCCTGGCAGGTGCTTAGCTCCTCCCGGAGCTGCGCCTCCCGCGCCAGGCAGTCGCCTCCCGTCACGCGCGTGTGTGTTCCCTGGAGGCTCCTGGTGGTAGGGTTTAGGGTTTAGGGTTTAGGGTTTAGGGTTTAGGGTTTAGGGTTTAGGGTTTAGGGTTTAGGGTTTAGGGTTTAGGGTTTAGGGTTTAGGGTTTAGGGTTTAGGGTTTAGGGTTTAGGGTTTAGGGTTTAGGGTTTAGGGTTTAGGGTTTAGGGTTTAGGGTTTAGGGTTTAGGGTTACTTGGAGGTTCATGGTACTTATTGACCAATTAGAACTGTACTTATAACTGTACTTATCGCCATATTAGGGCACTTAAGGGGCTGAAGCCGGTGATCCTTAAAGTCGGAGCCAAACCCCCTTCCTCCAGAAAAAGTCCTAAACCCTAAACCCTAAACCCTAAACCCTAAACCCTAGACCCTAGACCCTAAACCCTAAACCCTAAACCCTAAATCCAAACCCCTCATCCCAGGACTTGACCCGGCAAGCTCGGGCCCGGGCCGTCTACAGGGGTTCCGAGGTCTTGATCAAGCAGGCATGCCTGAAGCAATCCTGGCGACGCTTCCGGGCTGAGGTGTTTAGGGTTTTTGGATGTTTTTGGCCTAAACCCTAGACCCTAGACCCTAAACCCTAAACCCTGCTTAGGACTGAGATGCTGGGATCCAGGGTCAAACTGCAAAAGTTGGGTGCGCATACTACCGTTGTCAGGGAAGAGTGCTAAATCCTCAAGTCCAAACCCTAAACTCCTGAATCCTGAGCCCTAAACCCCAAAGTCCTGAACGCTAAATCCCCTAGACCCTAAACTCCTGAAGCCTAAGCCCTAAGCCCTCAAGTCCTGAACCCTGAACCCTAAGTCCTGAACCCTAAGCCCTAAACCCTCCTCAACCCTAGACCCTGAAGTCCTGAACCAGAAATCCGTGCACCCTAAACCCTGAAGTCCTAAACCCGCAATACTAAACCCGAAGCCGCAATACTAAACCCGAAGCCCTATGACCCTAAATCCCAAACCCTAAACCCGAAACCCTAAACCCTAAAACCCTGAAGCCCTAAAGCCCCAAGTCCCAAAAATCGCTCAGTCCTGAAAGGACGCACAGCCGCAGGATGCACCAGAGCCCAGCGCCACACCGGCCTAAGGCTCAGGACCCGAAGCCCGAAGGGGTTTAGGGTTTAGGGCTAGGGTTTAGGGTTTAGGGTCTAGGGTCTAGGGTTTAGGGTTGAGGGTTTAGGGTTGAGGGTTTAGGGTTTAGGGTTAGGGTTTAGGGTTGAGGGTTGAGGGATTAGGGTTTAGGATTTAGGGTTTGGGTTGCCCGAATCCTCTCAGGGTTGAGGGTTTTTGGGGGCTTTCGGGAACTTTTTGATCCGAGGGGCAGCAGCGGCTTCTTTTCTCGCCTGGCTCGCAATGCGACGGCTCCTCACTGCCTTCGGGCACAGGGGGTTGCTAGGGTTTAGGGTTTAGGGGTTAGGCTTTAAGGAGCATAACCTAGAAAAAGAGGGTGCCCTTCGTGGTTTAGAGATAGGGTTCAAGGATCAGGGTTTGTGGCCTCGGGCGACGGGTCTTCGGGGCTTGTTTCGGGAGACTGCAAGCACTGGCAGGAGTGGTTCAAACCTGCCTTCGCCATCGCCCGTCTCCTCAACCTGCTCCTGCTCCACCTGCTCCTTCTCAGTTTGCACCGCGACCTGTTGGGGGTTTAGGAAAGAGGGTTTGTGGGTTGGGACCCGCTTGCTTCAGTTGTTTCGACTTTCGCGTAGCCAAGGAACTTGCTGGAGGAACTCAGCCCCGAAAACCCTAAACCCTTTCTGCCAAATGATCTTGGCGTCCCTGAGGCCTGCCTCAGTGGACTGGACCATGAAACTGTCAGAGGTCTGCGTGGACTCGCTTTCACTCCTGCAGGTTGCCGGGGTAACTGGAGTATGTCGTGCGCCAGGCATGACTTTGGATGCTGTTCCGGTGCCGTTCCACTCCCACTTGGAGGTTCATGGTACTTAATAACCCAAGAACGGTACTTACTTGTAAAACCCAAATATAACCACATTAGGGCACTTAAGGCCTGATAAGTGGGTTAGAAGTACAGCTAATGAATTGGGTTATAGGTACCATGAACCTCCAAGCAAACCAGGAAAGCTTCATGGGGCGGAAAACTGAGGTGAGAGTTGGTCGGCGCCCCGGTTTCTGAGTCTACTAGAGGGACCTTAAGAATCAGAATAGGGTTTTGGGGTTATGGTCGTGTAAATAAACAGGAACCAGAAGGGAATACTATTAGTAATTATTCCGAAAAGGAACCATAAGGGAATACTCCTTTGTAATTATCACGACCCCTATAAGCCGTCCTCGGCGGAGGTGTCCGCTGCAGCGTGCGTGTCGGGGCAAAGGGGTCCTCAAGTCTCCAGCCCACACACTCTGAACCCTATGCCCTAAACCACCCTCTGAATTCATGGTGCGTCTACTAAGAAGAAGAAAAAGAAGAAGAAACCCCCCCCAAAAACCTAAGCCCCTGAACTCCTAAGCCCCTAGACCCCACCGGATGTTTTCAGACATGAGGGACCCGGGCCTCAGGGCTCCAGAAGCAGCCATCCTCCTGTGCACAAAGGGCTTAGGGCTTATAGGCTAATAGGGCTTAGTGCTTTAAACCTTACTCGAAAACTGAAGAATAACACGAAGTTTCATGTGCGTGCGCGTGCGCGTGCGCTTGCGGGTGCGAGGGGGGGGGGGGGTGTGGGTGTGGGTGTGTGCGTGGGTGCGTGTGGTATGTTCCGAAAAAAGCTGAACTCCCCTGTTCGGGCTTCCTCAGAAAAAAGGACAACAATTTGGAGGACTTGCCCCCACATTATGCCTTCCGCCGTGCGCGGCAGGGCGTGGGCAGCCTGCCAAAAACAAGGGGATTCGTGAGGTCTTTACGTGGCTTAGGCATTAGGGTTTGAAAGGAATCAAGGCTTCACAGCTTTACAGGTGATAAAGGGCTTGGCCGTTAGCCTAGTTCGCAGAGCCGCGCTGCTGGGTAGGACGGGACCTCTTTTTTTCCGGACTTATAGGTTTATGGTTTTTGGGCTTAAGGCGTGTAGGACACGTGTATCTGAACTTCGCTAGGCGCCATTATGAAATGCTGCAGCTAGCCATAGTATGTCTAGCAGGATATCATGATATATCATGAGGTCAAACCCCTAAACTTTGGCCCTAAACCCTAAACCCTAAACCCTAACCCCTAAACCCTAAACCCTAATCAACCTCCCTAGAGAAGCTCTGGGTTTAGAAGCTCCAGCTATCCACCAAATTCCTAGAGCTCTGGCTCCTTGTTGGCTGATGATCCTGAAAGTCCTACAAGTAAACCCTCTAGAGCCTCTGCATCCCCCACCTGAACCCTAAACCCCGAAACGCCTCTAAAAACAAACCCAAATTCCTAAACCCTAAACCCTGCAGGGCCCTAAACCCTAAACCCTACACCCCAAACCCCTAAACCCTTACGAGCCCACTCCGACCTTGATAGGCTTTCTTCGCCGCGGCGCCTCCGCCAAGGGCTTGAGCTGCAGGACTCTTCGGGTGCAGGGCTCATGGCGGGTAAAGACTTAGGACTCTTAGGGTTTAGGGTTTAGGGTTTAGGGTTTAGGGTTGATCGGGTTTGTAGGGTTTATAGGGTGCACCGGGTTTATATGGTTTTAACTTACAGGGGTCTAGGGTTTCACGTTGGACGCTGTTCCCAGCACTGAACTGTCGGAAGGCCGTGCGGACCCTTCAGTTTGGGGTTTAGCCGGCTTAGGCTTTTGAGATTCGGGCTCAGAGCAGGGTTCGGGTCTTTGGGTTTTGGGTTTCGGGTCTAAAGAGTTTAGTGTTCGGGGTTTCTTTTGGGGTTTTAGGCTTCCGAGGCGCTAGTGGTCAGGGCTCAGGGCGGCTTCGGTCCAGAGACTAGTGACTAGTGGTTGGGATGAGGGGTTTAGGGCTGGTCTGCTGAGTATCTCAGAATGACCTTGGGCTTGCAAAGTTGTTGTTCGGCTGGAACGGTCCACCAGGTACAGTACTTGCAAGGACGGGCACCACCAGGAATCGATGCCGCGAGCCAGCGAAGGCTTTACAGTAAGTGTAAAGTGATTCCTTTTGTTTCACGTTGTAACTCGGCTTCGTGTGCGTCAGGCCTTCGCATCATCATCACGGCCATTCCCTCCAGCTACAGCACGACTATACATAAACACCTCATAGTCATTGTGGCTAAGCTTGGGCCGAGAAATGCAACAGCGACGGCGGGAACCTCATTTGAGAAGACGTGTCTTGTGCTGCCAATGCGTTGGCACCTGTCCACTGGTGTTTACAAATCATGCGCACATCTGGCAGTGATCCGAAACTCCGCATCTAGAAAGCACACATTCCTTCCAAGCCTTCAGAAGTCAAAGCAAGCGGCAGTTGGCATCCGACCCACGTGCAGCAACTGCATGCACCTGCACCATTGTATGTTAGCATGAACGCGTGGTCTTATCCACCCGAAACTCGAAGCCCTAAAACCGAAAACCCGAAACCAGTCAACCCCTGTGGCATCTTCTGGCAGCTGAAAAACCTCACATGGCCTGCACTTCCCTAAACCCCAAAACCCTCAACCCCTTCCTTGGTGTTCAGTGGCCAGGCCTCCAAGAGCCCGTACGTGCCCCCACTTGGCTCTTGCTCATCGCGCTTGGGCCAAAAGCTTCAAACACAAAACCCTGGCGGCCCTGTGGCAGGGTTTAGGGCTTAGGGTTTAGGGTTTTGGACAGACTTAGTCAGGGGCGTAAGGCTGCAAAGCCACGTTCGAGCATTTTGGCAGGAGGCTGCTAGACATGACTGGCCCGCATACGGAGAAAGCAACCGACGCAAGACGCAGGTTCACAGAGTCTAGGGCTTTGGTTGGGAGAGGGCTCAGTACAGCAAGTATGTTCTCTTCCTCTCTTATCTTCAACAGCCAGCTGCCAACATCTGATTCCTCCAACACCGAGCCTTCTTCCCTCTCGACGTTGCCCGGGGCCAGCGGCAGCTGTTGCGACTGGATCCGCCGGGAGCCTTTTTTCCGAGGGCTTTAGGGCTTTAGGGCTTTAGGGTTTGGGGTTTAGGGTTTGAAGGTTTAGGGTTTAGGGTTCTAAGGTTAGGGACATGAGATACCATGACAGCACCCATCCGCAGGCACGTAGTGGCAGTGGTTGTGGTATCAAAACCCAAACAGTGACCTTCATGATAAGAGCCAGGGTTTACATTGCTGTTCTCGGTGAGTGTACTACAGGGTCCCCTGTACAATGTCCATTTGGGAATGTCATTTGGGATTCTAGAAATGATCTTATTGTTGCCTCACATCGTTCCTACAGTATTTACTGTTTCTAAGTAGCCCCAAAGGGACACCCCAGATAAACACCCACCAATATTCGTAAGGAACCGTAAACACACTCACGGATAACAGTACCACAAACCCCGCCTCCTGTAATCATCACAGTCTCTTTAGAAGGGTTAGAGCTGAGTAAACCCTTAACCCTCAACCCTTAACCCCCCCCAAAGCTCCACATGTCAGGCCAGTGTTCGGATCCGCCTCCGACACTGTCGCTTGGAGCAGGTGGTGGCAGCCAAGGTTCTGCTTCCTCGCGCCTGGTGCTCCAGGAATGGTTCAAGACTTGGTGGTGCAGGGCTTAGGGTTTAGGGTTTAGAGCTTAGGGCTTAGGGTTTGGGGTTTAGGGAGTAGGGTTTAAGATGCATTTTACTCAGACATCAGAGACCACCATCACCACAGAGTACTTGGCCGGTGAAGGTCATCTAGCTCAGCAAAATTACCCCCAAGACAAGGAACAACACTAGGGGATAGGATTAGGGGGGACCCTTAGGGATATAGACCCTCTGAGTAAAGCCCCCCCCCTACCTACCCTAAACCCTAAACCCTAAACCCTAAACCCTAAACCCTAAACCCTAAACACAGAGGACCCTCAGCCGTCGGGCCTGGCTCTCGAGGACCAGCTGAGAAAACATCGGCGTCCGTGCAACGGCCTGCCGTCCAAGGCCTTGAAACAGGTGAAGACTACGTTTTATGGTTGGTTATGGTTAGCAGTGGCCAAAATGGTTAATAAGGGTTAGTATTCGCAACTAATGGCTAAAAATTTGGGAATAGTGGTTAAGAATGGTGAACAATGGTTCAGAATGGGTGATCATGGTTAGAGGTTAATAATGGTTAATATTGCATCGTGGTTAATAGCGGGTTACTAATGGTGAATATTGGCATCAATCATTCTCTCAGGCTCGCTACCACAGCCGATTCCAGCGAACATGCGTGGAAGGTGATTTGCACGCTCATCATGCGCACGCTGCTAAAATTCAGTTTGGTCTGTAACTGCATTTGACCCCGGCATGTTCCGGAAGCAACCACATGAACTTGATGTACATCCTGGGTCAGATGCATTCATGCCTTTGTACACATTTGCTGGCACCCCTGACAAACTTCTAAGCTTGGGCTGAGTCTTGCACAGCCGCCCAACCCTGAACCCGAAATTGTCGGAATGCCTGACGCCACCCTACAAGTATGTGCCATGTCTGCACACCAACATGAAGCGCAAACTTACACAGCATGACGGACTGTCGTCTCTTGGCTCGAACATGCCTCGAAGTACGAATGCACGCGGGGCATCAGGCTCCTGAGTTAAACCTAAAACCCTAAACCCTAAACCCTAAACCCTAAACCCTAAACCCTAAACCTTAAACCCCCTAAACCCCCTAAACCACGCGACTTCACGAAGGAGCCCGAGGGAAGAACCGGATCGAAGAAGCGAGCTTTGTATTCGGAAGAGTTTGCGCTTGGCCTTGGCACTTTTAGAGATCCGTAGCTCTGAACTCTAAAGGACCCAGAGCCGCAAAGGGTTTTGGGTTTTGGGTTTAGGGTTTTGGGTTTAGGGTTTAGGGTTTAGGGTTTAGGGTGGCTTAGCTGGCAGGAGCTCACGAACCCGAATTTCCAGCTGCACAGCGTGGTACACCCAAGCCACACAGTGCAGCCCCGAAACACCCTTTTTGCAGCTTGTTATTCTAAACCCTAAACCCTAAACCCTAAACCCTAAACCCTAAACTCTAAACCCTAAACCCTAAACCCTAAACCCTAAACCCTAAAGCCAAGGCCCCCACTTCCAGCACCTTCTGCGCATCGTTGAAGGTGTGGAAGTTTACCTCAGGAGGTGACCGGAGCCATAGCTGACCAGCATAAAATCCTATTCCCCCAGGGTTTAGGGTTTAGGGTTTAGGGTTTAGGGTTTAGGGTTTAGGGTTTAGGGTTTAGGGTTCAGGGTTTAGGGTTTAGGGTTTAGGGTTTAGGGTTTCCATTGATTTTAAGAAAGTTGTAACAACAGCAAAATGGTAACAGGAACCAGAGTTTGCCAGCAGAAACCTTATTCCAGGGCAAGAAGCAATAAATTGCTAAAGTACTTGCCACAACAACAATATAAGTCCTAAACCCTTTGCAGCCGAAGTTGCAAAGCCGTGCAGCTCAGACTCCAAGGTTTTGGTGTCGCGCACCACACGCAGGGTGGCTACGGGCGCCAGCTCTGAAAACAAGCCTTTGAAGAGAGGGCAAAGGGTATCAGAAGGTTTGAGCTTGGGGGGGTTGGGGGGGTGAAACTGAAGGGTTTAGGTTTCAGGTTTAGGATTCAGGCTGAGAGGGTGAAAGGGATCTTCGCACTCAATTGCTGCGAACGAGAGCAAGCTTGACTGCCTCCAGATGCTGTTACAGTGGAGGGTTGAAATTCGTGATCATCACTATGGGCATCGATAGCCGCTCAGCTTACTTAGTCTACCGCAGCTGAAAGCTGATTGCCGTACGACTTAAGGTGGCACTAGAGTGTGGCTCTCCTTTTGTCATGACCCTCAGCGCCCCTGCAGAGACGCGAAGAGAAGCTGAGCTTGGGCTCAGGGTTTACCAAAAACCCTAGCAGAAGAGGGCTTCTGCTAGGTTGTGTAGAAACCCTCTTCTGGGTTGCAACCTGGGAGCTGTAAAGCATCTCTTCCGTCACATCTGGGTGCAAGTTGCTGATGCGCAGTGCCGGCTGGGCCACACTCCACCTCTCAGCACTGGCAGAGTCCGAGCGGTCAGCCGTGTGTAGGGTTTCGGGTTTAGGGTTTAGGGGTTAGGGTTTCGGGTTCAGGGGTATCGAATGGTATCGGTTACCTCCACAAGACCGCCATCGGGCAGAGAAGGCTTCCCAGGGAAGAAGTGGCTCTGAATTTGGGATTCCAGGGGGTTGACATGTAGTGTATCGGGCGTAGGGGATTCTTGGTGAGTTGGCGGCATGAAACTATCTGCTGAGGCGCTTCCCCTGCTCTTCGCGTGCCCGCCCCAGGGCATCGGCAAGACCACACTTGCAGTAGCCGTTACATCGACACAGTGGAACTTCCCCCTTGACGTTGGCGTGCGGGATCACCTTGGTTCCAGGAAGCTTGTGGGGTGTTGTGTGTCCCAAATGCCAAATCCCAAACCCCAAACCTCACACCCTAAGCCCTAAAACCCAAAAGGACCCGAAGCAGCTTTAACATGGGCCATTGTCGGGGAGCTGGCTGGCCTATTTAAATACTTACTTGCCTTTCCGGACTATTTTTTGCAGCGTGGGCAGCCAACCTGAAAAGTTGGCTTGGATTCCTACCATTTTTGTATTTACTCCTTCCCACCCGAGATCTCTTAAGTTTGATCTATAACGAAAAGGATGCATCTCAGGCCACCAACCTGAAAGATCCGCCCGCCAGCCTCATTTTTTTTGGATCTCGAGCCACCAACCCAAAACATCCGCCAGACCCCTTAGTTTTTCACGCATCTCGGGTCACCAGTCCGGCACCTCCGCCAGACCCGCCAACCCTCTCTTTCTGCATCACGAACAGCCACACCCTCAACCTTAACTAAACCCTAAACCCTGCATGTCGGCCAGCTTTTTTTACATGTCGGCCAAACGCATCCCGAATTGATCCAGGCCACGGCAGGTCGGTTGGGCTTCCTCCGGCCGAACTCGTCCGCCTCCTTCACGCGACTCCAGACCGAGTTTATGGTGCAGGGTGGCGGGATTTCATGGGGCATAGGGTTCAGGTTGTTGGGTTTAGGATTCTGTTTCTGTCGGACTTCGGGTGTAGGCCTGAGGGTGTGGGGTTTGGAGTCGGGGGTTCGAGGCCGCTGTCGCAGTGCACGAACGCTTCTCGGACGTGGGTCCTCCTGCGGCGGCACGAGGACGACCAGCAAGATGGTTGGAGCCTGACGGAAACTCCAACGGCAAACCCAAAACCCTAAACCCAAAACCCTAAACCCCAAACCCTAAACCCTCGACTCCACATTCTGCTAAGAGAGCCTCAGCCTCTGAACCCTGAATCTCGAACAGTGAACCTGCACTGTGATGACTACACAAAACGACAACCATCATAACCCCCAAACAAGGTATCCCTATTCTAGGGGATACGAGGGATGCACGGCAGTAAGCCGACTCGAATCTGATGAAACGACGTGGCTTTCACGCATCCTGCCTCCAGCTCGCACCGCATGGCTTCCAGGTTGTCCACTACGCCGTTCACGTCAATGACCCAGGAACCTGGCGAAAATGTTGGGTTTGCTAAAACAGGAGTTCACAAGGATGTCGTGCTACCGTGAAGTTTGAAGAAATAAGAAAATGCATACAGACATATGCATACATGTACATCTGGGTTGTGCACGTCTCCGTACAAGCTAATGATGAGTCATGACAGAAGCCTGCGGCGAAGTATCTGCAATTGCTTGTAGCTGTAGGAGACCGTCAATCCCTCAACCCTTAAGCCTTAGAATCTTGGGTGCTGTTCCTTAAACCTAGAAACCCCAACCCCATTTTTTGAGATCTTTTTCTAAGGAAACAAGTAATCCCAAAAAGAGACACCCCTACAGAACCAGCCTGGGTTCATGTTTCTTTCGCTTTAGCCATGCGGCATGGCCCATGCCCTCGTGCTTAGAAGTTCGCCTATATTGTTATTGTAAATTCATACAGGACTTTCCGCGGAAGTCTGGGGAGGTTTTTGTTGGGGATGCGGGCTTCTCGGGGTGGGCAGGATACTCGGCAGGATGCTCTCTGGGGGGGCGCCCAGGGTGGGCACTCTAGGGACTAAGCCTAGACATGGACGGGCGGGCACCGGGTGAGGAGGCGAGGCGAATGGTTGACTTAAAAAGCCTAACCGCGCATGGAGGGGGTGGGAAAAAACTAAACTCTCAGTCTGAACCCCAGAGTTCCTAAACCCCAAACCCTGAACCCAACCCCAAAATCTACACCCTAACCCCAAACACTAAACCCTCCACCCTGAAACCCCTAAACCCCTAAAACCCTACAACCCTTAAAAACCATAACCCCTAAACCCCAAACCAGGCACCAGAGGCACACCGAAACCCTAAAACCCTAAACCCTAAAAACCCTAAACCCCAAAACCCTAAAACCTAAAACCCTAATAAATAACCCTAAAGCCCTAAAACCCCCGACCGGAGGCAGCAAAGGGCCGGCCTTCTAAGGCGCGCTCCGCGGGCGCCACGGCCGCGTTTCGACGGCCCAGGAGGCCCTTCTCGGAGATGGACACAATCCTTAGGGTCCCTAAACCCTAAACCCTAAACCCTAAACCCTAAACCCTAAACCCTAAACCCTAAACCCTAAACCCTAAACCCTAAACCCCAAACCCCAAACCCCAAACCCTACGGTGACTATGCTTTTATACGCGGACATTTAATAAACAAAACAGATATTTTATACTACCTCCGTGAGGGGGGTTGGGTGGGGCCGCCCTTTGTTAAAACACCCGGAAACCATAGCCGTCAAAAAACCGAAAATTCCTAGCGCATTGTGTTAAGGCGATTTTGGGGGTTTGGTTTCCCTTCCGACAGGGTTTGGGGCCCGGAAAATTCGTAACACCTTGTGTTAGGGTGATATTTTGGAGGGTTTGGGGCCCCTGGAAGGCCTTTAGAAGGGCCCTCCGAAAGCCAACAGAACCAAAAACTCCTAGCACATTGAGGGCCCGAAAGGCCCCCAAAAGAGGCCGAGAGGCCAAAAGGCCGCCCCCAAAATGGGTTTAGGGTTTAGGGTTTAGGGTTTAGGGTTTAGGGTTAGGGTTTAGGGTTAGGGTTAGGGTTTAGGGTTTAGGGTTTAGGGTTTAGGGTTTAGGGTTTTGGGTTTAGGGTTTAGGGTTTAGGGTTTAGGGGTTTAGGGTTTAGGGTTTAGGGTTTATTTAAAAGGCCTCAAACCCCCAAAGCCCCCCAAAATTCCTAGGACATTGTCCTAGCATCTTTCTGGCCTTTCATGGGGTCGGAGTCGTCGAGTTGCCCACAAGTGCCCGGACCACTTAAATGATCACATTTACACACGCGGAAATTTAAATAGATATTTCATGCTACCTCCGTGGCTTGTGGCTTGTGGCCCGCCCTCCACATGTTCAAAAAACAGTCACCGTAAACCCTAAGCCCTAAACCCCAAACCCTAACCCCCAGTCCTTGGGGTTGAGGGGCTTTAGGGCTTAAGGCTTAGGATTGAGGGTTTGGGCTTCGGTTCAGGGACATAGGGCTCAGGGGTGAAGAAATTTAGGGTTTAGGGGTGTAGGGATTTAAGGGCTTCAAGTTTAAGGACATAGGGCAGGGTATCTAGAGTTAAGGATTTCGGGTTTAGACACAAATGCTGTTCAATGCCACAGTGGATTATCGTGTGCTTGAGGTTTTGGAGGAGGGGGTTTGAGAAGTTCAGGCCCCAAACCGGAAACCATCGAAGCGAGGTGCTTCCTTCTCCCCCTTCTACGAACAGCCCTTCATAGGGATTATCGTACCCCCTGGAGGGAACATCCCAAGACCCCCTGACACCTTCTGCAGGGGAAACCTCTGAATCGCTGCTAAGCAGCTGCAGGCAGCCAGGCCGGCTGGCATCCGCCTAGATGCTACTTACTAGCTGAGAATTGGGATTCCAGGGCAGGTTCAGGGTTTAGGGTTTAGGGTTGAGGGTTTAGGGTTTAGGGTTTAGGGTTTAGGGTTTAGGGTTTAGGGTTTAGGGTTTAGGGTTTAGGGTTTAGGGTTTAGGGTTTAGCGTTTAGGGTTTAGGGTTTAGGGTTTAGGGGCAAGGACGGAGGAACGGGGTTTTCGACCTTCCTCACACTTAACCGAGCCCTGAAACCGCCCCCAGAACGGATCGCGCATGAACCAACCGCCACACCCTCGAAACCCTTGAAAGGCCTAAACCCTACCACCCCCCCCACCGCCCCAACCCTCAAAACCTAAACCCTGGAAACCAGCAGCAAAACCCTCAAGACCCCCCCAAAACCCTGAGCCCTCAAAATCCGGAACCCGAAGCCCTCCGTCCCAAGCCCGCCTCAACACTGAAGCCCAGCAGGTCGTCCGGACCTATCTTCCGAAGACACCTTTGAGTGTTTTCAGGGCTAGGGTTTAGGGTTTGGGGTTTGGGGTTTAGGGTCTGCATGGTTTGCGTCAGGGCTGTTGGGGTGTTATGGGGGTTTCAGGTTTTTGAAGGGCGTGAGGGTTTCAGAGCATTTCGTGGCTGCTGAGATTCAGGGCTTCAGGGCATATAAGGTTCAACCTAGGACCTAAGCCCTAAACCCAATGCCCTAAACCCTTCTTGTGTTCTTTGGTGCTAGGACGGCTTCGTGGCATACAGATGTTCAGGACCCATGAGATGGCAAACACGTCCTAAAGTTATCCTCAATGCTCCCAAAACCATCCCAAAGAATATCCCTAAACCCTAAACCTTGGGATGTTCCCCCTCGTACTAACAGTCCTTAATAGGGCTAAAAAAGTCCTCCTATTATGATCGTCGTTGCAAAAAAGGGAACATTCCAGGCCTAAACTAAACCCTGAAGTTATCCGAAAGATCCCCAGGTGGTCCCACGCCTGCGAGTTTCCCAAGTTGCGTGAGGGTTTAGGGGTGTAGGGTGAAGGTTTCGGGTGTTGGGTTTCGCTCAGGCTATACTACTTTTTGTTTAAGAGCCCCAGCAAAAGGTAAAGGATAATAGTCCCAATATTTCCCTTATAAGGAAGATTGTTTCTTTTTTTTTTGGGGGGGGGGGTCTTAAGCAAATAGTTTTTTTTGAGGCTTTTAGAGCAGGTTTGAGGTTGAAGGGTTGAAATGGGAGGGAGAGTAGTACCTTTCTTGTGTAGACCTCAAAAGGATCCTAACACCACAAAAGAAAAGACGGGTTTAGGGTTTCGGGCTTAGGTTAAAGTCTTAGGATCTAGTGGTTAGGGGTTTCATCTCTAAAACCCCAAACCCCTCAAACCCTTAAAAGCCTCCCTAATCCCTAAACCCCCTAACTGAAGCCCCACTCCCCGAACTCCAACTCCCCAAGCCCTCAGCCCTAAACCCTAAACCCTAAACCCTAAACCCTACCCCCCAACACCAAGGGCCTCTTAGAGGCTTAGTTCCGGGAGCTCAGGTCCGAACACTTCGATCTGGCGAGGCTCCGGTGCGGGCAAGGGAAGGAGGCCTCTGGTACTCTCTAGGTTCTTAGTGGTCTTTTGGCGGGGTTGGGTGGTTTCTTGATTTGTTCAGTGGCTTTTTGGTGGTGCTTAGTGGCTTTTAGTGGCTTCTAGTGGCTTCTAGTGGTTTTTTTAGATGTATTAAGTTTATACATTTATTTATTTAGTTTTTTTTGAGGGGTGGGGCCTCTGTCAGCGTTTTGCTTGGGTGGTTAGGGCTTGAAGGGTTAAGGACTTAAAGGGTTTAGGGGTCAAAGGGTTTAGAGTTTAGGGCTTATGGTTCAGGGTTCTTGGGTTTGAAGATCACGGCTTTGTTTGGCTTAGGGGCTTTTAGGGGTTTAGGGTTGTTTGGGGGATTTTGAGGCCTTTTGGGGCAGTCCCACCAAAATTCTGAGAACTCCTCACTGGCAACCCCGAAAACATCCCCAAATCCAGCAAAAGCAGCTTCTTTGCTCTTTGCTGTTCCAGCTTAACCCGCCCCCCTCTCCCATGTCCATCTGAGGGCTGATGGGAGAATCTGACCAGGTTTCGGGCGGTCGTCCACCAGAACTTTCTCCTGTCGCGTCAGCCCAGTGACCAGCCCTAGACTCAGTTCCGGTGATAGACAGCAACCATACACCCTAAACCTCGTCATTGAGCATGAAGACGTAACCACTCCCAAAGCCAAAACGGTAGCTGATCTAAATACCTGTTATTCAAAAAAGAACCTACAATGCCCTGTTTAACCCCCAGATAACCCGATGCAACCCCAACAGTGCCCTGGATAATCCCCTATAAAGGGTCTCCCCAAATCAAGATTCTCAGGCTCTTCCGAACATATGCGCAGCCAGACAAGGATCCGGAGCCTCATCGCTCCCATCCTCCTGATCGTGTTTAGGCTTTAGCGTGTCGGGCTTTAAATTCTTTAAAACATTTAGCATAGAGAATGCAGTTTAGGGCTGCGGCTAATTCCACGCGGCATTAACTTGGACTATTTTATTTGTTTGTTTTTTTTTAGGGGGGGGGGGTGCTTCGTGGTTGCAGGCTTCGAATGGGGAAATGAGGAGGGATCGAAGCGCTGCAGCTTCCAAGCATGATCCCAGTTGTCCTCTGCTGCTTGCATCCATGGGCAACGCCGACAGACCTGCTGTGCCCAGTTTCCACGACAGAAGCATCGCCAACCCCGCAGCTGCTGAGGGACCACTCGACTCTCCCCCAACAAGCGCGCAGCACGCGACTCTCAGACATGCGTGACAAAGTGTCTGGTGTATTCATCAGAACTGCTTCCCCATCTTGCCGGGCCCATCCGGGCCCAGTAGCCGTCATCAGCCCATCACCCATAAGGCCTCTTCAACTTCCAGGAGAGCCGGCATGCTCACGGCAGACGGATGATCCAGGCATTGAAGACCTCTGGCGCTCAACGGATGGCAACTGTCGCGACAACTCTTTCAAACTTGACAATCTCTCCAGTACGATGGACCACAAGTCACCAGAGTGTGCTTCTGTGTTGGGAATTACTAGTGGCAGACATAGCTGTGGGACCAGGCCTCTCTTGTTTCTGGTCCAGCTGAGCCCGGTGCGGGCCAGCAGGAGAAGCCCGCGGGGAATTTGCGGGACCATCTCCTGCAGGTCGGAGCATACATATTGATATACACTATGAGAATAATACCAATACGAGTGCGAGCAAAGAAACGAGTACAAATGAGAACAGCAATCGTATGAGTAGTAGATCGCAGTAGTAACAGCAACTGTACTAGTGACACTTCTACTAACTTTATTCGTAAAGGCATCAAAATCTAACAACATGCAACAGCATTCGAAAAACTCACAAGAGTAAGAGCACTAGCAATAAGAATGAGCAAAGGCTGTAATAGTAATTGCAGTAGCCATAAGAACAGCAAGTGATTGTAATAACAATAAGAATAGTACTAGAAATAACAACTGTAACTGTAAATGTCATGGCCATCGAACTGGTCAGCGAAACCTCTATCTCTTGTGCACTATCATTGCAAAACCTCTGTTCCCTCTGAATTTACTTGGGACACTTCAACTTTCACCAAGACTTGAAGAAGTATTAGCACGAGGAATCGTAAGAGTTCAAGTACCTACAGGAGTATTAGTTGTGACAGAGACCGTAAGCCGTAAAAGCAACAGTAATCGCAAAGTAATGGTGTTCGCACTAGCAGTAGTAGTAATAGTAGCAGTAGTAGCAACAGTAGCAGTAGTAGCAATATTAGCAGCAGCAGCAGCAGCAGCAGCAGCAGGAGGAGGAGGAGGAGGAGGAGGGAGGAGGAGGAGGAGGAAGAGGAGGAGACTAGTACTAGTACTCGTAGTGGTGTTAGTAGTAGTAGTAGTAGTAGTAGTAGTAGTAGTAGTAGTAGTAGTAGTAGTAGTAGTAGTAGTAGTAGTAGTAGTCGACTGTAGTAGTAGCAGCAGTAGTACTAGTCATAGTCAATCAGTCAATCAATCATCACAAGGGTAATAATCAGAAGCAGCCCTCCAAGCACCCTAAACCTAAACCCTAAAACCTAAGCCCCAAACCCTGAAACTGTGGGGCGGCCTCTGGATCGGGCAGCCAAGCTGCGCCATCTGCAGCCTTGTGTCAACACATGGGGGTTTAGGGTTTAGGGTTTAGGGTTTAGGGTGTAGGGTTTAGGGTTTAGGGTTTAGGGTACCTTATTGGGGTCCTTCTTACAAAGGAATCCTACTATTTGGGGTCTGTTTTAGGGGTTCCCTATTGTCGTAAACCCCCCACATATGGAGCTGCAAGCATGGTTGGGGTATGCTTCACATACCTCTGTGGCATCCCACAGGTCCTTTACTGAAGGAAGCGGTGGTACAACGCATGTCGAGTAGGATCATGAGCGGCCCCTCTTCACAAGATGCCTTTCCGCAACTCAGCTTAAACTCCAAAATTCGCCATTGACATGTATACTATGTATTTGATATTGCATATTATCGCTATATATTATATTGTATATTGTATATTGTGTATTGTGTATTGTGTATTGTGTATTGTGTATTGCATATTGTAGTGAATGTACTATACACTATATATATATATACAGACATATATATATATATATATTATTGTATATATTTCAGATTTTACATATTGTAGATTAACGACTAAATTGTAGATAGTACTGCAACCAGCCGGCGCGCTGGGCAAGCTCGAAGGCTCTGAGGGGATCCTCGTTCGGATGCAGCCTTGGCTTGGGGCCCTCCAGGGAAACTTACCAGCATGGGGCGACTATACCCCTAAACCCCAAACTCAAACCCTAAACCCTAAACCCTAAAACCCTAAAACCCTAAAACCCTAAAACCCTAAAACCCTAAAACCCTAAAACCCTATAGCCTAAACCCTAAACCCCCTAACCCCTATCAAAAAGGCCAAAAAGGCCCTGTGTGAGGCTGATTCTGGGGATGAGAATGATGAAAGGGCCGAAAAGCCCATCCTCGTATAAGGGGTCACACGGCTTTGGTACGCTTCTGCGGGTGGACGACAATGACACGAAAAATGCTGCAAGCTACGCGCGTCTGCTCTTCCCGTGACGACAGCCTGGAGCCCTCTAAACTGAACCCTCTAAGCCCGATAATACGCCCTTCCACCAAAGCCTCATGGAAGAAACTTCCACGCCACGCCATGTCAGTGATCCCCCGCCTCCTGATGAGGTGTCCCGGACGGAGGAGGAGGGTCTCGGATCCCCAGCTTGTCTGCCTCAGAGGTGGGGAGGAGGGAGTCTTACTGTCGGATCCCTGTTGTTGGGAATTATTTGAAGAACAAGATGCCCTTTGAAGCTATTTATCCAAAGAATGGCGGAGACGAAAAGAAGCTTCGACTGAAAAACGTTGTAAAAACAACGGTTTGATAATAAACGACAATGACGAACACGAAATAGCATGTCAAAATTACACCCAAGTAAATGATTTGAGTGTTAACGAACCCCCTCAACTTGCAGCGGACCGTTTTCGGGGACTTTGAGCGAGCCTTCCCAAAGATCTCATGCAGGGCTGTCGAGCATCAGAACCCAAACCCTTCTATGTAAGCCCACGCTGCAAAGCGTGAACCCCAAACCCTGAAGCCTGGAATGATCGAAAATCGGTAGGTGCCAGGCTCATCGGTCGTGAAACCTGGATGGGCACGAGAGAGCAGGACAAACATGTTCAACGGAGCCGCACTGGGCAGGGGTCCAATCTTCAAAACGCCCTTTTTAAAGGGTTTTGGGCGTTGGGATGTGAGGATGTAGATATAGGGCTGAGCTCAGGAATCGAAGTTACGTTTCAAAGCTTACGGCTTAGGGCTTCAGCGCGTCGCGATGCTGGTTTTCGATCAAGCACTCCGCTGAACAATGCAAGACGGCGTGAGAGGATGACGTTGCACCCAAAGCAAAGAAGGTGGCTTTGCAAGCTGCCTGCACACGATCGGGGGACACTAAGCAGGAAGTGGACGGCAATGGTTGGTGTTCGAACTGACACACGCATCTGTGTTCGCATTGAAAAAAGTCAGGTTCCCCCAAGGCTTGCAACGATGAATCCACCCAAGCAAATGCTGGTTGCCAGCACGCAGAAGATGGAAGACGACACGACCGGGCCCTGCAGCCTCGCGTCGTGTGACGACGACGAGGACGCGCTGCAGGTCTGACTTTGGGAGACCTCGTCCGAGACCTCCACCGCGATCCGGGGGCTCGCAATGCACTCGGCCTCGCCCTCGTCGCGGACGTCTGAGGTCACGTTCTCGACCTCCAGGTCCGTTGAGGGCTCGGGCTTCCCCTTGCCCGTGGAGGCCTCAAAGCCCGCCACGCCGCAGGTGACCAGGAGCACCCCGAGCACACGCTGGAAAACGATGGCGACCCCAAGAGCCTTGCTAGCCCAGTAACCATCTTACCGTAAGGGCACCCTTTCTTGGGGTTGGTTCTTGTTTTTACGGGAACCCAGAACCAAAAAAAGGGAAGAGGGTACTACTGGGCTAGCAAGGAGCCGAGTCGAGGAGGAGCGAGAGCGGGAGGCCGAGGAGCACGAAGAGCCGGCAGGCCAAAGGAGAGACCACCAGCATGCCTATCTCATGGTTGGGAGAGTATTTTAAAAAACATGGAATTCTATTCCTTGTTGGGTTTAAGCACCCTTAAAAGATGTAGCATGTTACGCAACTATGACAAAGATGCCCCAGGCCAAGGACAAGTTGAAGGCGATATTTGTGACCATGTTGATGGAGAGGTACTTCCACCCATCCGCCCCTTTGGGAAGTCCAAGCTGGGATGAAGGCAGGCAAAGCCTGGACTCCCCCTTAGAACCTCAAGAAAAATAATGTTGTTTAATATGCTCTTGGGTTTTATATAAACAAAAAATAACAAAAAATCCCAAGGGGGATATAGAAGCAGGCCAAGCCCTCCTATGATGGCCACAGCCATGCCTTTCACCATGAAGTAGGTGAAGAAGGTCTGCCAGTTGCAGCCCTGGGCGAAGATGAGCTTGAAGAGCACCATGTAAAGGGCGGCCGTGATACAGGTGACCACCTCAGATTTCCCCTCAAAACCCTGCAACCAACCCCCGAACCCATTACAGCTAACCATACCCTATAAACCGTAAACCTACATGTACACACACACACACCTCTACCTACCTGCCTGCCTCCCTCCCTCACCCCTACCTACCTGCCTACCTACCTCAACCCTGAACCCTAAACCCTAACCCCTAAAACCCAAAAGCCAAAACCCCAAAACCCTATAACCCTGAACCCTAAACCCTAAACCCCTAAAAGCCAAACCCGAAACCCCAAAACCCTATAACCCTGAACCCTGAACCCTAAACCCTAACCCCTAAACCCCTAAAAGCCAAAACCCAAAACCCCAAAACCCTATAACCCTATTCAACCCTGAAATAAAACCCCAAAACCCTATAAAACCCTATAACCCCAAACACGCACCCCAGCCACGACCAGGAGATCGCCCAAGAGAGGCTGGGAGGCAGCGCAGGCCCCTCCATGGCACTCCTGAATGGGGCTTTTAGGGCTTGTTGTAGGGCTTTTCAGGGCTTTTTAGGACTTTTAGGGCTTAGGGATCTAGGGTCTAGGGTCTAGGGTTTAGGGTTTAGGGTTTAGGGTTTGGGGTTTAGGGCTAGGGTTTAGGGTTCTAGGGCTTTAGGTCTTTTAGGGCTAGGGTTTAGGGATTATTTGGGTTTTTTAGGACTTTTGAAGGCTTTTAGGGTTTGTTTTTAGTTTTTGTTTGGGCTTTTGAGGGTTTCTAGGGCTTTGGGTTTTGTAGGGTTCTTAGGGTTTTGAGGGTTTTAGGGCTTTTGTTTTTTTGGGCTTTAGGGTTTTGGGCTTAAGGGGCTTTAGGGCTTGGGGCTGAGGGCGTCTAAGCAGAGGGGCCGCTCTTCAGGAGCTTTGGGAGGGGGCTGTGAAAGGGGAGTTGCGGCGGCTGTATAAGCCCTAAGACCTAACAGTCAACCTCTGTTAACCCCTGACACACTTCAACCAGATTGAGATTTTCGGCTTTAGGGTTTAGGGTTGGAGAGGAGGGGCGGCTTTTTCCAAGGGGCCCTAGGGTTGCAATCCAGCTTTTAGGAAGCTTGCGGGCTTAGGGCTTGATGCAGCCTTGTCCGACGATTTTATACATATCTTCCATACAACATATAGGGATCTTGTTTAGGAATATGTTCAGAGGGTTTTACGCCAACTTCGCTTCTTAACATCCAGCTCTGATCCTTGAGATCACTCCGGGCCGTGACCACGGAGCCCGCGATGGCCACCACCAGCCAAAGGAGCTGGCAGGGTCGATATCTCTCATGCAGGAAGAAGAAGGACAGTCCTCACCGAAGCAGAAGGCAACTAAACAGGGCCTTAACTGGCATTACGGGATTTAGGTGACTAAACCCTGAACCCTAAACCCCAAGCCCCAAACCCTAAGCCCTGATCCGACTGAACGAGCCGGACCCCTCGCGCCCATCGCCCCCGGAGGCTCCTGCGATGAAGACGGGCGTCAGCTGCCTGAGTCGGCATGGACTGGATCCGACTGTACTATAAATTCCCCACGCACTATAATGGAACTATTCTGGGGGCCTCATATTGCAGATTCCCCGTACCGTACACTGGACTATAATGGGAGCATTTCATGTTTGGGGGGTGGGGGGGGGGTAAAATAAGGGGGAGGGGATTGCCGACGCAGCGACGCACCGTGACGCGCAAGGCTACACTGGGCAGGGGACTCCAGGGTCATCGCAGAACTTGCAGTCGTCAGGACAAGCGCTGCAGTGAAGGAGATGTTGGCTCCTGGGCTCAAAGTCCAAAAGCTATTTACGCCAGCAAAAGCATCGGAACTCGTTGCGCAGGTCGACTTTTTCGTAAGTATCACGACTTTCGTGGGTGTGGGACGATGTACTGCAACTCAAGAGACCGACGTTGCACAGAGGTTTAGGGTCTCGGGGTTCGCTGAACCCTCACCCATGAAATCCCTAACAGCTTCAAAAGCCCTCAAATCCTCCTTCGGCCCTAGGTTAAGGGGTTTAAACGCCCCAAAGTCCTCAAATCCTCAGAACGCCCTAGGTTTAGGATTTAGGGTTTAGGGTTAGGGTTTAGGGTTCTTCCTCTCTGCTAACATAAGTCCATTGACAAACCACACGCCCTCGAAGCACGAGGATCCAGAAAACATAGCCGGCCCTCCCTAAATTACAAGGGCTTAGGGTTTAGGAAGTTTAGGGTATAGGGTCTAGGATTTCGGGCTTCCAAAACACCAAAGCCCCCCCCAAAATTCGACCGGCCGCCGAAGGCCAGCAGCCCCATGCCCTTGGATTCCAACAGCGTGAGTTCACCGTAGTCATGGGTTTCACTACTACCCCCTTCATAGTACCCCCTTCATAGTACCTTTCCTTGGTTCCCCCCTTAAAAAGCCTTAATTAAGCTTCATTATCCCTCAATCGCCTTTATCATGGGGGGGGAACCTGCGGGGGTTGTAAAGCGGGGGGGGGGGGGGGTAGTAGGGGAACCCATGAGGTGGAGAGGAACCACACCCATCAGCTACAGGATTTATAAGGTGTCGGACTTTAGGCTTGGGGTTTAGGTTTAGGGTTTAGGGTTTAGGGTTTAGGGTTTAGGGTTTAGGGTTTAGGGTTTAGGGTTTAGGGTTTAGGGTTTAGGGTTTAGGGTTTAGGGTTTAGGGTTTAGGGTGGAGAGAGGGTGGTTGACATTTGCTAACACAGGGCTTTAGGCCCTCAAGAGTTAAGGTTTCGAGCTTGGGATTGCAGGGGTACTTCTTAACCAACTATAACTGTACTTATAACCCAACTTAAAAGCCCCTTCAGTGCCCCAACATGGCTATTATTTGGGTTATAAGCACAGGTATGATTGGTTCATAAGTACCATAAACCTCCAAGTCGGCTTTTGGAGGCGTTTAGAGGGTTTGAACCTTCAGAGCTCCCTGGGCACCCGAGACGCCCCTCCCCGCCACAGCAGCGGCCGCGCTGCGGCCCAGAGCCTGCGGCGATAGCCGCAGGCGGCGAAGGGCACCTGGGTTGCTGGGGTTGAGGGTTTTGGGCCCTACCGGTTTTAGGGGGCGGTTTAGGGGTTTGTGCAAGCAGTCTGCGGGTGGGGGTTTGGGGCTTAGGGGCCTTTTGCTTAAGGATCAGTAGTTCAGGAAGTTCAGGGTTTAGGTTTTAGGGTTCCAGTTTAGGGGTACGAGGTAGGCCGTTTCTGATTGGTGTCCCAAGGGGGACACCAAGTATATACACGAATATGGGGAGGACATCTCTGGCATAAGAGCCTTTGGCAAGTAGACAAGAAGGGTTTTCACTTGTGAGCTTGTCACGAAGATCAGCCCCGTCAATGTGTATACACTTATGGACATGTGATGGTCACAAAGTGTCTTGGCATTGCTATGCAGAACTGAGGGTATGCAAAAGAGGTACAGGGCTTCTGTCCACAGGTCAACTGTAGGACGTAGGATCCTCACGCGTTCTGCTAGCAAGAGGCAAGAAACTTAAGTTTTCGGCGGACTGGGAAACAAGACATTCGGGCTCGGGGGGTGTGTTCAAATGTGAAGCAGGTCTCCGTGGACAAGATGATCCTCGTCCTCAGGCCGAGGGGCCGCGGCAGCCAAAAGAGCCAGCTCATGCAGGTAGGTGAGCAGATAAGGCTTCCTGGGCTTTAGGGACTACCAGGGCTAAGGTTTAGGGCACACGCGACCTCGAGCCGAGCCCACTTGCATCCAGCCGAGCTTCTTGAAGTCACATCTCTCCTTGCAGGCGCGAAATGCTGGAGGAGGCGGCAAGAGATTGCATTGTAGATCTGTGACAACAAGTCCGCTGCATGTGAAGATCTCTGCCGTTTCTCGCCATGCACAGGTATCCCTAAACCCTAAACCCTAAACCCTAAATACACACTCCTGGAGCAGCTTCACTGTGAAGACCTGAGGATCTTGCTCACAAAAACCGCTCTCTCAGTGAGGCTGTCATGCACCCACGATAAACAGCACGCATGACGCTCGAGTCCTGGAGCTTGGGTTTAGGGTTTAGGGTTTAGGGTTGAGTAAGCATGTACCCAGGCTCCTGGGAGGATCCACAAAATAGATCCCCTTGAGGGTTCCTTAAAAATTGACCCAATAGTAGTATAGGGTACCATTTGGGGGCTCTAGTTTTTGCACCCTCCCAGGGGTCTGAGTAGTATGGAACTCCGGCTTGCCTAGGCTTGTTTGAACAGGCTGGTTCTTAGTCGGGAATGACGGAACGAGCTGCCCTACGTAGTCCCTTAAAGGGTATACATACTTATATATATATATATATATATATCGGTATAGGAAGGACCCTAATTCCCTGATTCCCTACTAAGAACCAGGGGCCAGGGAATGAAGCAGAGCTGAGGATGGAACACTACTTGTCCAGCACAGGGCAATGATCAGCGCCGCGAAGAGAATCTGGTACTTTCCAGCTGCCATGGAGGGCTTAGGGCTTAGGGCTTAGGGCTTAGGGCTTAGGGCTTAGGGCTTAGGGCTTAGGGTTTAGGGTTTAGGGTTTAGGGTACCCTCTGCAGAGGGTGCTGTCGCGCGATGTCTATCCACACTGTACACCTCAATGGTTGATGAGTTCGCAGAGGTCTGCTAGCTCAGGACACAGGACAGACCTACCTTGTGCCTGAAAAAAACAAACTTCCACCGACTTGAAGACCTGCTTTGCTGTATCGTAAGCATCACATGCTTGATCCGAAACTCGGCGTGGCGAAGCCAACATTGTGAAGCGAAGCTCCTCGGACTGACTTCCTCAAGTCAACCGAGCTAAGGGCTGTCAGGAGCCTGCACCAGGCAACACACGGCAGCGGGAGGTTCTGTGCGTTCAGCATCTACACTCCTCTCCGCTCACGCGCGCAGGGCAGGCTTGGGGAAATGCAGCTCGAGCCACAACAGCACCAAACTTTGCTTGCAGGATCATGATTGCAGCTCGTAGAAGTCTCTTAAGGGTCTTAAGGCCTTCTTCTTCAGCACCCCGCCGTTTTGCAGCGCGACCTTGACCTTTCGAGCTGCGGCAAGTAGAGAGAGTATCTTGGGTAGTGCTGACATTATAGAATACAGGGGTTGCAAGGGGATCATATTGGTAAGTCCTTAGGCTGCTGAAGTACCTGAACCATGAAGCGGAACAGGGATGGGGTACGACGGCTGGTCCGAGCTGCACGGAGGGGGTTGTAGGGTTTTGGTTTACGTTGATCTTTGCCGTTTATAGCCCATAGCAACCCGCGACGATGAGCCCCAAATCCCGGGAAAATGGAACCCTCAACTAAACCCGAAGCCGGATACAACAAAGGTGGCAGTCGTGCAGAGGCTTCACAACTCCTTCTACAAGAGACCCCCCCCCTTTTTACCAAGAGATCCCCAAGACCCAGACCTCCTCAATGGCCACTCCGGAGCACTGTTTAAAAAGGTACGCCTCTACCAAGGTCGCGCTTCGCTTCACAAGCGAAGATCACGACACTAAGATACTGAGCAAGTGTGAAGATGCTCAGGAAAGGGCGCGCAGTTTCCGAGGATCTTCCGGCACTGCCAGGATCAGCCAGTCATGGCCTGGGCAACACATGCAATCACATACATGTATATTACATATATATATATATGTGTATATATCTAATATGTATATATGCATCTATATTATATATATATACATAGAGAGAGAGTATACCACTTAAGGTATGTACATGTACATATATTCATATATACCCTTGAAGGGATCGTATGGGATACTGTAGTAGGCCTCCCTGTGCCCCTCACCTGCCGGGCAAGAACCACTTTTTGTACCGGAAACAGATACGGCGAGCAAGCCCGTCTGAACGCGGCTCTGGAGGTAGGCACTCAGTCTTTGAAGACCTGCAAGGGTTCTCTGGAGACCCTAAAAGACACTCGAGGGCAAAACCCGAAACCCTACACCGAATGTTGCGCTACCTCTGAGCCTGGGCAAAAGCGCGAAAAATGGGCCCTTCCTTGGGGTCCCTGAAGATGTGCGGCGTTGCTCGGACGCCTTGTGCCTCGCAAGCCCAAACAACAGCCTCAGGTTTCAAACGTCTGGGCTTTCAGCAAGAGGCTTAGGGCTTCGGGATACATAGGGTGTAGAGCACTCTAGAAATGTTTAGGGTTTAGGGCTTCTGGCGTATTGGAAACTTGAGGCACTCTACTTCGCTTCTGGCTCAGCTATGGCCAGCAATGGTCTGCGACACCTTCATCTCCAGGTCTCGGTCACCTGGGACTGTGTCAGGGTTGAGGGCTTAGGGATCAGGGCTGTAGGGCTTAGACCCTACATAAACCCTAACCCTAAACCCTATAAACCCTAAACTCTAACCCTACCAGCCTAACATGACAAGTCACGCACAAAAGCCTCACAAAGCTCACAAGCTTTCCCTGTCCGAGCGGCGGAGCGGCCATTTGGCCGCCTCTCGGCCGAAACGCAACGGGTCCTCGATGACCTGGCTACTGCCGGATTGAAGGCCTCAAGCCCCTAGGCCCAGGCAGTAATTACACCCTATCAAGAAAAACTTTACTGCAATGCAACTCTGCCTCAACCCAAGGAAGCCGACAAATAAGCCTTGACAACTCTTCTCCATAATTTGCACAAGCTTATACTGGTTTACTCGACTAAGTTCTCAACGCGGGGTGGGTTCTGCTTTTGTCAATGCAGAGACAACTGGCAGTGCCACAAGTCTGTTCTGCGCAACCGTGCCCGGGTGGCGAGAATATTCTTAGCCCGCGCAGCCTCCTTCATTTCAGCCATGGCCCTGAGATGTCAGCAGCTTGAACGGGTAATGTCGCTGCAGACTGAGACTTGGGACTGCTATGGACGGCTGCAACAGTGACTGTACCAACTGGCTCCACGTTGAAGTCCCTACGTCTCTGCTTCCACTACTTCGGGCACATTATGCCTGCTGCTCTTCATCATGGCCATCCTCCTTTTCATCATCGTCACCAGGATCAGCAGCTAGCAATGCCGCTGAAGCCATCCAAGGTTGGAGTGTTAAACCCCATGAACACGCTCCTAGATAATGAAAACCCAATGGGGGAAAATGCAGATATCCCAAGGCTCAGAAAACCCTAAACCCAAAATCCCAGGATTCTAAGCTCGACTATTTGAGCGCAGCGACTTCTCACGCTGGGGAGATGCAGCGAAGACCTGGGACTGCCAGCGAAGGCCCAGTTAATGCAGATCCCAGAAATGTTCAGAGGGGTTTCGGTTTCTATACTCCCCTAAGAACCTCAATAACAATAGTATGTTTAAAATCCTCTTATGTTTTATGTAAAGAAAAACAAAAAATGATTCCCAAGGGGGATATAGGTTTAGGGTCCTAAAGGAGGCCTCAGATAGTGAACCTTAAGAGGCCCCCGTCCATTCCTCCGGGAGGTCAAAGCCCCTTCAAGCCGACAGCCCTCAGCCATAGGCGCAACATTCCCTACAAATTCACACTGTCACCTAATCGCAGACGATAGTAGACTCCTCATCGCTCGCTCTCTCCTCCTTGTCCTTCTCCTCGGCCACTTCCTCCTCGTACCCGCTCCTCCTGCCTCCTTCCCCCCCACCGGGGTCCGGACCCCTGTGGTCACGCGCCTCCGAAGCGGCCCACCTTCGCAAAACCAGCGAAGAGTGAGAGCATTGAAGCGCTGCGCAAGATGAGGAGCATATTAACACACTGCGCGAACACAACTCCGCAACTCCCACGACATGACACAACTCAGAAAGGATCCGGCCGGCGGCAATCCTCTCATCAAACACCTGCGCTTGCCATTTTTGCCAACAAGATGCGCCTCTGCTGAAAGAGATACGGTGGGACATGATGAGGCTCGGTATGAGACAGGCATGAACAGCCTCTCTCTGTTTCCTAGATACCCCTAAACCCGGAACCCTAAACCCTAAACCCTAAACCCTAAACCCTACATGCGGCCCATGCCTTGAGCAAGTCTTCCTTTGAGATGCTGGAAACCATCTCAGCCTGGCAAAGCCGGGAGTTTCGGAGCTCCTCTAGAATTTAGGGGGGGGTTGGGGGAGAAAGCTCGGAGTTCCTGCGTGAAGTACTCACAAGCCAGCACTGTTTAAAGTTTAGGGGTTTGGGGTTTAGGGTTTAGGGATTCAGTTGAAGAGCATAAGCCTCCAGTCGTGCTTGACCCAAATGCAACTAGAGCAATCCCAAGAGGCTCAGGGTCCACGAGTAGTGCCATTGTGGAATCTACACTCCCCTTAGAACCTTAACAAAAAATCATTTGTCTAATATCCTCTTGGGATTTATATAAACACAAAAGAAAAATAATTCCCAAGGGGGATATAGGAATCAGGTACCCAACAACCATGGTTCTACAAATAGACTCTGGGATCTTTCGGATCTTTTCCAGGATGCAGAGTTCACGTACCAGAATGATATGCTCCCCTTAGAACCTTAGTAAAAGGAATATGTTTAATATCCTCTTGGGTTTTATATAAACGAAAATTTACAAATGCTGGGGGCCTTGGGGCTTTAACCCTATACCCCAAACCCTAAACCCTAAACCCTAAACCCCAAACCCTAAACCCTAAACCCGTCGGTCCCAATTTTGGAGCTTCAGGGGATGAGCCTCCTCTTCTCGACGACGCCAGGAGTACTGATATCCTCACACATGTTCCAGGAAGAGGGACGAAGGGTGACTCGGATGAAGCCTCCTAAACCCCTAAACCCCTAAACCCCAAACCCCAAACCCTAAACCCTAAACCCTAAAACCCTGAACCCTAAACCCTAAACCGCTGTCACAGGCTACACTACGCCTTCCTTGTCGTACGGCACCTTGGGCCTTTGCTTAAGCCCACGAAGGGGCGGTACTGACGTCTGCCAAAGCCGCGCGGTCACCATAGGGTTTAGGGTTTAGGGTTTAGGGTTTAGGGTTTAGGGTTTAGGGTTTAGGGTTTAGGGTTTAGGGAAGCCTCCCAAGAAGCCTTTGAATAAGTAACATCCGAACACCAAGCTGGTCACACTTGTGCAAGGATTAGGGCTTACGTTGGAATGTTCCCCTTATACTAACAGTCCTTAATTCATAGGGATTGTAGTACCCCCGATTATAATCCCCATTCAGGACTGTTCGTATATAGGCGAACTTCAACCCTCACATGTTTAGGTGTGAGGGTTTGGGGCTGTAGGGCTTTCGGGCAGCGTCTCAACACGAATACCGTTAAGAGCAAAGAGCAAAGGGTACGCTTGGAGTGTTCCTTCATATCCCCGTATGATCTCTCACTGTTTTTACGCTGGCGTAGCATTAGGGTTTAAGATTTTAGGTTTTTAAGGTCTAGAATACACACACATGCATATACATGTACATATATATATACATACATATACATATGGGGTTTACGAAAACAGGAGGACCCTCAACATAGACCCTTAAATAGTAGGATCCCCTGATAAGGACCACAAAAAGGCTCGCCGAATGTCGTTAAAGCCCTATATCTATACGCATGCATATATATATATATATAATATGCAAACATATACCTGAATATATATATATATATATGTATATAGACATATATATATGTATAAACATTGTGTTTTGGGTTCGCAAGATGCAGTTCAAAGAGATTCCGGCCCGCCTGCTATCTCGCCGAACCACCGGCCGGTTTCGGAGCCCAGGCGCTGGTCTGGGCGCAGGAGCTCCTGCTGCTTCTTGAGGTCTAGGGTTTAGGGTTTAGGGTGTTTAGGGTTTAGGGTTTAGGGTTCAGGGTTCAGGGTTTAGGGTTTAGGGTTTAGGGCTTAGGATGTTCCCCCTTCTACTAACAATCCCTACGGGGGATTATAGTACAGCCTTTTGTAATCCCCACTAAGGACTGCTAGTATAAGGGGAACATCCCAAGGCTTTGCTTTCAATGACACGGGTTTAGGCTGTAGGGTTTGAATTTTAGGGCCTCAGGAGTTCAGGGTTTAAGGGTTTCGGTTCTTTTTGGCAGGGTTTTGGGCCATCTTAGTGTCTCCTTTGGTCATAAGAGACCTGTCTGTGTCCCAGTGCAAAAGCAGAAGAGACTCGAAACCCTAAACCCTAAACCCTGATAGAACCGGCTTCTTTGCGGAAGAGCAGCCATCTCTGCAAAGAGCGTGAACGGCGTGAAACCCGAAGTTCCTGTCTGAGACTATACCCGGCAAGCCCTGCAATCATCAGAAAATCCGAAACAAACAAACGAACACCAAGTGAACCTACAAGAACCCTCGAACACCCTGTTTACAAAACATTGCAAAAAAACCCTCCAAAAAGCCCCAAGCATCCCCAGTCCCAAAAGATGGGCTCCCCGACCTCGCGAATCGAAGCCTTGAAAGGCTGCAGCTGGCCTCCAGGCAGCTTAGGGTTTGAGGTTTAGGTTCAGGGTTTTAGGTTTTAGGGTTTAGGGTTTAGGGTTTAGGGTTTAGGGTTTAGGGTTTAGGGTTTAGGGTTTAGGGTTTAGGGTTTAGGGTATAGGGTTTAGGGTTTGGATTTCGGGTTTCGGGTTTAGGGTTTAGGGTTCAGGGTTTAGGGTGCCGCAGAAAAGTATTAAACCCTTTGCGGAATCTGACACCAGGTAGGTTAGGAACGGTTTCGGGTTGAGGGTTTAGGGTCTTAAAGGCCACAGAGCTCAGAAGCCAATGCAAGGCAAAAGAATTATCTTGCGCCAGCCCTGCGGCAGTTGCGCGGGAACTGGATTGGGATTAATGAGTCTTTCCACCCGTTTCTATTTCGCAACGACATTGAGACAATCTCCTTCAGTTGCCCAGGAACTGCCCAAAGAGTTGCTGATCCGGCCATCCTAACTTAGGCTATTTGGCGATCCTTGTTTGATAAGTTTGTTCAGGTGTAAACTTGATACAGGGTGTAGGGTTCAGTGCTTTAGGGCTTCGAGGGCTTCGGGTTGAGGGGTTTACGGGTTCGCGGTCTGGGAAGTTAAGGTACTCGGGGTTTAGAGACCTGAGCTGATAATCCTCCCAATGTACATCTTGAACAACTCCCCGCTCCTATATAAACCTTATGTAGCCCCTATAATTCCTACGTAGCCCCTAAATAACCCCCAAAGAACCCCCCTCCTTTAGTGAGCATAACCTGCTTTAGACCTGGGGGTAATTGCTGGCCAAAGCGCTGTCGGTGAGAGCTTCCAGCCTGCGAAAGATCCCTAACCCCTCCTAAACCCTAAACCCTAAAGCCCATAATCCTCAACCCTAACGCCTAAACCCTAAACCCTCCCAAACCCTGAAGCCTCAACCCTAAAATCAACCCCCCCCCCCCCCCCCGCCGAAACCCTAAGACCCTGTTCGTTGCGAGGGCTTGCAGGCGAGGTCTTCAAAGCAGCGGCCTTGAGTTTGGATGCGGTGCCCAGGTTCACAAGTTTTGTGCAGGAAAAAAGCGTGTTGTGAGTTCGGTAGCTTCAGTTTCAATGTTTCAATGGCACCTATTGTAGGGTATCTATAGGAGCCAAGGAGCTGGGGTCGAAAGCCTTCGAGAAAGCGATCGACAGCCGACAGCAGCCCGGGTGGGGCCTGAACACTGCTCCTCACGCAGGGCACACTCGTGCGGCGACAGATGCCATCAACACGCACACGAAGGTGCCAGTCGCAATGGAATCTTGTCTCAGAACCCAAGCAGATTCCATGGAAGCTGAGTAGGTTGAGCAAACCGGACCCTGCAAGGCATGCAAGAGGCCGACAAGTGACAGGGCCAAGCCCATGATCCTGTAGCCTCTTTACTAGGTTGGCCCTTTACACAGATCGTAACATATTTGTACATGGGTGACTCCGAAAGTAGTACCTTTATGGGTACCTTGTGAGAGGATCCTATAATTTGGGGATCTCTATTGGGCATGCCCTATTTTCGTAACACCCCACATACGGTCCTCTCAAAGCATGCGAAATACAATGTCCCCGTGACCTGCCTAGCTTAGACACACGGCCCTGCCCAAAGTGCTGCTTGGGCTCTGAATCACAAGCACAAGCCGGGCAATGTTGCCAACACGGTCGAACTGAGACTGAACGATGTAGCCTTGGTGCAGCGGGGGAGGCCACTTCCCAACAGGCATCTTTCAATGCTTCTTTAGCTCCACAAAGGCCACGAAGTCTGAGGGCTTCTACTTCGAAATGGCACTGGCAAGATTAAAGCGTTTCAGCGCGAGCTCAGAAGAATCTCGATCTACACATGGCATCCGCAGAGGGATAGTGACAAATAAAAGATATGTTCGAGAACTTATTTAATGTCTCGAGAGGTTGGTTCATCACTCGGTTAGCACCCCAAAAGATGATGGACAAGCAAGCGTGTTTCTCACCCTGTGTCCTGACCCCCAGAAGACCCAAAGTGTGTCGCCGAGAATCCCTGAGTGCCCAGAGTATCCCTAGAGTTGCCCACGACCGCACAGACTCCCGCAGAGAGTCCCTGGAGTGACAAACACCCCAGAGAAGCGGCCCTCGCGAGCCCGCAGAGTTCCCCCCCCCAAAAAAAAAAAACCTGCGGAGTGTGCGAGTATCCCTGCAGCACTGCCCACCCCCAGAGAGTCGGAAAAATGCTGCCGAGCTTCTCCTGCTATGCTATTGCGTTTCTTCGCTATGCCCGGGGTGGGAGCGAGGGCAGGGAGGAGGATAACAGCAGGCTGAAAGGCCAAATCGGCGTACAAAAAGGCAACCCTTGAGGAGCTACAGACGGCAGAATCATCGAGGGACCCAGGCGCACAACAAAAAAAAACAACAAAGATTGAGGATAGGAGCTTGGAACGGTGTTTGGGCAGAGGGAGAAAAAGAAGCAAAAGCCGAATCCGCATGATAAGAACACAAAAACCACCTAAACCCTTAAACCCCAGACACCCCTAAACCCTAAAACCCTAGACCAGTCCAATGAAGACCAGGAGCCCAGTTGCTGCTGCGTGCGCAGGCTCGTGAAGAAGGGGGACTGTGCAGAGGAGCAGATCCCAGCCCTAAACTCTAAACCCTAAACCCTAAACCCTAAACCCTAAAACCCGACACTAGGCCCAAGAGTAACCTACAGTGAACCCCAAAAAGTTGGAACATTCTTCTCCGGTATACTAAAGGGAATCCCAGCTCTAATCATCCTTAGACCATGTTCCAACTTTCTGGAGTTTACTGTAAGAATAAAAAGGGTGCCCTTTTTGGCTTAAAGGTGCTTATATAAGGGAACCTAACCGCCCCCCAACGCCCTACACCAAAAACGACCGACGGGCCCTAATCCGCCGAGGCCTCGGGCCGAAGGTGTATAGGTAGTCAGAACAGGCACCCCCCTCCAAATCCTCCCCCCAAGCCCAAAGCCCTTTTTCGGACCCCTTTTTTTGCCTCAAATGGGTACCCCCCCTAGGTGAGCAGGGTCCGCAAGCGGATGGTTCGCCAGGACCAGAGGCAGCCTTCCCAGCAGGGCCCCCCCCCTTTTTCACCACCCCACCCCTCCCCCTACCCCCCCCCCCCCACACCCCCCCCCCCCCCCCCCTACCCACTCCCCCCCACCCCCCCCTACCCCCTACCCCCCACCCCCCCCCCCTACCCCCCCCCTATCCCCCCCCTACCCCCCCTTTTGTCCCTCCCCCCAACCACATTGAGCGGCTGGGCTCACATGAGCGGCTGGGCTCGAGGTGCTAATGGACGCAACAAGAGGGGCTTGATGTTTGTAGCGCTTTAGCACACCCAATGGTTCATAACCTAGGGGTGTCGCTTTTCAAGTGTTCCCATCGTTTTACAGGGTTTTGGGCATTCGTGTCCACCCCTTGCTTAATTGAATGGCTGGGGGTTTTGGCGCTTGCTCACATAAGGTGTTTGTGAAAGGCGAGTTTTCCTGCTCCGACGCGCTGGCTTGAGGGCCGGAGGCTCAACTGGTGTGAGCACGGCCGCAAATCCGCCTCAGAACAGGCACCCCCCTCCAAATCCTCCCCCCACACCCAAAGCCCTTTTTCGGACTTTTTTTGGCCTCAAATGGGTACCCCCCCGGGAAACCGGGGTCCGCAAGCGGACGGTTCGCCAGGACCAGAGGCAGTTGAAGCCCCTCCCAGCAGGCCCCCCCCACCCCCCCCCCCCCCAACCCACCCCCAAACCCCCCCCCCCGCCCCCTAAAAACCCTGCCCGCCCACCCCCCCCCCTCCCCCCCCCTACCCCCACCCCTCCCCACCCCTCCCCCCCCACCTGCCGAAGAGTCGCCTTAAACCTTAAGGGGCCTGGCTCAACGATCACTCCAAGCCGAACCCTAAACCCAAAAAAACCCTCAACCCCAAAGCGTGAACCTTGAGCCCTAAACTAACCCTCAACCCCAAACCCCAAACCATAAACCATAAACCATAAACCCGGAACCCTCAACCCTCAACCCTCAACCCAACCCTTATTGCTTGGGGTCCAGCGACTTGGGCGCAGCGGAATCACCATGCTCACGCGGATGCGCTGGGCCGGGCCGAGGCGGGTCGCGTAGCGTTAAAATTACACTCCAAAACAAGCCCCGCACCGTGAATTCTTAAACCCAAACCCTCTCCAGATCCTTGAGGATCCGCTCCAACAACTGCGTGCGCAAGCCATCGATGGGCTCGTTGCCCGTCCAGAACACGGAGACCAGCCTTCAGAGGTCGATGACCCCATTGACCCCATTGAGCCCATTAAGCCCAAAAACCCAAAAACCCAAAAACCCAAAAACCCAAAAACCCTCAAACCCTTGAACCCTAAAAGCCGTGAACCATTGAACCCTGACTTAACCAAACCCCTTTAAAGCCTTAACAGTTAAACCCCTAAACCCTTAAAACCTTATGAAACCTTAAAACCTGACACCAGAAAACCCTTGAACCCTTAATTAAACCCTTTAACCCTAACACCCTAAACCGGGTTTCGGCTTTGGGGCTTAGGCTTAGGACAGGTGGGGTTCGATAGTTTGGCGTTTTGGTGCGTTTCGGATATCTAGGGTTTAGGGCATAGAGTTTAGGGTTTAGGGTTTAGGAGAAAGGGTTTAGGGTTTAGGATATAGGGTTTAGGGTATGGGGTTTAGGATATAGGGCTTAGGGACTGCTTTAGGCTGTTGAGCTTTTGCAAAGGTACGCAGTAGCCACTAGGAAGACAAGGTCTAACTTAGCGAGCTACGTACCTTTATGTCCCCCTTTGTAACCCTTTTAAGGGAATATAGGGTATGAAATACCGAACTCACCCTACGAAGAACGAGCCAAGCTGCCCGTGGTTGATGTTGTCCGCATCGGGCTCCGGCTGAACTTGCAGACATTCCTGGCAGGGTGTGCATCCTAAGCGCAAACTTCCTAAGAAAACGCTCAGAAACCTTGCATTTTAGGGTTTAGGGTTTGGGGTTTAGGGTTCCCCCAAAAAAACCTCTTTTAGGGACCCAACAGCCCGAACCCCCTCAACCTGGCCCAGGCCGGACCTCAAGGAACAAAAGCCCTGATTGCCAAAGCTTCGGGACTTGAAAGCAACCGAGATTCCTAAACCCTAAACCCTAAACCCTAAACCCTAAACCCTAAAACCTAAACCCTCATCCCGAAGAGCCCTGTTGCTGAGTTCCTTTTTGCTGTAAACTGCATCACGCCTGAAATTCCCATACCTTCCTCCATACCAGTTCGGCTAAGCTTAGTCGCAGTCAAGACTCCCACTGAATTCCCTTCACGCGGCCTAGACAAACTTCTCCCGAATGATGGTGTTGACTGCTCATCCTAAACCCTAAACCCTAAACCCTAAACCCTAAACCCTAAACCCTAAACCCTTCCCGCTGGCCACCCCGCCTGCCCTGGATCCAGGCATACACAGCGAGAGCGGAGCAACTCGGACTTCGAGGACGTTGGCGCCGATGCGCCTTGCAAAGAAGCGATTAGGGTTTAGGGTTTAGGGTTTAGGGATTAGGGTTTAGGGTTTAGGGTTTAGGGTTTAGGGTTTGGGGTTTAGGGTTTAGGGTGGAAGAAGCCCCAAAGCAAAGAGCCCCCAAACCCTAAACCCGGCATGATCAGGCAACCTCTCGACTGCAAAGCCAAGAGCCATCACAGAAACGAAAAAAAAGGCTTCTGGAAATGCTAGGACAAGTCTAAGCGACTGAGGTTCGGCAAGGATTTGGACTGAAGAATTAGGATTAGGTTTTGGGGGCTCATGTAGTAGAATTATAAAGGTGCCATAAGGGAATACTATTAGCAACTATTCCGACCCCTACATCATCCCTTAAACGGTATATACAGGGCCCTACTTCCCTCATTCCCTACTAAGACCCAGGGGGGATTGTACCTCTCTGAGGCCACGCCTGGCCTCCTTGCCGAACGTTGTCCTCTACACCGAGCAGCCCACATGAAACCACCCCCAATCCTAAGAAATCTAAACCCCAGGCCCTGAACACCCTAACCACAACACGACCCTAGACACCCTAAACACCAGCCTAAACACCCTAAACACCACCTTAGAGCACCCTAAACACCAGCCTAGGCACCCTAAGCGCCCGAAACCCCCCTCAACACGAGCCGACGCACCCTAAGCACCCTAAACCCCCTAAACCCTAAACCCTAAACCCTAAACCCTAGACCCTAATCCCCAAACACCCAGGAGCCTCGGAAGGGCAGGAGGTCCAGCGCGGCGAGCACGTCCTTTGCAGCCTGCGGCCGCAAGTTGCCGTGGATCAGCGCCTGCTCGGAGGCCACAAAAAGGTAGAGTTTAGGGATCTTACATAAACATATACATATATATATATGTATATATATATATGCATATATATATATATAGGTGTGCATACATACATATATATATATATGTATGTATATAGGTGTGTATACATAAATATAGGCCCGTAGATGTATGTATATACATATATACGCATGTAACTATATGCATACTTGACAACATAGATGGAAAAATCGGGGGCTCGACGAACCCTGCGAGGTTCGAACTCTTCATGGCTCCTTTCTTCTTTGCCTTATTTAGGATTTCGGGCTTAGGGGCTTCTGCTTCTCAGGGCTATGGAAGGCCTGGGGTGTCGCATGGTTCCATGCACCCAGAAAAGAAGCAGGCACTTGACAGCAGCTGTACAACGAGTAGACAACAATGTTCTACAACAATTTCGAAGTGTGCAAACAATTTACAACAATGTTACAACAACTTTAAAACACTTCTGGCTACGGTGAGAATCCACGTGCCTGTGCAAGATGAGCAACCAAGTAGAACAGACCTAGCTCCGGAGGGAAACAAAACAAAGCATTGGCTCCCAGCGTAGACTTCAACTACTGTGGAGCCCATGCGTTGCCTCTCAATTTAGCTGGAGCCCCTAGGCTTGGGGGTTTTAGGATTTAAGGCGGCTTGGGGCTTTCGGATTTGAGGCTCTAAACTGGGTATGTAACTCCAAAGACATGGGCAGTGAAGGCTTGAGTATGAGCCCTCTAAACCACCAGGAATACAGTTATGAGAGAAGCCGTGAATGGCCTAAACTGATATGTCAGCTAGCCCATGGGGCCTCCGGAAGCTAGAACAAGCTTGTAGCCGCTTGTGGCATTCTCTGTGAAGTCCGTCGTATGCCACAGATAATCCCTTCCCCCTAATATTAAAGCCCTCCCCCCCCCCTCCCCCCGCAGCAAAAAGCCCCCCCAAAACCCCCCAAATGGTTTTTAGCACTAAGTGGCTTTTTGGGCCTGCAGCTCGAGACTGGGTGCCAGGTCTCGGGTTGGGTCATCTCGGGGGGTCCCCAAGGATCCTCAACCCCAAACCCTAAACATAAAACCCCAAACCCCAAAACCCCCAAACCCCAAAACCCCAAACCCCCAAACCCCAAAACCCTAAACCCCCACTCTTTTTCCGGGCGATCACTTCGGTCGGATCCAAGGCGTTCAGCTCGCGAGGTGGAGTTGCGCGGCTGCGTGGTGAAATGTGTGCTGGAGCTTCCTGGGCATCTGCCACTACTCATTGGGGACGTACAAAGCCCTGCTTATGCTATATTATGTTATATTATATTATATTCTACTATATTGTATATGTATATATGTATATGTATATGTTTATGTATATGTATATCTACATACAAGACTACTTGTAGCCCCAATTGTAAGTCTACCTTAGAACCTGCTTTGATGACTTAGGGGGCTTACACGTACAGTTAAACCTCCAAGTAGATCAGTTTTACTACAATGCTAGTATATTTTGCTTGATATAGAGCAGAATATTGGTATACTATGGTATTCGCATATGCTTGTTTAGATTATTCTATTGTGTTGTTAGTTAACCTCATAGGTCTGCGAGCTCAAGGGCTGCAGAGGCGTTTTTAAATGCTAGTGAGGCGTCTGCCGGGGCTTCTTCTCTTCACGTTTAGGGTTTATGGTTTAGGGTTTAGGGGTCAGAAGGTTGGGAACTGAAATCCCGAAAAAACCTCTCAACCCCTCAGCCTCTAGACCCCCAAGACCTTATAACTCTACTCCGGAACCGACGTTCACAAAAGAAGGCCCAACAAATTAAAAGATACTCATTATAAGGGCAATATACGGATTGTTATTTTCTATTTTTTGAGGGTTCTTAAGCAACTAGTAGCTGCAGGTTTGGGGTCTAGGGCTTAGGGTGCTTAGGGTCTGCGGGTCCAGCACGCTTTCAGCTTTCGTGGCCTCTAAACCCACACACTAAACATTAAACCCTAAACCCTAAACCCTAAACCCTAAACCCTAGTTAAAATTGCTGCGAGCTTCGGTGCCTTCAGATTGGGTTCCTCCAGCAATGACCCAGACCTGGAAACGAAAGTACCCACGACCACCACCGCGAGCACCGTCCAGCCAACTGGAGTTGCCATACAGAAGGCGCCTCGGTTTAAGGGTTTAGGGTTTAGGGGTTTCTGGACCCAGGATGTGTGGTTCTTCGGGCTAGGCTCATGGTAGGGTTTAGGGTGCCTTCACCTTTGACTGACAGCCATATTCTTACTACGATTATCTCGAACTACTCATGCCATGTTTGATCGACAGCCGTATGATACTGCAATACCTTGATGGCACACGATGAATACTATATAGTACTACTCGTATGATTGTCATGCACTAAACTATACTCAAGCCCTGAACCTCAAACCCTCGAAAGTTTTACTCGCCCTTCACTATCACCACCCTAAACCCTAAACCCTAAACCCTCAACCCTAAACCCTATAAAACCTAAACCCTAAACCCTAAACCTTCTTGAGGGCTCAGGGTCGTTAAAGTTCAGACCCGAGCTGCCAAAGATGACCAGGCCACTCAACATCCCGCACACGAAGAAAGCCTCGGATCGAGGGTTTAGGGTTTAGGGTTGAGGGCTTAGGGTTGAGAGGCTTAGAGCTTTAAGGGTCGAAGAAAAGGAAGTCTTCGGAATTTGCTGGCGTCAGAAACCACAGAGACCTAAACCTAAACCCTAAAACCTATAAACCCTATAAACCCTGTAAACCCTGTAAACCCTATAAACCCTATAAACCCTATAAACCCTATAAACCCTATAAACCCTATAAACCCTATAAACCCTATAAACCCTATAAACCCTATAACCCCTAAACCCTAACCCCTAAACCCTAACCCCTAAACCCTATAAACCCTAAACCCTAAACCCTAAACCCTAAACCCAACGTTCTCAATGCAGAGAGGGGACCATGCATCCGCAGTTCGGGCCCGGAGGTGGATCAACACAGCTGTCCAAGGCGCCCATAGCCTCCAACTCTTCTTAGGGTTTAGGGTTTAGGGTTTAGGGTTGTTAGGGTTGTTAGGGTTGTTAGGGTTGTTAGGGTTGTTAGGGTTGTTAGGGTTGTTAGGGTTGTTAGGGTTGTTAGGGTTGTTAGGGTTGTTAGGGTTGTTAGGGTTGTTAGGGTTGTTAGGGTTGTTAGGGTTGTTAGGGTCTTAGCCTCAGAGTCCAAGACGTAGTTTCCAATGATCAGCCAAGGGGCTCCGTAAAACAGGGCCCCTCCAACCAGAATGCAGATGATACAAACGATGATGCAGAGGATAATGAAGGCGACCTTTTACGTGATCGGGTTTAGGGTTTAGGGTTTAGGGTTTAGGGTTCAGGGTTCAGGGTTCAGGGTTCAGGGTTTAGGGTTTCGGGTTTCGGGTTTAGGGTTTACAAGTTTAGGGTTTAAGGGAATATAATATAATGAAGAGGACCTTGTACGCGACAAGATTGTGGTGTGGGTTTTGGAGCTGTTTGAGGCCCACGTAGGCCTTAGGCTCTATGGAAGGGCTTGAACTACCACACCTGCCCTTTCATCAATACTCGTAAAGGAGCATTGGGGTCCTAATGCGGTTTACCCTAAACCCTAAACCCTAAACCCTAAACCCTCAACCATGGGCTCGACATGCAAATGAGACGTCGGCTTCTCTTCTCGCCGTCTCCGAGGCATCCATCCACGAGCTGCCTTGTAGCAGGCTCGCGGCTTCTGAGCCGTGATCTGCCGCCTCGCGCAGTCCTCTGCTTGGTACTTATCAGCCAATTATAACTGTACATATAAGTGTACTTATAACCATATTAGGGCACTTCAGGGGTTATAAGTTATAAGTGCGTTATAAGTACAGTTAGAATTGGTGAAGAAGTACCATGAACCTCCAAGTGCTGTTGGGGGGAGGGGAGGGAAGCCCAGGTTCTATCAAACCTTGCAACTTGCAGCTTCCCTCGCCTGAACGCACTACTTGGCCACTACTTCTTACACTCGCTCGCCGATACCCGAAACCCTAAACCCGAGCCACTGCACGAGAAACGCAAGTACGATCCTTAGTGCGTGCGTAGGTTGTTTTTGTGCCAAATGCATGTCAGGGCATTTCGCAAAATAGGGGTACGCCGAAATACGATAACCCTCATTCCCCTAAACCCTAAACCCTAAACCCTAAACCCTGAACCTTGAACCCTGAGCCCTGAGCCCTAAACCCTAAACCCTAAACTAAACCCTAAACCCCTAACCCTAACTAAACCCTAAACCCTTACCCCCCAAGTACCCCTAAACAGATCCCAAAGTTTTGAAGTTATGGCATAGACGGACAGTCCAGCCTGGCTCCGCCCTAGCTCCACTACACCCCCCCTTTTTTTACCCCTTTTTACCCCTTCTTACCCCTTTTTTACCACTTTTTACCCCCTTCTTACCCCTGAACCCTAAACCCTAAACCCTAAACCCTAAACCCCCTGTTTCGGAAACCTCCATCGTCTTGCCTAAGGCTCGTTCAGACCTCAGCTCCAGAGATTCCAAGGCCGAGCTCGACTCACCTGGGGGGACGTCATCTAGGGGCCTGAATCATTAGAATAGGGTTTAGGGTTTAGGGTTTAGGGTTTAAGGTTTAAGGTTTAAGGTTTAGGGTTTAGGGTCTCATCTTGGGGCCGTAATCATTAGAATAGGGTTGGGGGGTGACTGAAGTATAGCTATAAGGGAACCAGAAGGGAATGGTATTCGCAAATATTTCGACCCTTCTAGAACCAGGGGCTTCTGGCGGCCAACAGGGTTTAGGAGGCTTAAGGTGCATAAATAACCTGTCAAAGTGGATATCCCTACTTCTCGATATAGCGGGAGGGCGGGTGGATCATGCCTGGTTGTCTTGGTTGAGGGTCTAGGGTGACTGGACTACAATAGCCCTCTTTATAGGAACCCTTCCAAAGAGTACCCCCCGTTGTCGTGACAAAAAGACATGTCCGAAAGGATTGAAGTTACCACAGGCCCCCCCCCCCGTCCAGCCTCGCTGCACTGTACCCAATCTTAAGCCTGGACCCAAAACCTTAAAACCCTTAACCCAAAACCCTAAACCCTAAACCCTAAACCCTAAACCCAAAACCCTTTATTCAGAAACCTCAACATTCTTGCCGGAGGCTCGTTCAGCATGTTCAGACGTCAACTCCAGAGATTCCAGGGCCGAGGTCGACTCACCTGGGGGATGGAGGTTTAGGGTTTAGGGTTTAGGGTTTAGGGTTTAGGGTTTAGGGGGTGGTCCACAACCGAGGGCCAACAGGGTTTTGGGTTTGGGGTTAGCGACTTAAGGTGCATGCAATCCCCTGTGTCAGCGGCTCCCGTATCTAACACACTTTCTTTACACCTCATGATAACTTCGGTGATGATTTCGTACACAACGTTCAGAAGTTCAGGGCCTCTTGGTTGGGACACCCTAAACAATGAACCTTACACCCCAAACCCTAAGAAAAGTCCCTGCAGGCGCAGTAGTTTGGAACGATTCCCACCGGTGTCGGCGGTCGTCTGCTCCAAAGTCTCCCGCGCCTCATCTGCGGTGCCTCAGGGTTTAGGTTTAGGGTTTAGGGGTTTAGGGGTTTAGGGGTTTAGGGGTTTAGGGGTTTAGGGGTTTAGGGGTTTAGGGGTTTAGGGGTTTAGGGGTTTAGGGGTTTAGGGTTCGGGCCATAGTTGTTGTAACCAAACCTGTGCCCGCTCATCCATGGATGCAGGCACTTCACTTGGAGAAAAGGCTTGGAATACAAGATTACTGTGTGCTGAGATGCTGATCATCTCCTCCAGCGACGTGCCGCCGAGACTTCGGAGGTACTCTTGGCAGCTCTCTGGTAGATCCAGATCTTGGCCGGTGAGATCCCCGCCGTTGTATCCGGGGACCTTCAAGTAGTAGTTCACGAAAAGGGCCAACTGGCGCTTGTCCGCCTCGGTTTCATCCTTGAGGAGGCAGGTCTTGTGAGACTCCATCTTGGCCTCGCGCTCAGAAGAACCAGGAAGGAATTGCCAAGCTCAAAACTCTGCAACTCCAAGCGATATGCTGTACCTGTAAATCCTAGTCCTAATCCCTACCAGACGCTTTGGAAGCCACCATGTGTCTGTAGACGACCGTTCTAAATTGAGATCCTAGCGGCTGTCTGAATAAGGATCGCGGGGCGCTTGAGCATGAACTGCACGAGTTCGGCGTGCCTCGGGGCAGGCAGCCGGGAGGACTAGAAACCCAGACCCCTGGGAGGATCCAAAAAAATAGATCCCCTTAAGGGTTCCTAAAAATGACCCAATACTAGTAGAGGGTACTATTTGGGGGTTCTAATTTTTGGATCCTCCCAGGGGTCTGGAAAGTAGGTTCCACGCAAATCCCCGTTAAGGTTCCTGTCAGGCACAGATCCTCCCAGGAGTTGGAACGGGTTGCAACAGCTTTTGGCCCCATTCGCCGGTGAGAAGCTAGATTGTCGTCGAACTCATGCATGCACCCCTTGTAATCTCATTACCAAAACTGCAGCCAAAACATAAGAGATCAAGATTCTAGTCGGAAACGGTATCTGGCCTTACCAGCCAGGATCATGTTTTATCCAGGCGGCAGCTTTGCTGGCACCGAGTAGGTCGTCGAAGAGCGCAACTCTTCAATGGACTTTCCAGCCGCGTCATTGTACTGCGGGGCCGTCAAGCGGTCCTGCGAAGGCTGTCGCATTCTGCTATTCTTGAGATCAGTGCCACACGACTATGTGTGAGCATTGTGCCTGGTAGTGCCGCAACTACGATTATAATGTTGCACTTCATGCTGTTAAAGTTCTCATGCACGGGCGTGACTCAAAACACCTGAAGCCCCTCGGCAGTGAAGCCCCTCGGCCAGTGCAGCGCTTACAGGCGCTTACTACGTCTGAAGCTCGTGAGTGCCAAAGTGAAGAAGTACCCGAATATACCCCCTGGTGGGTGGGCATGCTGTCCACTGGAGCATATGCGCATGTCGTGTCATCTTACCCGTCATGCCAATGTTCACAGTTCAGCGCAATCACAATCCACACGCATCAAGCTTATGGCTGCAAACCCGCCTTCAGCACTCAGTCACGAAGCCACGAAGCACAGACAAAAAGGCGACGTAACTTCGCCCTGGACATGCAACTTGGCTCCCTGAACAGCAGCGGGCCTTGCGATGGCGCCAGTGCCTCATGTCCATCTCACTCGCTCGGCGATGCCCCTTCACGAAATTCCCCACTTCAGGACTGAGCCTGGCAGGTGGAATTTAAGAAGGGTTTAGGGTTTAGGGTTTAGGGTTTAGGGTTTAGGGTTTAGGGCTTAGGGAACTAAAAGCAACAACCCCCTGTGTGTCTCTTCGTCTCTTCAGTGCTTTGGGGGGTTCAGAAGCTGTCAATCCTTTGAGTTTTGGCCTGGCGGGAAGGGTTTCAAAGACATTGAGGACATCTCCGGCTTCTCTCCACAATGCTGCGGTCTTCTTCATCGTCGACCGGCCAGCGCTGGACTTGGAGATTGCTGGCATGTCTTCCAACTTCTTGGCGACCTCACACCGCAAGTCAAAAGAAGCTGTATGAGAGACACGAAACATGCGGCTCAAGGACACTCAGCGAGCGCTCAGAATGCTGCAAAGCGACATCAAGCGCCATGGTCTTCAATGTAGTTATGCTTTCGCTCAATATGGCTTCATCGGCCGCCTCATGGCTGCTGCCACCGACTGCTTTGCACTTTTGCTGGGCACCGAAAGGTGCCAGAACACCGGGCGCCTCATTTTCGGCAACCGCCTTGCAAAATGGCGCAGGGCCACACATGTCTTCGTCAGGGTCGTAGAAACAGCGGTAGGCACACAGGCTGGGAGCGTTCAGGCAAGAAGTCTGCCCCAACATCGCGTCCACCAAGGACATCACGTCCCGGTCGGGCACATTCAAGGTCTTGTCCGTCTCTCCCGGAATCTCCAGATGAAGGACCGGATCCGTCTGTTCTGTCACCGAAACCTGATCGATGTCAATGGTGTGCTGAACGCCCTTGTACCTGTACTGAACTCGGAACCCTAGCAAAAAGTATAGATTAAGCAGTCTCTTAGGAACTATGTACCCAAACATGAAAAAGCTATTCCCAGTAATCACTAAGGTACAGGTAGTAGGGCTGTCCAGAGCCTCTGCGATGAACAGGCGTTCCGGCGTAGCGCCACGGTATCGTGCTGCTCGTGGTGACGCCAATGATGGGATTCTTCTCCGTTCTTATCCAGAGCATGTCAGACTTGTCATACTTGCTGGGACCCCAGTTGCCATCGGAGAACGCTTGCCAGCCCACAATGCCCACAACAGCCATGGTCTTGAGCTCCTCCAGGTCGGATTGGCATTTGGGCATGTCCCAAAATAAGGGTACCCGGGTACCCCTTGTTAAAAAACAAAAAAACCAAATAGAGCGGAATCCCCTTAAAGGGAACCCCCAAACAGGGTGCCCCAAAATTCTCGGAAACTCCCAAATTTAGGTTGGGAACCCATAGGGGCTTTTGAGGTACAGAGGCTACCTCGTCCCTAGCTTCTCACTGAAGGGCCAGGTGCGGCCTAAACCCTATAAACCCTATTAAACCCCATAAACAAACCCAATAAGCCCTGTTAAGAAAGAAAGACACACTATAAACCCCAGTAAGCCCTATACAGCCTGTAAACCGTCTGTGCCCTAAAGTCCCTTTTAAACGGGCGAGCATGCCTTGTTCATCACAACGGAATCTGGTAGCAGCCGGTACTTCTTGTCCATGCCGGTGACTTCCACATACTTAGCTGGCCTGGGTTAGCCGATTAAAGCCCACTGAACATACTCCTAAGCCCAACAAGTGGAAATCAAAAAACAAAAACAAACACTTTCCAAAAATGAAATAGTGGGAACATGGAAAGTTGGAAAAAGCATCCCAAGATCCCAGTGGCTCTCCGGGACCACCACTCACAGTCGTAAAGGTTATTGTGGCATTTGTCCATGTTAGGTGGCCCCTTGGTTCAGCGGGTCTTTGAAAGACTTCGCAGCTTGAACTCAAGTTCTACGACATTCTACCACTCCAAAACACTGCCCCTAAACCCTAAACCCTAAACCCTAGACCCTATACCTAGACCCTTCTCCAAGATTCATCATCGGGTTGTCCTTCCCTTTCGCCCACATGGTCTGCAAGGAGAACGAGCCACTCTCGGACACATCATTGAGATGCTCCTGGACACATTCGCTGAGATACATAACAGATACTTATTGGTTTAGGGTTTAGGGGTTTGGGTTTAGGGTTTAGGGTTTAAGGTTTTAGGGTTTAGGGCTTAGGGTCTAATATGTTTGCCTGTCGGGTTGCTGCAAGAACGCTCAGTCCTGAAACTTGTCGCTCGCCTTCAAGGTATTGGCGGTCATGGAGACCATCTCAGCAACATTGAACCCTTCCCGCGCTGCGGACACGTCGCGCATCGCCAGCATGAAAATGAAGGCCTTGGTAAGCAGCGGACAGACAGACCTTCGCCTGCGAACATCCTGGCCATAGAGAGTCATGATGTTAAAGCAAAGCAGCCAATGCCACGTTCCGTTGCGTGGGACGCCGCATCATGCCGATCAGTGTGGATTCAGCAAGCAACCAGGAAGATTTTGCTTAACACTGAGCTGCTTGGGCCGAGAGAAAGATGGAAGGATGCTGCGGCCACATCCGCGTATCATGCATGCACGCTGGTTCTTGGCAGCTCACTCTCCGAACCTGTTTCAGGGCTTGGGGTTTTGGGCTCAATGCAGCGTAGGAGTCGGAACAATTCCGAATAATCTTCCTTTATGGCCCCTATATAAATTATAAATATACTACAGTAACCCCCCAAAACCCTGTTCTAACTCCTAAGGCCCCCCAGAAAAGCTGCTTCACACCTTGCCTGCCCGAAGAAGCCCTGGTCTCCGCTGCGAAGCAGCGCAGAGAAGTCCCGGACGGCCGACCGGGTCACCTCCAGACAGCTCCGCGTTCTGAAAGGGCTGTAAGAAGGGCTAGAAAGGGTTGTAGAAGGAGGGTATATACAGAGGGGGGTATAAGGGGACTATAAGCCCTAAACCCTAAACCCTAAACCCTAAACCCTAAAAGGGGGCAAAGGGGGGGGGCATAATAAGGGGAGGCATGTCTCTTGGGGCGGGGCAATGTTCTGTCATAGCGGCTTGGACATGACCTACGGTGAGAAGATCGTCCTGAAGAAGAGCTGTCAAAATGCCCTCAGAAAACCCAAAGCCCTAAACCCTTAACCCAAAATCTCAGGTCGCTTGTGCCTTGCGCGTGGCTATCCGCAAGTCCTCGATGCGATACCTTTCTTGGGTTCGGATGTTCAGGTCACTCGAAGCGCCCTAAAAAACATGTGTTTGCTCTTATGATGATTTTTGATGAGTAGTACTGCTACATATTTCGATCTTGACGATCTTGAACATGAACTACTATTACGGTTATTACGTGATAATTTATATCCTGTAGACCCATCAACCTCTCTTGTGGGCAATGGGCTACGACAGGACCCTAAAAAATTGCTTAGTCCCCCCAAAACCCCTACAGGGCTAATGATTCAAGCCAGCCAAAGTACACATTCTAATGAAATGAACTACGCAGAATATCTCGGCCACGATATGGGTCTACGAAAATAAGGGGCCCCTAAGTTTAACATAGACCCCAAATCATAAGATCCTCTTATAATAAGGTACCCCTGCTCTCGTAAACCCCCGTACAACGCTTGCCGGACAAGCAATCTGTTGCCGACCCGCCACTCTGGGAAGAAGGTCGCCAGGCGGGAGAAGTAGGCTGCATGCGCAAACGGCTGCTGGACATCAAAAGAAGCCTGCCGAGCTTGATTGCCGCCTCAAGGGCTAAACTAAGGTAGGTTTGGGGGCCCTATAAAACCTAAATGCTTATGGCTTTGTAAGCATTATATAGGGGACTATGATCAACCCTAAACCCTAGACCCTAAAAACTATGTTCAAACCTACCCCTGTAAACCCAAGTGTATAAAGCAGCTGCTGATGTCGACGCCAACAGCACACGAAGCCCACCACGAACGCGCTCAAACCTCCTAATCCAAAACCCCATCCAAACTCCCTAAACCAGACCCTAAACCCTAAATCCTAAACCCTAAACCCTAAACCCTAAACCCTAAAGCAAACCCTAAACCCTAAACCTGCAGGCTGCATCCGAAACAGGCTGCGCCTGCTCTCTCCTGAGGGTATCGAGCGCCCGCTCAAACTCGCGCTCGGTGGGTCCATCGAAGTCCCGGATTTTCGCAAGGACCTCCCGGGGTGCATGGGATTTATGATATTTAGGGTTTAGGGTTTGGGGTTTGGGGTTTAGGGCTTGTGGCTTCGGACTTTGGATTTAGGCTTCACTACCAGGATGGCCCTTAAACACCCTCTGAAAGTCTAAACATGATCCTCTAAAACCCAAGAAGGGAAAGTATCCTAGCTAGACTACTTCCTCTGAGTCATCCCAAAATTGACGGTTTAGGGTTGAGGGCAGGACGCCCAAAGGGCTGTTGAAGGATCTGCCTCCTCCACGAAGACAGGCAGCTTGTCGCTGTAGCCGCTGAAGCTGACATTCAGGCCAACGGAGGTCCTTCTCTAGGATCTAGTATGGGTTTGTTCGATAATTGGGGGGGGGACAGGTGTTGGGATTAGGGTATGTTTCGCGGGCATGTTTCGGGGGTACGTTTCGGGGTATGTTTGTTTCGGGGTATGCTTCGCGGGTGCGCAGCCCGTGTGCCCTTCTTAAACCTGGGCCCCCCAAAAATGGACAAACCCAAAATACAGGGGTCGGAATAATTAGGAATAGTATTCCCTTATGGTCCCTTTGTAATTATACTACAATTACCCCTAAAACCCTATTCTAAGTGTTAAGGCCCCTAGAGTAATGAACTCAGCTGTGCAACCCAACAGCCAGCAAGACAAAGATGATCAAGCTCCGTTCCGTTCCGGCGTTCCGCTCCGAGGGCTTCGGGGTGGCGCGTGACCCCCCGCTTCGAGAGATAGAAGCCCAACCCTTCGGCTGTTGGGAATAAACAGAATATATATATATATATATAATACATGGTGTAGGGTTTAGGGTGTAGGGTTTAGAATGAGATTTTAGGGTTTGGGGTTTGAGCTCTGATCGCAATTGTTCTGAAGCCTTTGGGGGGCTGAAGATTTCCACATGAACCCTTGTGTAACAAGGGGGCCCGAAGCTGGAACAACCCCCCAAATAGGGTCCAGCGTGTGCCAAGAGCCTTCGTTGCGTGCCCTTCTAGGATCTCAACTAGACTTAGAGCTTAGATGACTTGTAGTCATAGAAGTTGTACAAGGTTTATGGGGTTGATAGATCTGATGGGGTTTATACGGTTGAGGAGATTAACAGGGCTTATGCGGCTTCGGGGATTTCACAAAGGGTCCGTAATCAAGATCGACCCCCCACATCGGCGGTGCCCGAGCGAAAACGGCACCCCATCGCTCAACAGATCCAGAACCCTAAACCCTAAACCCTAAACCCTAGACCCTAGACCCTAAACCCCAAACCCCCAAACCCTAACCTTATTCTGTTCCTTTCTGCCGCTTCCACCCTGCAGGTTCTGCCACAAGGCCAAAACGCACAAAAGTCTGCTCCGAGGGGCGACCCGCAGCCAGCAACAAGGCCAGCGAGCTGGGCATCATAGTACTCCTTCACGGTTCAGGGTTTAGGATTTAGGGTTTAGGGCTTAGGCCCAGAGAGTATGGCATTAAACCTTAAACCCTACCTGGGACCCTATTTACTTCCAGTTTTAGGGGTTCTACCCACTAATTAAGGGGTAGTTCCCACTAAACTGTAGGTAAATAGAGCCCCAGGTAAACCTCTACAACTTTAAACCCCTAAACCCTACACCCTAACAAGCTTAGATGACAACTGGAGTTTAGGGTTGCCGGAGTGGTTCAGAAGACTAAGACGGGCCCCCCTGCAGCGCTACGGTGGCCGCCGTTAGTAAACTTCATTGCTTCACTTTAGCACTCGGGAGTATAAGGCGCATGTCGATGACTGCTGGGCAGCTCACTCTTCCGATGTTGCATTAAGATTGTATGATTCGTCGTAACAACTGGGAGATGGCACTCCATGATACAAGGAATCATCGGAAGGACATGTCAAGAATAAGGTGGAAGTAGTAGTAGTAGTAGTAGTAGTAGTAGTAGTAGTAGTAGTAGTAGTAGTAGTAGTAGTAGTAGTAGTAGTAGTAGTAGTAGTAGTAGTAGTAGTAGTAGCAGTAGCAGCAGCAGCAGCAGGAGTAGGAGTAGTAGTAGTAGTAGTAGTAGTAGTAGTAGTAGTAGTGGTGGTGGAAGTTTTCATGACACTGAGACTGGCGGTCGTAGAAGTAATAACAAGAATGATAACAAGTAGTCAAGGTCAGGTCAATGGAAGCAGTTGGTAGTGCAATGCAAGAGAGAACTTCCTCGGTGAGGCGGTCGGCCAAGGACAGCTGCCAGACACCTGAGCCACAGCTTTCCGCTACGCAGCATCAGATTCCAGCGAGGTGCCGCGCGGACTTCAGAGCCTATAGAGTCGCGTGAAACCCACGAAATACACTGCGTGTCTGAGAAAGTCATACAAAAAAACTTGCATGCGTGCATTCTGCAGGACATGCGAAAGGTGCTTCATCATGATGTAGTAGACGCAATTCAATAAACACAGCAGAAACAAAAGTAATCCAGGTATGTGTGCGGTGCGTGCGTCTGCGTGTGAATGTGCATCATGTGAGGGGTGCCCATGGGCGCGGGCGCGGGCGCGCGCGCGCGCGTGTGTGTGTGTGTGTGTGTGTGTGTGTGTGTGTGTGTAAACGCCTGAACATGGTGATCGCTGTGATTGACATTTCCATTTGCAGGGGGCAGTGACCCGCTCATAAGCTCACTGCCAATGAAGCTGCTTATGAGTTGGGAGGATATCCAGGCTGATCACCTGGACGTACCTGCATGTAGAGTGGGATACCACACTGCTTGTGACATCATGTACCCTGAAGTCCCGAGGCAGGCAACCATGCTCCTTTTCATTCTTCCCTTCTTCTTGACTCCTCTTGAGTGTGTTGTGGGTCTGGTGGTTGGTACATGTTGGTACCGTGATCACTGCATCAGTTCATGCCAAGCCAAAGTGTGTACCAGTTCTGGTTTTCCCGACATGGGGCCAGATCTCAGGGGCATGTGCCCGAGCCCGCGATAGCGGATGAGTGAATCACAACGTTGCAGACGCTTGTTCTCATCCATCGGGATCATCTGCAGTAGGATGACATGTGCCCACAGTGGGCTTCATCTGGATCATCGGTCACTGCACGGTCAAGGGCCGCGGTCAAGGGTTGATCAGTAGAGACAGCTTGCTGAACATGTGCTTTCCCTAGGAGTGCAGGTAGATCGTCTGTGCATGTGCAGGTAGGAGGACCAGGTAGGCACGCGCTCAAGGTATCCGGAATCCTTAAACAGACATGTCATTGATCTCTTGTTGCTGTTCATGACTGGCTTGCTGACACCTGCTTGCTTCTTCGCGTCCTTTTCGCCCTTCGGGGCGTGTGTGTGTGTAAACGCCTGAACATGGTGATCGCTGTGATTGACATTTCCATTTGCAGGGGGCAGTGACCCGCTCATAAGCTCACTGCCAATGAAGCTGCTTATGAGTTGGGAGGATATCCAGGCTGATCACCTGGACGTACCTGCATGTAGAGTGGGATACCACACTGCTTGTGACATCATGTACCCTGAAGTCCCGAGGCAGGCAACCATGCTCCTTTTCATTCTTCCCTTCTTCTTGACTCCTCTTGAGTGTGTTGTGGGTCTGGTGGTTGGTACATGTTGGTGCCGTGATCACTGCATCAGTTCATGCCAAGCCAAAGTGTGTGTGTGCGCTGTGTGTCTGTGTGTTAGTTTGTGTGTGTGTGTGTTGGTTTGTGTGTGTGTGTGTGTCTTGCACGCCCCCTTCCCATGGCCATGCAGGACGAGGAAACCCGAACAGGTTGCTATGCCTGTGGGGTTGCATCACACTCAGAACCGCAAAAAAAAAACAAGGCCAGCACCCCCTGAACCCTAAAACCCTAAAAAACTAAAACACGAAAGCCCTAAGGTAAGAGTGCCCTTTTTTTGGCTGCGGGTGTTTTTTTGTTGCGGGTGCGGGGCGCGGTTGTTTTTTGCTGCGGCTGCGGGGGCGCGCTTTTTTGTTTGCTGCGGGTGCGGTGGGGGCGCGTTTTTTTTGCTGCGGGTGCGGTGGGGGCGCATTTTTTTTGCTGCGTCTGCAGGGTGCGGGGGCATTTTTTGCTGTTTCCTCTATATTTTACTATGAAGAAAACCTCTATTGTCTCTGTATTTTTATAGGCAAACCTCTTTCTTCTCAATATTTAATATGAAAACCTCTATTTTCTCTGCATTTACTATGAAAACCTCTAGTTTTTCTAATATCTCTATACGAAAACCTCTATTTCTCTATTTTTTATAACGAAAGCCTCTATTTCTCTTTATTTTTGTCGATAATATCGTCATAGTTTTCCTCCATATTTAATTTAATGAGGAGGAAGATGTGAGAGAGGACTACATGAGAAACAAATTCACTGCGCTATCTCAATATGTGACTTGCAATGAAAAGTGTTTTTGTTCCTCTTGTCCTAATTGAAAGCCCATTATTTTCTCTGTATTTAATAGGAAAACCTCCATTTTCTCAAAATTTGAACATGAAAACCTCTCTCTTTGCTCTACACGTTAACGGGAGAAGCTCTTTTTTTGTGCATATGTTGATATGAAGCCTCTCTTTTCTTGCTATGTTAATAGGAAACCTCTATTCTCTATATTTGAATATCAAGACCTCTACATTTTAATATGAAAAAACTCTGTATTTTCGCTATATGTTCGTATCAAAATCTCCATTTCCTCTATGTCGTCATAGGAAACCCTCTAATTTCTCTGTATGTTATAGCGAAAACCTCTATTTTCTATAGTTTACTATTTTGTCAGTGTTTTCAGACTTCTTCTCTATATTTCACGAGGAAGACATGAGAGAGGAACACATGATAAGAGTACATGCATAATCTCTATCTGTGACTCGCAGACAACAAGTGTTTTCGTTCATATTTAACATATTCTCATAACACAAGCTCTATTTTCTCGATTCTTCACTAAAAAAACATTTATATCTCTATATATTTAATCGGAAAATTCAACTTCGACTATATTATAAGGTCTGAATTTTCGTACGAAAGCAAGCATATATTCCCGCTTTTTTCAGGGGGGTTGGGGGCTGCGCAGACCCCCGCATTTGAAAACACAATGCTCGCATCATGGGTTTGGAAGGGATTCGTAAGCTTTGAGGCAGGATTGCCGGCTAAAAAAAGCGGGGCACCCCTTTTGAAGCGGGGGGAATCTCATGATGGGTTCGGAAAGGACTCATATTGAAGCAAGCTGGCATGGCTTTAGAAGCGGGGGGGTTGGGGGGCAGCCCCCCCCCCCATTTGCAAACCCAATGCTCGCATGATAGGCTTAGACAGGATTCATATGCTGAGAAGCGAGCTGTCACGGTTTTACAAAGGGGGGGGGGGGGGGTTGAGCGGGGCGCAGCCCTCCCTCAAAAACAAAGCTCGCATGATGGCCTTGGGAGGGATACACTGCTTTGAAAACGCTTGCACAGTTTAGAAGAGGGGGTGTTGGGGGTGGGGGGGGGGGGGGGGGTTGGGAGGAAATTGGGGAGGAGGGGGGGGGGGGGGGGGGGCGTTTTGCTTTTTGGCTGCGGGTGCGGGGGCGCTTTTTTATTGCTGCGTGCGGGGGCGACACGCGCCATGTCACTCACTCACCGGGGCGGCCCCCGAACAAAGCACCCACAGCAAAAAAGCACCCACAACAACAAAAAAAACACGGGTTCCGGTTTGTATGGTTCTGGGCTTTAGGGCTTTAGGGTTTGAGGGTTCTAAGGTTGCAGGGTTTTAGGGCTTTTGCGTTTTGGGTGTAGGTTTCATGGTTTTAGGGGGGAACTCGTGTTTTTTTTAACCCAAACCCCTAAACGAAATCCCAAAACCCTCAAACCCTACCGCCCTAAAACCCTGAAACCTAAAAACCCAAAACCCCCAAACAAAAACCCACAAACCCTCAAACCCAAAAGCCCTAAAACCCTGAAACCTAATCCCGAAATCCTCAAACCCAAAACCCCTAAAACAGAAAAGACCCTAAACCCTGAACCCTGAACCCTAAACCCTAAACCCTAAACCCCGCACCCCAGGGTTTCCAGGTCCCAGGTGCGAGCAACGATGCGGCCCTCAGGCGTGTCCACCGCCGAGGCAGGAGCTGAAGGGGAGGTGTGGTCGGCATCTGGAAACCAGAACTGCCTGGGCTCCCAAGGGTGTAAGGTTTAAGGTTTAAGGTCTAAGGTTTAAGGTTTAAGGTTTAAGGTTTAAGGTTTAAGGTTTAAGGTTTAAGGTTTCAGGTTTCAGGTTTAAGGTTTAAGGTTTAAGGTTTAAGGTTTAAGGTTTAAGGTTTAAGGTTTAGGCTTTGGGACTTGCGAGGTTTAGATTTATAGGGGATTTATGGGGGGCTCTTAAAGGACTTTTGCATGACTTGCGGGGTCTAGCAGACGGCTGCAAGTAGGGCCACTGTTGAAAGACGATGCTTCCTGTCGCCCGACCCATGAAGCTTTCTGCAAGCCCTAAACCCTTTTTCCTAAACCCTAAACCCTGAACCCTGAACCCTGAACCCTAAACCCTAAACCCTAAACCCTAAACCCCAAACCCTAAACCCTCAACCCGCGAGAGGAAGAAAACGCAAGATCGGGTTAGGGTTTAGGGTTTAGGGTTGAGGGTTAAGTGATTGACAATGCCCCTGAATGGACCCCAAAGTCCCTAGATGCAAGCCGAATAAACTTGAAAGGCATTACGTCCCTAAACCCTAAACCCTAAACCCTGAACCCTAAACCCTAAACCCTAAACCCTAAACCCTAAACCCTAAACCCAGGTTTTTCGATATCCTCAGGGCATGACCAAAAAATGCCCCAAATCCTTAAATCCTTGAAGCCCGGAAACAGCAAACGCTCAAGGCAAGACAACTTTTTAAAGCCTCAAGAGCCCCGTAAACCCCAAACCCCCAGAGCCCTCACACCTTAAAACAAACTCTGAACGCTTGAAGCCCAAAACCCTAAAACCCTGAAACCCTTAAATCTCGAAACCCTCGGTGTACACATGTGCAGCTTTAGGGTTTAGGGTTTCAAGTGTTACCCTAAACCCTAAACCCCTGAAACCCTGAAATCCTGAAACCCTGAACCCTAAACCCTAAACCCTAAACCCTAAACCCTAAACCCTAAACCCTAAACCCTAAACCATCCTTATTTATATACCATGAGCCGGGGCACAGGATGACCGTGGCCTTAGGCACGCCGAAGGCTTGGTCCGCCTTGAAGAAGACCCGCCACCGGTCCTTCTGTAGGGGTTTAGGGGTCTTAGGGGCTTAGGGGTTTAGGGGTTTAGAGGTTTTAGGGGCTTAGGGGTTTAGGGGTTTAGGGGTCTTAGGGGTGTAGGGGTTTAGAGGTTTTAGGGGCTTAGGGGTTTTAGGGGCTTAGGGGTTTAGGGGTTTAGGGGTTTTAGGGGCTTAGGGGTCTTAGGGGTCTTAGGGGTTTAGGGGCCTTAGGGGTTTAGGGTTTGAGGGGTTTAGGGGTTTACTTAGGGTTGTAGGGGTTTATAGAGACTTAGGGACATAGGGTTTATGGCATTACCCAAGTAATCCAGATGCGGCTCCGCAATGGTGTATATATGTATATATGTAAGTAGGTACAATTTCCACACTTGAACAAAACTTGCGTATTTCAAAGTAGCTACTAAACTATTTCAGGTCCAGGGGATCCAGGATGGGCTGAACTTGCTTGGAATCCCGAAAAAGGGTACCTCTACAAACCACTCCTTAAATGGCCGTAAAGCTGGCCACGGCACATCCTTGCGGAGCAGCTCGGGTGGCCTGGACGCAGCAGCCGCCTTTTCAGACGACGGAGCCTGGGCGAGATGCGGTTAGGGCCTGGGCCTTCGGGGTGCTTCGGGGCTTTGGAGGCTTAAACCCTAAACCCTAAACCCTAAACCCTAAACCCTAAACGGGGGTTTGATTCCGGGTGGTTGGGGGGCCTAGCGACAATCTGGGTGAATCCAACTGCATCCCAAGCCCGCCTTTGGCCAGGCGAGGGAGAAGTCCTTGGGTATGAAGGGATTCGGCCTCATGCAAACTGCAGCAACGCTCGGAATCGGGATCGGATCGGGGCTTGAGGACTTCAATCTATTCAGCCTGGGGTTTAGCTTAAAGCGGTTGGAGTCTGCACTCTACGGACAATGGGCTGGTAGTTAGGGGCTTCTTCAATCCTTAATTTTCATCATTGTGCTTACTATTATTGTTATACACCCTAACTCACCAAACCCCGAACCCTAATCTGGGCCGTAAGTGCCTAAACCTTCAAAGCGGTTCCGCTGCGTGAGCCAAACTGCTTCTGGGTTTTCCGTGTTTGCGCCGCTCGGCTTCCATGTCCCTGCATTAACAAAATCGGACAAGCATGGTCTTCCATGCCGTCTGCATTAAAAAAAACCACGGACTGGCAAAGCAATTGTTCGATTTGGCTGGATATGGTCATGAAAAGCACCCCAAACCCCAAACCCCAACCCCAAACTCCAAACCCAAACCCCAAACCCCAAACCCCAAACCCCAAACCCCAAACCCCAAACCCTAAACCCTAAACCCTAAACCCTAAACCCCACGTCCTAACTACGCGGCCTCGGGTAGCACCAGCCCTCCAGCAGCTCCCCCACCGGGCGGGTGGACCAGCCTCCATGGCATGATTTGGGGCCTAGTTTAGGGTTTAGGGTTTAGGGTTTAGGGTTTAGGGTTTAGGGTTTAGGGTTTAGGGTTTAGGGTTTAGGGTTTAGGGTTTAGGGTCTTCTGGAGTTGTTTTTTAATTTGAAGGGTTTAGGGTTTAGAGTTTGTAGGGTTTAGGGGTTTGGGGTTTGGGGGCTTGTCCTAGTATTCTCCCGAGAGAACGGGAGAGAGTGGAAGAGGGAGGGCAAGGATGGAGGTCCTGTTTTGGCATTTTAGGGTTGAGGGTTTAGGCTGTACGTAGAGTTTGAGGAAGTTGGGGGCAGTTTCGATCACAGCGGGGCTCAGAGATACTCACAAAGCCACGGTACGCAACGACTGTTTGTGAGACTACCGATGGCAACTGGCTTCTCTGGTCCAATCCCTTAGCTTGCTCTTTTCTTTCTTTCTGCCTTTCGCTATGTCCTCTTGCTTTGCTTTCCTTTTTCTTCTCAAGTTTCTGTCTGTCTCTCTCTCTCTCTCTCTGATGAGTCCTCCTGCAATCACGGTTCATTTCCATTGAAGCTCCGGATAACGATGCAAAACCCACATCGGCACAACTCAAAAACTCCTTAAACCAGCCCTACCCCCTAAAAACCTCGAACCCTACGACCCTGAAACCCTGCAAACGCCCTGTAAAGGAACTCTCAAATACCCCTCCCCACCCCGGCCCCCCGAGAGCTGCGGCACCCTCGGGCCTGCGAAAGTCGACTTTGGCAACGCTGTTTCCGCATACCTTGGGGATTTAGAGTCTAAGGTTTCGGGTTTCGGGTTCCACTGCTGGGTTCCCCCAGAAAACAACCGGTAGCCAAAAAAATTGATACTCCTCTTTTTTGCCTGACGAGATCCACGCCCTAGGATGGAAGGAATGAGGGTACGACCGCACCGTTGGGTGCACAAGCTGGCATAATAACTCAGGGCTTCAGGGATTTTGTGGCTCTTAGGGCTCTTAGGGCTCTTCTTCCCTGCGTGAAGGGTTTTGGGGCCTTGGCGTGAGGTACTCAGCCCTAGGGTGGCCCTTAAAACCCTCTGAAAACACACATTCCTGAAGATGATCCTCTGAAACCCACAAAGGGGAAAATATGTAAAATGTCCCCTTTTTAGGGCCTACCTGGAGCCTCATGGTGTGATGTGAGTTCCCCCAAGGCACTTGGAGCCATACCACTTCTCCGCCTTCTTCGCCCGCGCAGCGTTCTCCCGGGCGAAGGTCGCGTAGCGCCCCCGCTCCGGCGTGAGCTGTTGGATGAGACCCAGGATGGCGCGCTTCAGGCTGCCTGAAGGGGGGGGCCCTCAGGGGGCTACTACAGGGAACATGGCGGGGGTCGTTCGGGAGGTGTTGGGTTCCTACGGCGACACTGGGTTTTATTTAGGGTTCTAGAGGAGCGTTTGAGGCTTTAAGTTAATAGGGTTTAGGGTTTAGGGTTACTGATTTTGCTGAGCTCTGAAGGCTTTTCAGCACAGAGACGGCCAAGCCGCCCGCCTTGATTCGGCCCGTCCTCCGGTGGGTCAAAGAGGAGGACGCGGTTGCCTGGGCTGGGTTTAGGGTTTAGGGTGTAGGGTTTAGGGTTTAGGGTGTAGGGTTTAGGGCTTAGGGTTCAGGGCTTCGCTTTTGGCAGAGGCGGCTTGGAGTTTCCGGGTCCAAGGCTTACAAGGCACCCCGACAGGTATCAGCCCAGTTGCTGAGATACGTGGCAGGCGAGAGCCGGTCCTGCGTCACACATGTGCAGCTCCTTCGTCTGGCCGTGGCACAATGTATGTGTCCCATGGGTTTAGGGTTTAGGGCTTAGGGTTTAGGGTTTAGGGTTTAGGGTTTTGGGGTTTAGGGTTTCACCCGAGGTGCCTTCACTCAAAGGACCCTTGGGAACGAACCGTCGTCTCAGTTGCAATCCTCTTTTGGACCACCTATACACGAGCAAAGGTAATGCATAAATATATGGTTCTATAATCTTTTATATATATGTGCCAGACATAAACGGCGCCAATACTATAAGAAGTACCCCTAAACGAACCCTACTTAAGTGAACCTACCGTATACTACTATTTGCTTAACCCCAAAAGAAGATTTAAAAAAAAAAAACAATGATCCCTATAATACCCTGAATAAGGAGGAATATGTTTGATTTTTTCGGTCTGTCAGCAATTAGTAGTACTTAAGTGAACCTACCTTACACTGAGTCCAGCTCACGGTGACCCCTGTGGCCTCCATCGACTCCACTGCCTCCAGCGCCGCCTGCTGACTCCTCCGCTCATGGGTTTAGGGTTTAGGGTTTAGGGTTTAGGGTTTAGGGTTTAGGGTTTAGGGTTTAGGGTTTAGGGTTTAGGGTTTAGGGTATAGGGTTAGGGTTGAGGGTTTAGGGTTTAGGGTTTAAGGTTTAGGGTTTAGGGTTTAAGGTTTAGGGTTTAGGGTTTAGAATCCAGTGCTTCGGAATTAGGGTTCAGGGTTTAGGGTTTAATTCAGGTTTCGGGTTTAGGGTATTTAAGGATTGCGGGGTTAAGCCTCAAGCCTCAACCCTGAAGCCGACGTCAGGCAAGTATATACACAACCATGGCACACAAGCTGCCACTGTTGCGCCCGTGTTTTTGTCGCTTGCTTCTCATTGTCTTTCTAACTTCCTACTTATAAAGCAGTGAAGATTGAGTCACAAGATCGCAACAGGCGCTGTCACATGTCTAGGTATTTCGTCCCAAGCAACTGACATGTATAGGCTTTGGAACCGGTTAGACTTTGTGCAAACTGCAGCGAAATAAGCAAAACATACACAAGAACCCGCACAATGTGCAGTAGAAGGAGATGAGATATGATGAGGTGTCCGCACAATCTGCAGCAAGCGCTTGCGGTTTAGGGCTTATAAGGGCTTAGGGTGATTTAGGGTTTGTTGGCTTATGCGGCGTACCGCAGAAGCTGTACGGGGATGGTGCCGTGCAGTCTACAGGTACTTCTTTCACCACCCCACCCCCCCGCCCCCCGAATTTCGGCCTCGAGGCCACAATACTACCCTGGCGAAAGGAAAAAACAACACACCGCCTAAGCCCCACAGCCCTGAAACACTTAAACAAGCCCCCCAAACCCTTCGACTCTTACCACTCGTCCGTCCCCCCTTAATATGGATTAATGATTCTGTATCTCGTATATTATAATGACGATTCAGGACTGTTAGTATCGGGGGGAACATTCCAACTTACAACCCTTAAGTCCATCATGTTCGAACCTCGGCTTCTCGGCAAAGCGCCAGCGCAGCTCAGCGAGGTCTCGGGTCTCCTTCCGGATGGGTTTAGGGTTTAGGGTTTAGGGCTTAGGGCTTAGGGCTTAGGGTTTAGGGTTTAGGGTTTAGGTTAAAGGGGCGGTTTAGGGTTTAGGGTAAAGCGGCGCTGAGGAAGCAAGGTTTGGCACTATAGGCCGTGGGCGTGTTGCTTTGTGGGGGAGTGGGCGTGAGTTAGGGCGTGGTCAAAAAAAACGAACGACCATATACCACAAATGGGGTTTCCGAAATCTGGGGTACCACATTGGGGTCCTTCTTATCAGGGAATCCTACGATTTGTGGGTCTGTATGAGGGGTCCCTTATTTTCGAAACCCCCCAAGATAAGGCAGTGAAAAAAAGGTACCTTTAGAACCTACAGCCTGCCAAGGCAGACTGCTCGCGCCTGGATGGAGTAGTCGGGCACCGCGTTAAGGCTTCGCTCCTAGCAGGGAAGCGTAAACCCTAATTAGGGTTTAGGGTTTAAGGGTTTAGGGTTTAGGGTGTAGGGTTTAGGGTTTAGGGTTTAAGGTTTAAGGTTTAGGAATAGTGCTACTGGTATTTGCACCCTAAAGGCCCAAGTATCACTGTATAGGTACATGGACCCTTAGGGAATGGATCTTTCGAGGCTGCTATGTCACGATATCTTGGGTAGTCTTACTTGAAGTGTTCATTAATTGAATCGAAACGGAAGGCCCCTGCATTGGGTCACCTTGTCGTGGTTGTCAGGGCGACCCACTCCCCGAAGGCAACTGTGGGTTCAGGGCTGAGGGCCTTTGGGTTGTAATTTGGGTTTCGGGTTTAGGGTTTAGGGTTTGGGGTTTGGGGTTTAGGGTTTAGGGTTTTGGGGTTTTGGGGTTTAGGGGGCATGACTCTGTTCAAAGAGCCCACACCGGGTCTCCTGCATTTGCCGAAGTATGCTGAAGACCGCTCCAAAGATGGCCTCCTTCTGCCGAAGGCCTTCCTGATGGGTTTAGGGTTTAGGGTTTGGGGTTAGGGTCTGGGGTTTAGGGTTTAGGGCTACTGATAACACAATGGCTGCCGCACCAGCAAGACCCTTCGCCACAACTGGTCGGCACGGGGCCTCCGAGACATCGAAGCCCACCTGAAGACTTCAGGGTTTAGGGTTTAGGGTTTAGGGTTTAGGGTGTAGGGTTTAGGGTTTAGGGTTTAGGGTTTAGGGTTTAGGGTTTAGGGTTTAGGGTTTAGGGTGTGGGGGGTTTAGGGTTTAGGGTCTAGGGTTTAGGGTCTAGGGGCCTTTGCAAGGATGTGACGATGTGCCACCCTGAGTTGCGTGTGTGCACACCCCATGACCTACCGCCATATTTTGCTGTGGTAAGCGCTGCTAAAACCCAATCAATATATATGTATATATATATAAGTATATAGATGTATACATATATACATATATATATATGTATATTTTGTTTAATTTCCTTTATATTTATTTATTCTGTGTTTGTTTACGTGTGTGTGTGTGAGAGAGAGAGAGAGAGCGTGTGAGTCTGTGAGTCTGTGAGTGTGTGAGGCTGTCTGCATGTACCTTAAACCCTAAACCCTAAACCCTAAACCCTAAACCCACTGTGTCTTGCGCATCGCAGCCTGCTTGCTGCCTCTCAAAGCCCCCAAGTCGGACTCTCGCGCCCTCACCGCCACATGCACCATGAAACCTCCGAGTCTAGGCCTAAACCCTAAACCCTAAACCCTAAAGCCTAAACCCTAAACCCTGCCTTGAAGATGGAGAAGTCGTCCTGGTCGAAGACCAGCCCAGCCAAGGTCTTGTTGACCCAGCCCCGATTCTTTAGGAGGCTCTGGAGCGAGCCCGGGCCCTGCGAAGGACAGGGTTTAGGGTTTAGGGTTTAGGGTTCAGGGTTCAGGGTTCAGGGTTCAGGGTTCAGGGTTGAGGGTTTAGGGTTTAGGGTTTAGGGTTTAGGGTTCAGGGTTTAGGGTTTACGGTTTAGGGTTTAGGGTTCAGGGTTCAGGGTTTAGGGATTAGGGTTTAGGGTTTGGGGTTTAGGATTTAAGGGTTTCAGGGTTGAGTCAGGGTTGAGGGTTTTGAGTCTAGAGTTCAGAAATTTAGGAATTTTGAGCTTAGGGATTTAGGGATTACGAGTTCGGAGCTTGGAGTTTGGGGTTTCAGGGTAGGAGTCTTGCATTTTGGGATCGTGGGGTTAGGTACGAATCCTCATCAGTCCAACCTCATGGCCCAGGATCTGGCCCACGTAGTCAGCTGGCTTCGCCGTGAGGAACTCCTCCCGTGCTTTTCGGTCCGGGTACGTGATCGTCCACTGCACGGATACAGAGCCTGGGCAGCGCGGCAGCTTGAAAGCAAAGACTTTTTGGGGTGAGGGCGGCCACTTGTTTCAAGGCTCCTCTAGTACGAGGTGCCTATAGTCCAGGGGACCCCAAACTAGACACCCCAAGCCCGAGACCGGCCCCAAATCCTACAAACCCATGAACCCTATAAACCCTGCAAACCCTATAACCTCTAAAAAACCCTATGAACCCTTGCAAACTTCCAATATGCAAAACAAAACCCAAGACTCAGACCCTGTAAACCCTATAAACCCTTTCAAAGCCCTACAAGGTCCAAAACCCTTCACAAAGCCACAAAGAGCCCTGGAAACCCCAAAAAAGAGCCATAAACCCTAAACACTACACCCTCAACCCTCAACCCTCAACCAAACCCCCTAAATCATGAAGCCTAAGGCGGGCTGCGAGCTTCGGACACGGGAACCGCTTCGATGAGCACCGGCACGTCTTGCACCAGCCGCGGGGGGTAGGGATCCTGAGCAGGATGGCAGCTCAAGGTTTAGGGTTGAGGGTTGAGGGTTTAGGGTTTAGGGTTTAGGGGTTGGGGCTTTGGGGGCAAGAATGTCAGCACCACATACCCCCTATGCAGATCTTTGCGTACCTCACCCCGACTAAAGTGGAAAGACGGAGGTAACCTTGAACCCTGAACTCACAACCCTCAACCCCCATAGCCCGAAACCCTAAACCCTAAACCTTCAACATTGATTGGCCACACCAGGCAGGGCACCAACGCCTGCCAGGGCCGCCCTGCAAAGGTGCGTCTGGGGATGGACCCGAAGCAGTCCTTCGGGGCTTCATTTGTGGTGGGGACAGGGGCGGGGGGGAGGGGGGAGGGGGGAGGGGTTAGGGGAGAGGGGTTAGGGTTTAGGGTTTAGGGTTCAGGGTTAAGGCTTGGGGTTTAGGGTTTATGGTTTAACGACTGTAGGACCCGTCCTCCATCGAGGCCTGAAGCACGTCCAAGGGCTCCTGCAACTGGGGCATTCCCTTGTCCCCCCCATTGAGGCGCCACAACCATGGTCAGGGCGTGCCATGGGACCCTGATCCAAGCATTTAGCAGCTGGGGCCTTCCCGACGATGCAGAGAGACATCGCTTCGGGGTCGTATGCCTCTCCCAAAGAGGTGCATGGCCCGAAAAAGACTTTGGAATTATGAATTTCGGAATCGACCCGCTTAACGGAACATGAAGAAAATATAGCTTCCTCTTTGACAGTCAGCACCCACCAGCCATTTGGTCGACTGCTCCGAGCAACATGTGGGTCACACGTGGCAATATCGCAGTATCTCTGGAGCCTTCGGCCCCAATGCAGCAGCTGCTGTATTGAGTTCAAGCATGTGCATGTGTGGATTCAAAGAACCGGTTCAACTGACCTACGGTAGATGATCAGCTACTCTGGATAGACCCGGTCTTGGTGGAAGACCACGAACTCACGATAGGTGCCCACCGCCCTCTCGCGGTCCCCAACACCCCCAACCACTCCGCCAGCCTGGAAGTACTGCTTCAGGGCCTCGCGGAGCTCTTCGGGACCTGGAGACAGTCGAACGATCCCATTAACTGAGATTAGGGTGCGACATTGAGGGAGTTAGGGCTTGGGGAGGTTGTTTTCAGTTCCCATCATCAGGAAACCGCATTATTTTCTGTTGCTTGTCCATGTTCTGGCTTTTCCATTAGTCAACTTCCTTAACAGCAACTCCACATCCCACATCCCAGATGCAAGTCTTGGGCCCCTATTGCGGCGTTCTTCACTGTAAGGGGTACCCTGAGACCCTAAGACCCTATAGGGTTTAGGGTAGAAACCCTGAACCCTAGCGCCCAAAACTGCCTCGGCCCCCCAGCAGCGTCTTGCGGCCGCCGCAGCCGAAATGCTGCTCAGGGTGGCCTCCAGGAGGTTCTTAAGTGCTTGAGGGCGGTTCGGGCTTAGGGTTCAGGGCTCAGGGTTTGGGGTTTAGGATATAGTTTTCGGACTTAGAATTTAAGGTTTAGGGATTTAGTAGAATTGTTTTTTGTCTGGGGGAGGGGGGGAGGGTTTTGTGATGGCTTGTGGTAAAGGTTGCTGGGTCTTTTGAGCTTTCGTTTGAGCTTTTCGAGGGATTTTGGGCATTGAGAGGTTTTGAGGCTTGGGGTGTTTGGTGGGTCCATCTTGTGCGGGCCGTTTTCTTTGCAGGAAAACAATGTCTGGAGGTCAAACTTTGTTGCGACAGGCAGCCCAGAATACCAGGTTCAACTAGGGTGTCAAAAATGGAGAGGAGGGGGGGTGGAATCTAAACGTTGTGCCTTATGTTGGTATCCGAAGCTGCCCCATTAAAAGGGACTCTGGTTTGGGTAGGGGGGGAAGCCTTCTTTGCCCCAAGCCTTACTAGTATAACCTAGAAGCCCCACAAGCCCTACCAGCCCTCTACAGCAAGACTAACGAGCAAATGCGCCCTCGACACCCTAAAACCCTCAACCCCCTAAACACCCTCAACCCCCTAAAAACCCCCCAACCTCCTAAAAAACCCCTCAACCCCCTAACGCCCTTAATCCCCTCACCCCCCTTAACCCCCTTAAGCCCCCTCAACCCTCTAAACCACCTAAACCCCACAAGTCCTGGAAGTCCATGGAGACGCACTTTGGCTCCCCAAACTCCAAGCCTGAAACCGTTCTCCTTGGGATGTTCCCCCTTATACTAACAAGTCCTTGATAGGGATTGTAGTACCCCCCCCCCCCCCCCCCCCCGATATAATCCCTATTAAGGACTGTTAGTATAAGGGTGAACATCCCAACTTTCTCCTGTCAACCCTGCCATGAACCTCTCATAACCCCCCCCCCAAACCCCCTGAACCCCAAAGCATAAACACCCTCGAAACCCCCTGACCCCCACAAACACTAAACCCTAAGCCCTAAACACCCTTGAAACGCCCGAATCCCTAAACCCTAAAAACCCTTTAACCCCTGAAACCATCTGAAACCCTAAACCCGAAAACCCTAAACCCTAAACCCGAAACCCTAAACCCGAAAGACCTCGAGCCCGCACCCCAACACCCCCAAAGCTGGTCGCCTGCGGCCGCCGTGCTCTTCAGCAGCTGTTGGAACCGGAACCCATCCTGGGTTTGTAGGGTTTAGGGTTTAGGGTTTAGGATGTAGGGTACAGGGTTTAGGGTACAGTCCGAACTCCTTCGCTGCTGAAGTTTTCTAGGAAGCCCAGCCTGAACCCGTCTAACACCCCAATAAAACTTTCGAAGCGCCCCAACGCTACGAACCCCAAGCCCAAAACCCCCTGGTTCTTAGTAGGGAATGAGGGAACGAGGGCCCTATATATACATATATATATATATATGTATATATGGTCACCCCCACCCCCCCCCCGCCCCCCCACGACAGACCCCGGAATTGTATTTCCAGTCTGATATATATATATATATATACCCTTTAAGGGATCATGTCGGGCCCCAAGTCCCTCATTCCCTACGAAGAGCCAGCCCAGAAAATCCACAAATGCGTCAGAAGGGGCGTTCTCCTGATTCTTTGCAAACTCCGAGTCGATGGCGTTCACCTATGTTTAGGGTTTAGGGAGGGTTGAGGGTTTAGGGTTTAGGGTGTGAATAGCAGGCTTTGGGCCTACAATCTCACAGGCGCATAACTAGTTCATGGTTGGGTAATATCAAAAATTTAAATGTCCATTCCTTATTGGGTTTAAGCACCCTTAAACATGTAAAATGTTACCCAACTATGACAAAGATAAGGTTCCTCGGTGCTGAGATGACTCTGCGGCCCGCGGAACGAGTAAGGGAGCCAGATAGTTCCTTCCCTGAAACCCTGGCATTCTGTGATGTGCTTGAGGAATCCTTTTCTCAAACCTTTCGAAAGCTGTAGGGTTGTTCCTAAACCCTAAACCCTAAACCATAAACCCTCGTGGGGCTGAGGATCTAGGGTCTGATTTGGCAATCTACTGCCGCCAAGCTCTGGGAAAAATTAGCGAGAGTCTTGTTTGCGACTAGCCGCGCCTGGGGTTAGGAGGCCCCAAAACCGGCAAACATCTAGCCTCTTTCCAGCCCCCCCTAATTCTTTCTAGTTTTTTCTGGCTTTTCTAGCCTGTTCTAGCTCTGGCAATGACGAAAAGCTGCAAATGGCTGCAAAACTAGGCTGGCCGCTACCACCCTCGGCAAAGCAATTGAACTACGATCGCCTTAAACCTACAAAAATGAAGCATTTAAACAGATGTGGTTGAGGTTCTTGTGGTGTTCTTGGGCTTTTTGTGTAAGCGTCTGGGGATGGGCCTGTGATATGGCCTCGGGGGGAGAGGAGGGCGGTGAACAAATTGGAAACCCTAATCCCTAAACCCTAATTAAACCCCAAACCCTGAACCCTAAACCCTAAACCCTGTAAGCCCTAAAACCCTTCGAAGTGCCTCCCTCTCCGTGGCGGAGGCCGTGAACAGCGGCTCCCTGAAGAAGGAGGCGAAGCGCTGCAGGGACTCGCGCAAGGCACCTGCAGCAAGGGCTCTTTTTTACGGGGCCTTCGAAGGGTTTATGGGGGGGATTTAGGGTACAATAGGTCCATATATATATATATATATACATCTTATATATATATATATATATATTTGTTTTTGCATGGGCTTTTTAGAGGCTTATAAGTTATAAGGGTTTGCAGGGTCCCGTCTAGAGGGTTTCTCTATCTTAGGGCTCAGGGTTTAGGGTACCAAAGTTCCATATATACGTTACCATGATATCTTGTTATCTATATATATACATACATACATATATATATATACTTATTATTTTTTTATATTTATCTATTTATTAATAGAGCTTTTATACAGAGGGCTTGGCTTGGAGGTGTTGTTAGCCGTGCGGCCATCCCGTCAGGGTTTTGAAGTGCAGACAAGTGGCCAGGCGAAACTTCAAAGAAGTAGGTTGTACTTGTCTCCTCAATCGCATGTAGGGTTTAGGATTTAGGGTTTAGGGCTTAGGGTACCCTAACCCTGAACCCTAAAATCCTAAATGCACACACAGGTTGAACGTGGGACTCCGTCACTACCCACTGGCACGCACAGCCGAAGGCCCCAAGCACGAACTCCGGGCTTCCTGGATGTGTTTTAGAAATGTTAGAAGCCTCGTCTTGGCTTCGACACCGCCCTGTAAGAGATCCGAATTGAAGCCATGGCTACTACTGCCATAAGTTCCACTCGGCTCCAATGCTCTCTGTAGGGCCAGGCAGCTGATGTGAAAGCATTCTGGTTTCCCGAGTTCGCCACCAGGAAGCGTTCGAAGGAGTTCTCCTCAGGGTACTCTTTGGTACCCAGAAAGAGCATGTGCCTCGGCACTCGTGTCAAGTCCATAAGCTATGAAGCAATCAGTTGCGGGTGGCGAAGTGCAACGCATCGCATCGTATGCCTGCTAAGGAACTCGCAGAAGTGCGCAAGGCCGGGGATCTCCTGTGGCATCTCGACTATCTAAATATTGTACTATGTCGAGTGTGAACGAGTCGATTGCACTCTTTTGGATGTAAAGGTGTGACTGTGGCATCTCCCAACTCTGACCAGCATTGCAGCACTACGGAAGATCCCATCTTAGGGGGCTTAAGGACTTGCTGGTAGAGGGCTTTGGATGGGCTTTGGTCAGAGGGGTTCAGGGTGGCCAGGGAACAAAAGACAAATGTCCTCTGGATCCGAGTAGAAGCCAACATGGACGGACAGCGCGCTCGATGCCGTGACCGCATCTGGGTCAGATGCGAGCAAGACCTGATGTGGGTGGTTCTCTAAATTAGGGTCCCTTACTGGGTCCCCTGTATAGTTTAGAGAACTACTCATGTGGAGAAGGTCCGTTACAAAGAGCTGGTCGACACGACAGAGGCTCAAAAGCGCACTCCATGTCCATTCTGATGCGCTGCTTAGGACTGCACCCTCATGCCGTTGCCCAGAGTCAGGGCTCGGTAGCTCCGTGTGTCCTGGGCAGGGGAAGCTAGGGACAGCCGGGCCAAGCATGGTTTCGCGCGAATTCCGTTGCATTTCGATGCTCCCGCTGCTGGGGGGCCAGTTAGGTTGCCGACCGCAACGGAGCGCGCGGTGAGACGGGGCCTTGGTTTCGACGCTCCCGCTGTGGTTTCGCGCGAATTCCGTTGCATTTCGATGCTCGCTGTGGTTTCGCGCGAATTCCGTTGCATTTCGATGCTCCCGCTGTGGTTTTGCGCGAATTCCGGCCTCTCGTGGCCTCTTCAGGCCTCTTCTGGGGGGGCTACTTAGGTTGCCGACCGCAACGGCGCGCGCGGTGGGACGGGTCCTCGGTTTCGACGCTCCCGCATGCTCCCGCTGTGGTTTCGCGCGAATTCCGTTGCATTTCGATGCTCCCGCTGTGGTTTCGCGCGAATTCCGGCCTCTCGTGGCCTCTTCAGGCCTCTTCTGGGGGGCCACTTAGGTTGCCGACCGCAACGGTGCGCGCGGTGAGACCACCTGGGGGCAGGATCAATAAAAACACAGGGTTTAGGGGGGGTTTAGGGTTTAGGGTCAACCCTGCGGCTGGGTGCCGGGGGTTATAGTATTATGGGGTAGCGATTTCGGGCTTGAGCATCATGAGCATCAGCTGGGTCTTGCTAGCCACGGTCAGAGGGAGAGATAGACGGTCAGAGGGAGAGATAGACAGTAGAAAGACGGATAAAGAGAGACAGAGAGAGAGAGAGAGAGAGAGAGGTCATCTTGGGTGAACGAACGGCAGCAATTGTTGTGACGGCTGTGGTTCGCCTGCCAACTCGCTATTCCGACATTTCCTATCAGCTGCCATGAAGGACTACACCGACAAGCAAGCCCTGTCCAGTGGGCTCTTCATGACTTCGCCGGCAAAGACTTCGGTTTTCCTGCGCGTTCTGCGAGCTCCGCGCATTTCTAGTCAGCAGTTGAGTTAGACTTCTTACCCAAAACCCGAAGCCTAAACTCTTAGCCCCATACCTTCATCAGTCTGAGTCAGCACTTGGGATTCTTATTCTGGATGTACTCCCTCCACAGAAAGGAGAGAGAAGCCCTGTACACTCCAACCCCCTTTCCTAAGCCCTTTCGGGTTTAGGCTTTAAGGTTGAGGGTTCACACAGTTCACAGATAGGGGCTTTGTGGTGTCTAGGGGGATTTTAGGGTTCCGTGTTTAGGGTTCAGGGGTTTAGGGGGTTAGGGGTTTAGGGGTTTAGGGGTTTAGGGGGTTTAGGGGTTTAGGGGTTTAGGGGTTTAGGGGTTTAGGGGTTTAGGGGTTTAGGGGTTTAGGGGTTTAGGGGTTTAGGGGTTTAGGGTTTAGTCTTGATACTCTCACTGAGCTTCTTCCCAGGCCTCGCCAGCTCAGAAGGCGACTTGGCAACCGCCACAGCCGCAGGGGCAGCCGCGACACCCCCAAGGCCGAGCAAGACCTGTCGGGCAGAGGTGAAACGCGAGAATGCGAGAACTGAGCTTCCCGAAAAAACCTTGGACCTTGAACGCTGAAAGCCCCAAACTTTGCAAGATGAAGGGTTTCAAGGCAAACCTCGCCTTTCAGGGCTTGGAAGTGGTTCGTTCCTATCCTTCGGGAGTATGGTTCTGGGCCGTTTTGCGTTCAGGCTTTGGGGATGTGAGGCCGGAGTCCCAGACACCGTAGAGTCCGAGGACCGTCCGGCCCCTCCAGGGCCCGGGAATGAGGGATTCAGAGTTGGCAACTTGGGTTTTGGAGAGTAGATCGGGTGTATAGGGGCCAATTGTCTCTTGGGCGGTGGCAAGAGCGAATGCGTGCCATGCATGACCTGACCCTGAACTCTCAAAGCCAAAACCCCACTCTGGACCCCCTGGAATCCTCGAAACTGAGAGGCTCTTTCAACTTCTGGTCCGTCCAGAAAGAAGGATTGAGGATCAAAGTCTCTCAGGGCAACCCTTCGAGACCGCCCATGGCGCAACGGCCTTCCGGCGCGGCCGACGCAGTGCGGCAGCAGCCGCCAGCGCAGCCGACTGCGTCACGGGAAATACGGGAACACAAGGAGGCCAAGAACATGTAGGGGTTTCCGAAGTTCGGGGTTTCTTCTTGGGGGGCTTATTGTAAGGGAATCGTACCATTTGGGAGTTTATAGTAGGGGTCCTTGTTTTCGTAAAGCCGCATGTTTAGCTGCTGGGAAGGCAGAAGACACCCGGCTGAAAGTGGGAATTCGACGATGGCTTAGCGAGGATGTCCTCCAAGCAATCTCAACTTTTAGGGTTTAGGGTTAGGGTTTATAGGGTTATAGGGTTTAGGGTTTAGGGTTTAGGGTTTAGGGTTTAGGGTTTAGGGTTTAGGGTTTAGGGTGTAGGGTGTAGGGTTTAGGGTTTAGGGTTTAGGGTTTAGGGTTTAGGGTTTAGGGGCAGAAGCCTGCATAAAACTGGCTGGACGGGAGCGCCTATCTTAAGCCTTGTCTCACTGGTGCGGCTGCCTTTCTTGCTTGGATGTACCGCAATGTGGGACTTGACCCTAAACCCTAAACCCTAGACCCTAAACCCTAAACCCTAAACCCTAACCATAACCCTAAACCCTGAACCCTTTCTCAGCCTCCGCTGCAACCGCCACTCCGACTCTACTGTGGCCAGGCCGGGCATTGAAAGCTGGCCTTGCAAGGGAAGCAGCTGTCATGGGGCTTTACCAAGGGCTTAGGGTTTAGGGTTTAGGGTTCAGGGTTGAGGGTTTAAGATTAGGGCTTGAGGTCTACACATGCTCACCTGTACAAAGACTGCCCAAGCAGCTGTTGGCCAAGATTTCTTGGGGTAAACTTCGCTGGCGCGCAGCCCACCAGGGGTGGAATAGTTACTGGTGGCAATGAGAGGCTGCTCTTGTCATCCTAAACCTCTCTAAATCCTAAACCCGAGAACGTTTCAAAACTCTGAAACCTCAAAACCCCTCAACCTCAGAGGGCTTCTCACCAATATAGGTCTTGTATAACCCTAAACCCTAAACCCTAAACCCACTAGGGCATAAACACCCTAAACCATCTTGGCCCGGCCTTTCCAGAAGATGCTGCCCGCTTCGAGGGCGAGACGGGGCCGCAGGGCGGAAGCTGCCCGTCAGCACGGCAGCCATGGCTTTGGGTTATAGGGTTTAGGGTTTAGGGTTTAGGGTTTATAGGGTTTGGGGTTTAGGGTTTAGGGATGTTTAGGGTTTAGGGTTTAGGGTTTGGGGTTTGGGGTTTAGAGTTTAGGGTTTAGGGCTCAGGGTTTAGGGTCGGTGTTGCTCTTGTCAACGACAAGGGTTTCGGGTTTAGGGTTGAGGGCAGAGGGATGGTTTGCCAACACTGCCTAGATTGCGGGATCAGCGGCCACGAACACCTCGCGGTTTTCAAGTGCGACCGCTTCGAATGGAATGAAGTTGTGCCGGCCAGCTTGTCTGTGAGGGGCCCTTGAGTATTTGCTCTGTGCGGCTACAGCCGCTCCTGCCTGAGCAAGCAACTAGCAGAGATTTGCATGCATTCTTGGCGCTTCTTCGATTGGACTCAGCGTCTGAAGAGTTGCTCGATGAATGTGAAGGAATCCACCGAATCTGCAGAGCCCCGTTGAATTCTGATGAACAGCGCAGTGGACCCACTCAGTGCATGTGGGGGCTGGGAATGTTTACGAGTGAGCTCCCCGAGGCCCCCGGCTACGTCGGCTGATGAACTTCACCCCTGCGCCTTGCGCCTGGGTGGTTGCAACGAGCAAAAAGGTCCAATTCGAGCGAAACGCAGCGGACAGCCTACGCAACTGCTTGCTCGAAGGAGGGACGGCTGGCAGGTGTGCCATGAGAGAGAGAGAGAGAGAGAGAGAGAGAGAAAGAGAGCGAGAGAGCGAGAGAGAGAGAGAGAGAGTGAGCGAGAGCGAGAGCGAGAGCCAGAGCGAGCGCGAGAGCGGTTTCACAAACCTGCAGACACTGCAGACCCTGAGCAGTCAGACAAGCCTTTAAGTCTGAGCCAGCACTTGGGCCATTGCGCACGCAGCGCAGTCGCAGGAGCGAAGATCAACCTGGACAAGGACGACATGCTGATTGCTCTGAGTCACGTCCCCCAGCTTGTTTTACTTTCTGCATCGCTGGGATAGTTGTGATACAGCAGGTCCACAGTATTACCCGCCAATGCCGGCCGCTCACACGAAAGGCATGCCTGGCGACCGCCAAACACGCCGTAGACGCGGCACAGGAGGACCTGTAAGCTGCATTCTTGACTTGCCATGGCTCGGACCCTGGAAAACTTCAGAGCATACTTAATATTATTATTATCATTATTATTATTAGTAGTAGTAGTAGTAGTAGTAGCAGTAGTAGTAGTAGTAGTAGTAGTAGTAGTAGTAGTAGTAGTAGTAGTAGTAGTAGTAGTAGTAGTAGTAGTAGTAGTAGTAGTAGTAGTATTACTATTGGTATTCTGTCTTAGTACTAGTGTCATTACTATTATCTTTACGATTGTTCTTCTTATTTTTTGTTTCACTATGATTATGATTATGATTACTATTATTTTCATTATTGTTCTGATGATCATTCTTATTATCATTCTTTTTGTCTTTATTAATGTTAGTATGTGGCCTCATACTTAGCTATCACGCCTTCGGCCTGAAGGCAAAGCCTGGGAGGTGCGCAGTTCTCCGCATGATGGTCCCTTTTTGGGGGTCCGAGTATCATACGTAGGGTTATGGTTTAGGGTTTAGGGCTTTAGGGTTTAGGGTTTAGGGTTCAGAGTTCGGGTTAGAGGGTTCAGGGTTGGGGGATTGGAGAATTTCTGGCATCATGGCCCCATCGCGCACAGCCCATACCCACCTGGCGGGCGGCCACATTTCCTGTGCCATGGCGGTTCAGGGGCTTTGGGTTGATGTGGGTTTAGGGCTGACGGCTCAGGGCTGTGGAGGACGAGCTCTACCCTGGGATGTCAGGCAACTTGCACTTCAGACGGATAGGGTCAACCACAAACCCTGGAGCTAGGAACTCACCACCTGGCTCTTCCTCGACTTTCAGGGACGTGCAAAGTTCCGAAAGACATGAAGTCACAGTCCGCGTACTAAGCCTTTAGACACCTGAGGTGGGAGATGTTGCCAAAGCACCGTTGCTTTGGGGATTATCGGTCATTGCAATACTATGGGCTGTACCTTGAAACCGGTTCAGCTGTAGCTTCTAGTCGATACCTGATGCACGAGATACAGAGACATGCAGAGGACGCAGAGATTTTTTGTGAAACACGCGACTGGCACTGGGGCAGGTCTGCAAGGAGCACACAAGGCAGCAAATCTGAAACGGTCCCTCCCATAGCTCTACATACCTCTAACCAGATTCTTTCCATTCGGGCTCCCTGCCGTAGTAGGCGCTAGTCAAAACTCCAGACGCACCCCGGCAGCGCGTGGGACGTCTTCAGCCACCGAGTCGACGCATCTCAAAACCACAGAACGACAATGCTGACGACAAGTCAGGGCTTTGTTCGCCGAGCTTATGTGAGAACTGAGAAGTCGAGGCCGACACAGGTCAGCCCCGGCTGCTTTTCAGTCGGCGGAGGGTTCAAACACGCAGTTCCCAGGGTAGCTACGCAGCTGTGAACGGCCTGGGACTGGGTAGCCTAGCAATCCGGGTGAGAAGAGAAGGAAGGAAAGCGTCTGTAGCTCCTAGTCTTCGGCTTCAGGTTTTTCGCCGATGGTACAATGAGTCCAGTGTCTGCCTACTTGACTGTGGGCACCTGGTGCCCTCTGCTCTCGCCTTCCCTTCCCCCCGGGTACAAAAAAAACGACTCAGAGCGACTTGCGGCCGCGAGGAGGGCTCACACAAGGGTGCGCATGGGGTCGGGCTGCTTCTGGTTGTTGAACTTGTAGAGGGAGCTGAGGGTCTTCCAGCCGAGCTTGAGATCACCCACGGGGTCATTGCCCTGCACTGTCTTGTACAAGTAGGAGTCGAAGGTCACCTTCTGCACGTACTCCTCCTCACAGAGCTCCACGAAGCTCTCACGGGCAGCATCACTCGTGTAGAAGACCTTCTGAAGCAGGTCCAAAACCAAGTAGGTGGGGCCGTACTTCGAATCCCATTCGCGGATGTGCTCCATGAGGTCAGCCTCATCGATCATGCGCACACCCTGCTTCGAGCTCTTGGCGATGGTCTCCGCACACATACGACCGCTCTTGGCAGCAAAGTAGATGCCCTCACCAGAGCACTTGGTCACGTAGCCGGCGGCGTCACCCACCAAAATTGCCCTGTCCTTCACGCGCCATGGGCGCGGGTGCTCAGGGATGGGATGCGCCTCGACGCGAATGATCTCGCCACCGTCGATGCGCACGGCCGCGCGATCACGGATGCCTTGCTGGTACCTCTGGATGCCCTTCTTGTCGATGACAGTGCCGGTGCCCACGGCGACGTGGTCGCACTTGGGGAAGACCCAGGCGTAGAAGTCCGGGGAGACGTCATCACCCACATACATCTCGGCGCGGTCCTTGTAGTAGTCCATCTTCTCTTCCGGAATGCGCATGCGCTCCTGGAACGCGATGGCGTACTCGTAATCCCCGGCTTCAATGTCTTTGGCCACCCGGCTGTTGGCGCCATCTGCTCCGACAACCACCTCAGGTGGTGGGAAAAAGGCCCGGGGAAGCTGGGAAAAACTTCGTGTATTGAGGGGTATAAGGAGGGACCGCTAGAAGAAACCCTTAATCTTATTCCCATAGATAACCCTTAAACCTACCTTATATAGTCCCTGTATATCTAAATAGCCCCTAAATAAGCCCCAAAGAACCGCTAAGGTCCCTTAGAAGCGTCCCACCCATAGTTCCTTGAGTGTAGGACTGTGAAGGTTGTTGAACGCCTAAACCCATAGCCGAGGCACGTCCACTTCAAGGGTCTTCTTCTCGCCTTTGCCTGAAAAGCTCAGCTCTTACGACCCGGAGATTTGCAGTACAAGTGGAACTTCTGAACAAACAGTAGTAGCATCTCCCTTCGCAACAACCCAGAGGATTTACGAAAATAGGGGACCCCTGATATAGGACCCCCAAATAGTAGAATCCCCTTCTATAATAAGGACCCCAACAAGGTACCCCCTGGTATCGTAAACCCACACCGTGCAGAAGTACGAAGTTCCACTTTCCAGGCTGTGTTTCTGAGGCCCAAACCCTAAACCCTAAACCCTAAACCCGAAACCCTAAACCCTAAACCCTAATGTGGGGAACTCTTCTTCAGCCCGGCCGCGAGCGCTGCCGGCTTCCTCGGCGTAGTCGTTGTAGGTCAGCACGTAAGGCTCATCCTGAAGGGGTTTAAGGGTTTAAGGGTTTTAAGGGTTTTAAGGGTTTAAGGGTTTGAAGGGTTTTAAGGGTTTAAGGGTTTAAGGGTTTGAAGGGCTTTAAGGTTTTTTAAGGGTTTGAAGGGTTTTAAGGGTTTTAAGGGTTTAAGGGTTTGAGGGTTTTCAGGGGTTAAGGGTTTAAGGGTTTAAGGGTTTGTCTGCTCTCCGATTTTGGGAGGAGACTGGCTCACTCTGTCGCCCAAGCAGCCCTTGCCTTGCTCTGGGGGATCGTCATGCCCATGAAAAGGCCATTGATCAGCGTGGCGCCGTTCTGCTTGGCCCTCTGGCGCAGGAAGTCATCAAGCACCTGCACAGGGAAGGTAGGAAAAAGCCAAAACACTAGCATGAAACCTACCTGGTGATGTCTCTAAACTATGGTCCCTTTCTGGGGTCCTTAGCAACGGTGGCCCCTCCTTTTTTGGGTGCCCACAAAGGGAACCTAATCTAGAGCACGCACCAACATATGCACGATGTATATTGTTTGGGATGTTCCCCCTTACACAAAAACAGTCCTTCATCGGGATTCTAGTACCCCCTTAATTATGATCCCTATAAGGGGTACTATAAAATCCCGAAAGGAACATCCCAATACATTGTACATACTCAACCACTCCGAAGAGGAGCGACCTCGCGGCGCACCATCCCAATGAACTCGTCGTCCTTGAGGGTCTGACCAATCTGGACCTGTGTGTTTTCAGGGTTTTGGGTCTTGGGGTTTAGGGTTGAGGGTTAAGGGGAAGGGTGGAATAGTTTGGGGTCTAGGGTGAGGATTTAGGGTCTTGGGGTTCAGGGTTTAGGGTTGAGGGTTAGCGTGAAGGGTCTAAATAGTGCAGGGCTTGGGGTTGGTGTTTTGTGTCTTGGGGCCAAGCATGATGCGGACGCTTCCCAGCAGGGGCGGCCTGTTCTAAATCTAGGGCTCCCTGTATGTAGCGATTGTACTTGATTGGACCCCTTATTATCGAACCATCCCGATGAAACAAAGTCAGCCCCAATGGAAATAAAAAAGCCGGATTCACAGCCACGCCGTACCGAGGTCCTGTCCAGCCCAGGCTCTTAGCCCTCCCCCTAACACCCAAAACTCCAAAACAGGCAGTTTTCTCATACGCATGGAAAAGCAAACAAAACAGGAAAAGGACAAAAGGACCTACAGGTCTTCCACGCACACGAAGAAAAACCTACAGCCCGAAAAACCATGAAAAAAAAAAGCCTAGCGGGCCTCCTTGTTCGTGGGAGAGATCATGGTCATCTTGCGAACCTGTCAATTAGGATTTAGGGTTTAGGGTTTTAAAAGGGGTTTAAGGGCTTAGAGTCTTTAGGTATTCTAGGTTAGGGTTTGGGTTTTGGGATTTCAAAGGGCTTGAAAGGGTTTTTAAAGGGTTTTGAGGTCTTGAGGTATTCTAGGTTTTAGGGTTTGGGGTTTAGGGCTTAGGGCTCAGGATTCAGGTTTCTTGGGCCCCCTAAAGGGCCTAGAGTGGCCCACTGACTTGCATCATAAGGGAGAACAGCAGTGAGCTCGGGAGGTTCCTATAGTCAGGAAATTGGTATTCTGGGGCATATCAGGGTAGCCCTAAACATAAACCCCCAAAACCCTAAACCCGAAACCCCAAACCCCAAACCCTAACCCTCCCTTATCCCCTTCTGCTGAGACGTCCTTTGTGGGAGGCCTGGCGGTCTACGATGTCCTTGGGGAGGCCAAACTCCTCGGGAGCCGAAGGTGGGTCTTTCTTGGCCGAAGAGCCCGCTACCCTAAACTCCTCGCGTACACGGTTGTAGACTTATAGGTTTTAGGATTTACGGTTTAGGGTTTAGGGAGAGTAGCCTAGGCATAAGAAGTGTACACTGTTTGGTTTAAAGGGGGCAACTCAGACTGACATCTAGAAGTGCGAAGCCCCCTAAGCTTAAGCTGCTACAGGGGCTCGTCGATCATGCAGAGGGGGATGGCTCCGCCGCAGGGCTTGCAGTTGTCCAGCTTCCTCTCGATGAGGTAGGTCTCGACGCCCTCCTTCCGATGGAGTTTGGGATGATGACAAGAACAGCAGGAATAGCAAGAGTACATGTAGCAAATGTGACAAGAATCTCAAGATGCAGAAGAATACCAAGAATGAAAAAGAAGTGAAACATGCGTAAGAGCACTACAATAGTCCGAGGACTGAGCCCATCGTCTTAAGCAGGGACTTCCCGCGAAGCATCTGGGCGCCTTCGCCAGGGCATCCGCTGTGCTGGCCCCAGCCGGGCCACCGCCGACCACCGCCACGCGCAGCTTGCGGCCCTCCTGAGATTCTCCAGCATTTCGGCGTAGCTCGAAAACTTCTTCTCAAGAGCCGTCAGATGTCTGAAGGACGTATTCTGCAGGGAAGGACGACCATGTCTTTTGCCACTACCGCCGCAATAGTACATTTCTGCAACTACCACTGCTACTGCTGCCGCCGGCAACTGTCAACGCCACTGCCTACATTGCTGCATCCGAACATTCGAGCTCTCTGCTATTGTAGAACGGTATTGTGTGCAAACTACCCTACTGAAGCTGAGGTTCTGGGAGCGTCGCACCAGCACACACGACAACCTTCGCCTCGGCAAGAGACCGGGTCTTCGAGAGCTTGGTCACGGTCGCTGCACCTGCAAAGAGGATTGACCTCGTCTTTGTAGCCCAGGAACCATATTGCAATACAAGGGTACCCTTTTGGGGTTCTTTTTTGCGGCAAAGAAAACCTTGAACCAAACAAAAGGCAAAAGGGGACCACTGGGCTACCAAGAAAGAGGATTGACCTAGTTCTCAGTCGAACATTCGGAAATTGCATCATTTCCTGCCAGGGAAAACGCTCACCTCTCACAACCCGGAATCTGCAGTCTTTGCCTGGCTTCGAACACCTTGATCCCCAAACCCTAAACCCTAAACCCCAAACCCTAAACCCTAAACCCTCCATCGTCCACCTGCCAGCGCGGAGCGGTGCTTGCGGCGGGTACCCACGGCCACGGCCGCGCCCACGGCGGCGACGCCCAGAGCTCCCTTCGCCTGGGACGGCTTCAGGGCGTAGCTTTCGGGTTTAAGGTTGAGGGTCTAGGGTCGAAAGGACTTGGGTCATGGGGTTCAGGGTCATCACTACATTGTTCCTTGTAGCACGTTCAGCTCGGAGTTTGGGCAGTCCCTACTTACCAAGCAATCAACGCACAAAGCCTCACACCCTGTCAGAGCTCTGCGCCATACACCTTATAACCCCGACGCCCTGCCAACCGTTCATGACCACTAAACCCTCTACTAAACCCTACTCTACTAAACCCTTCTACGCCTTCTACTAAAGCCTACTTAACCCTCTCCATTGAGAGGGTGGGGATGGAATGTGGGAATGTAGTCTAGCGCATTCGCCCGAAACCCTAAAAGGAGAAAAGTTGCCTGCGTAAGCAGGGGGCGGGAAGCGTAAACCACCCACCCTTTCTGGCCGCGAGATATGCCGCCCCCTCACCCCCCCCCTTGGGTACATCGTGGCGCCATCGCTGGCATGGAACCTACTGCCGCGGTGCAGCGAGAAACCCGAAACCCGAACCCCAAAACCCCGAAACCCACATATCAACTCGCCGAGTGGCGGCAAGAGAGGCCGCTGGAGCCGGGCTTTGAACCTCCGAGCACAAGAATGAGGTTCAGGGTTCAGTTTTAGGGCAGAATATTCAGCGATGCAGGGGAAGCCTGCCGCTCAACTCAACTTGTGAAAGCTACAGCTCCGGGGGGGTTTCTACGCAGCTGCAGCCCTCAACTTTGAAGCCCAAACCCCCCTAAGCTCCTTAACACTTAGGGTTTAGGGTTTAGGGTTTAGGGTTTAGGGTGCAAGCCTCAGGGGCGCGGAGCAGAGTGCCACGAAGGGCCGTGTTGGCTGCGGTGCTGGGCACAGCTACGAAGGCTGCCATGGCCTTGGCTTTTTTTGAGGGCTTTCGTGGGGTGTTCAGAGAGTTTGGAGCTTCAGGATTGCAGGGAATCAAGGGTTGAGGGCTGCAGGGGTTAGATTTTCACATTGGCATTGCCGGCAGAGGACCTCTTGTACTCGTAGCATGCTCTAGCTCTTTGGAATGGACCTCTGAGAGTGATGCAAAGGTGAAGTGCCCAGGAGGCTTTTGTATTCCACATTGGGGATTCAGGATTCAGGAGACTGCACTTCAGCAGCTCATCAGGCTTCTGCATCCCAGGGCGCTCTCCAGACGGAAGGAGAAGATAATACACCCAGTGAAGCTTCTTGTGCGGCCGCGGTGGCTGCATACGAGCATGTGCTTCTAAACCATACAACCTCAACCCCAGTCCACTTTGGCTAGGCCAGTTGCACCCTACCGCCCAAGGCACTCTGCACCGGCTCCGACATGCCCTACGCACACAGCACGGCAACCATGACGACTTCTAGGCTGTCATGGCAGTCTACTGCAACTCAAGCTCCCCTGAACAACTTTCTCACAGAGCACAGCAACCAGGACTTCAAAACCCCCACTGGTCTCCTAATTCCCAGGCAAGGTTTTCTTGGTAATACGGATACGTCAAAATGACCTTTGTGGAGCGTTCGGGCGACTCTTGCGCAACCCTGTCACCTTGACGTAAGCCAACTGAACTATTTCGTGCGGAGGGCCGCCATTACACCCTGTTTGCATCTGCGTGCTCGGGACAGCGAAACTACGACATTTTGCCTACACCTATACTCGTTCTCATGAGACTTTCGTGGATGTGGCCTCAGGCTTCCACGCCATTTCCCCTAACAAAACCACGATAAACCTCGGAGTTCACTCTAATTATGAGTTCGGGGCCACCACTTGATCAACCGGGTCACGGACACTTACCCACATAGCGTGCTGGCATTGCGCCCTGAACCCGAAGGGCCTAACTTTAAACCCTATAAACACTCAACCCTGAACCCTAAACCCCAAACCCTGAACCCTAAACCCTAAACCCTGAACCCTCAACCCTAAACCCTGAACCCCAAACCCTAAACCCTAAAGCCCGACGGATGAGCCCGGCCTTCGGCGGCGGGGCGCTTCACGAAAAAAAGGGCCCAGCCCTTGCTCCAGGAGCCTGGTGATGTCAGGGGCATCCTAAACCCTAAACCCTAAACGGGCTGCTGGCTGCAAACCTTGCACCCTAATTAATTCCCCCAAACCTGAAATAATCCAGAGGTCCACTCTGCACCTCCCCACAAAACGGCGCCTGCTTCGCAAAGATGAATGTGCTCCGAGGCTTGGTCAAAGTCCTCATGGCGTAGCATTAAGTTAGGATTTAGGGCCTCTGATACTTGGTAGCCCAGAAAAGCGTATTGCGATAAGGGTGCCCTTTCTGGGGTTGGTTACCCTTATACGGGCAAGGATAGAACGTTTTGGGCCGGTATCCTCATTTATGGGAACATGGGGTGCTTTAAGTAGGGGGGTACGCCGAGTTTACTCTCGAAATGTGAAGATCCTCATTTTTCTCGGAAAACCCCCAACGGTAGTTGTTTTTTCTTGGGGGGGGGGGGGCCTCCGGGTTGCGGTTTCGGGGCAGAAATCAGGCCATGAGTGCAGTGAGTGTTTGTCGAGCTCGGGTGAGGTTACCTAAACCTCAAACCCTCAAACCTAGAGTTTTAGGGTTGACAAGGCCAGGCCATTCGGAGCCCCTCGCAACCTCGCGGGTGGATAGAGTTTGGGGGCTTCCGCAAAAAGGGGTACTGTTTTGGTCCTAGAATGAGGATCTGAGTATTTCGAGGCACCCAGAAGCGTCGTCTATCGTCCCCTAAGTCCACTAAGGATCTGTAGCTGCAGCTTAAGAGTACGGCATCGTCTGACGGCTGAGAACGGGTTGCCTGGGTGCATGCGGCGAGAGGGCTTAAACGTTTTAGAGCGCTTGTCGGAGAAGCTTCGTGGTTCCCAGCCTGCAGCCCTTAAAAACCCGAATCCCTAAGCCCTAAGCCCTATGAAGCCCTAAGCCCTGCACTCCGTTTTGCCAGTGATGCCAGATTGGGGCGCGCCCCCACAAGACAGTCACGGCGGCAAGCTTTTGGGGCCTAGCGTTTTTAGGGTTTCGGGTTTGGGGTTTAGGGTGTGGGGTTCAGGGTTTGGGGTCTAGGGTGTCGGGGTTTAGGGTTTGGGGTTTAGGGTGTAGGGTTTTGGGTTTGGGTTTAGGGTTTAAGGATTTCGGATTTCAAGGTGGAGGGTCAGGACCCTGGAGGGCCTACGCATGCGTGTGAAGGGAACCACCAGGTGGGACGCAGCTAGCGGCGCCTGACTTGGCCAAGAGTGCTGCGACTGCCAGCGTCAACTCATCGTTTCCTGGTACACTGGGGCTTCAGCTAGCGTGTCCGGCGAGAACTTTTAGAAGGTTGATGAGCTGCCTCCGCAGACTCCTAGAAAAACAAGGTCAAGCCAGGAACCCAAAAACAATCCGAATCGCAACAGTGCCGGAATGAAACCCCCACTTTAACATCCATTCCGTATGCACATTTTATAGAAGAGTATATAAGAAGGTACTAAGGCACGAGCCGCCGTACGCGCCGCAGTATATACGCGCCGCAGTCCCCTCGCGCGCCGCTCCGGCTCTGTCCTCCCAGTACTACATTTGCACTACAATTCAACGAAAATCCCTCCGCTTCCCGCGCCGCCGTACGCGCCGTCGTACGCGCCGCAGTCCGCTCTCGCGCCCCTCCGGCTCTGTCCTCCCACTACTACATTTGTACGAAAATCCCGCCGCTTCCCGCGCCGCCATATGCGCCGTCGCACACGCCGCAGTCCGCTCTCGCGCCCCTCCGGCTCTGTCCTCCCAGTACTACATTTGTACTAGAATTCAACGAAAATCCCTCCGCTTCCCGCGCCGCCGTACGCGCCAGCGCCGTCGTACGCGCCGCAGTCCGCTCTCGCTCCCATCCCCCTTTCGTTTTCATCGCCGTTTCGTTTTCATCCCCGTGTCGTTTTCATCCCCGTTCGTTTTCACCCCGCGGCTCTGATCTCCCCGTTTCGTTTTCATCCCCGTTTCGTGTTCATCCCCCGTTTCGTTTTCACCCCGCGGCTCTGATCTCCCCGCTTCGTTCATCCCCGTTTCGTTTTCATCCCCGTTTCGCTTTCACCCCGCGCCGCCATTCCCCGGTATCGCGCTCTCGCTTTTTGAACCTAAACGAGAACCCAACACCCGAGATGTTTTTGGGAAAAACACGACTCAGTCCCAGACCTGCGCCTAAACACAGTTTGGAGGCTCCCGTGGCCCTTGACAATCTGGAGAACCCATTCGCCTGAAGGCAAAGAACATCCTGGGTACACCCGTACAAGACCCCGCCTGGCAGCGAGACCACTTGCACACCCACAGGTTTTCCAGCGGAAAGCCCCATAGGCACTGCTGTGGCCGGGAACTCCATGGCATTCCTCATTCGAGCCCCTTGAAAGGCTCACAGCTTACAGCTATTTTTCGACGGGACCCAGCCAAACCAGTCCGAGAAACCAAATGGATGTGAAGCAGCTGTCGAAGACTCTGAGGGTCAGCTCATCGTGAAGACATCCATGGCCTTTCCAGAGTTGGCGAACGACCGATGCCCCAGTGCAAGTGAATCCCATGCCCCGAAGATTGGAACACCCCTACCCCCCCCCTCCCGGCATTAAACATCCTCGGTTTGGCATACTCTAGTCTAGTATATTGGTGTTAAAGGACACCCCCTCCCCTTTTCCATCTTTCTACCCCAAGGGTGAATCTTTGATACGGATGCTTGTTCGGGCTCAGGGGTGGCTACGGGAAAGAAGGCCCCTTGGGACGAACATTCAAACATGCAGACATGTACAGCATAATGCAAGTAGAAGCTTCGCATTCATGAGCACTGCTTTCTCTCAGCTTGTTGTTGCGACATTGAGAAAAGTCCGATTCGTTCTTGCATGGCTGGGAGTTGCCCTCGCTGGTCTGGTATTGGGAACGATACTGGAGAAGATTAGCAGGCCCATCTGTGCATTGGACTGACACGCACAACTCAAGAAGTGCACCAACATCCTTTTCTTTGGCTGAGATATCTGCTGAAGATCTACGGGTTATGAGCGCCCAATCCGTTACCGGCGCAGGAAGCAGGCCGCTGCTGAATGGAAATGGCCATCAGCCTCGGAGCACTGAAGGCTATGGAGCTACAATGGCTGGTCAGGCTACAGAAAGCTCCATGGTTTCAGGACGTGGTTTGGATGGTCAGGTTTGGCAGACGGCAGGGCATGGAGGATCCTACACACCGGACTCGGCGCGACGTGGTTTGGGTAGTCAGGATCGACCCACAGCGGAGCTTGGCGGCTCCGACTCACCGGACTCGGCGCAACGTGGTGCAACTGGAATGGGGCTGTCGACGAGCCGCTCGTCTTCGACAGCTGCGTTGGGTCATGGTGCTCAGGTGGCGACGGATTCCGATGAGTCTGAGCAGGCCACACCGAACTTTGGTGCTGAAGTTGGCGCCCTAGATGGCACGCCAGCTGCAGATGATAGGGCCACTCAGGATGTGGTGGCCGAGCTTTGGACCACCATTCAGGCCATGCGCCAGCAGCTGGCTGGTGGAACTGAACCGTCGACTGGGTCAGCCGCAGGAAGCGCCTTTCTGACAGCGGGCTCGAGACCTCCGTCGCCGACCGACGGAAATGCGGGCGTCGCCAGTGGGGACTCTTTGCTTGATCCAGTCGTGGCGAACCGACTTCTTCAGATGCCGCAGGAGGCTCCGCTGCTGTATGGGGCTATGTCTGAAGGGGCGCACCTGTCCCACTCTGCCAGCAGTGACTCCACGACAGAGGTCATCCAGGCTGAGGTGAGGAGGCAGATGCAGCTTCTGCAGCATGAACACAATGCCCAGCTGAATGCCTTGGCCGAGGAAAACCTGGCCCTTCGTAGGGAACTGATGGGCCAAAGGGCTCAAAACCAGGACACCGGTCCTGGGCAAGGTTGGGGTTGGGTTAAGGGTGTGTTAGGGTTAGGGAGCCAGGCCTCGTCGTCGTCGTTCGTGCCAACGATGCCTCGTCCAAGACCGTCCATTCCCATCCCTAATCCTCAGAACCTTATATCCTACTTTAAGGCCCCTTCTAAGCCCGTGAGCCCACAGGTTCCAGGCGCCGGAGCACAGGTTCCAGGTGCCGAAGCACAGGTTCAAGGTGTTTCAGGACAGGTCACGCAACGAGCCGCAGCACAGGTAACAGGACAGGTCACAGGTGCAGCAGCACAGGTCACAGGTGCCTTTCCACAGGTTCCAGGTGCAGCAGCACAGGTCGCCGGACAGGTCACAGGTGCCTCAGCACAGGTCACAGGACAGGTCACAGGTGCCTCAGCACAGGTCACAGGTGCCTCAGCACAGGTCACAGGTGCAGCAGCACAGGTCACAGGAGCCCTCACAGGTGCCCTTTCACCAGGTGTCGCAGCACAGGTCGCAGGTGCCTTGCCACAGGTTCCAGGTGCAGCAGCACAGGTCACAGGTGTCGCAGCGCAGGTCACAGGTGCCTTGCCACAGGTTCCAGGTGCAGCAGCAGTCGCAGCACAGGTCACAGGTGCCTTGCCACAGGTTCCAGGTGCAGCAGCACAGGTCACAGGTGCCTTTCCACAGGCTGCAGGCGCAGCAGCACAGGTTCCTGGTGCACACCAGGCGTCCGCTCCATCGCATATCCCTCCTACACAGTGCTCTCTGGGTCCCTCGTCGGGGCATCAGGGGTGCAATTGGCATCAACCTCCGACGCAGCAGTCTCCAGCGAACACGACACCGGCAAATTCCTCCGGGACCCCTTTGCCGACAGGTGCCGACGGGTTGAGTCTGGATGTGCTGCAACAGTTGGTTGCTGCCCTGACCTCTCAAGGAAGGACTGCCAGTGGTCCGGAGACTGTGAAGCCTGGTATATCAGCCCTTCCAAAGATGCCAACGCCCTCCGGAACCTCGGCTTTGACATTTGCGGACTGGTTACACGCCATAGGGCCAGCAATGGCTGACCTGTCAGACTCTAGTGAAGAGTTGTGGTCGTGCCTGAAGCAGGAGACAGAGGCGTGGTATGCCCTTTACTTGGCAACGGATCCCCTCAGCAGGCTCTCCCTTCGCACCGATCCCTCACCTGCCTTGATGTCTTCCAAATGGAACAGGACTCGCACTCGAATGGAGTCCATGATCCTCGAGGCCTCGCCCAGCGAGGTGAAGGAAGAAATATCCGCAGCCCGCATCGCTGGCATTTTCCCTGTCATGTGTCGGCTGTACGTTATCTTCGGCCCCGGTTCCTTGCAGGAGCGAGAAGAAGGCCT